GACGTGGGAGTCAGGAGCTTTCAGCTGTCGCTCGGCGTAAGAGTACCTCTCGTAGCGTTCTAATACCTTCTCCATGCTAATATTGAACTTATGGTTAGTTTCGATTCATTAACCCACAAAGTTTCCATATTAAGTTTAGTGTATCCGCAATTTTTAGATATATTCACAAAGTTTCCGTATTAAGTTTAGTATATCCGCAATACTCAGAGATCTTCTCAACTTAGCACAAGAATTCACCAAAAATATCAAAAACAGGTAGCGTCCAATTTTTGTAGGGTTGCCTAATTAATTGGCTATGCAATCTGTATCATGCAAAAGATATGATCACTATTCACTAGTCAGTTTTTTTATATAGTAAAGGTGTAAAACAGTTGACTCCTAACCCCACATCTCAAGGCGTATTTAAGAAGTGCCCTAGTTTTGAGTTTCAATTTTTTCGATAAATTTGTTATTAGATATTTACAGGAAGCCATGTACGAAATGACGTAATATAATAAACAGAAAAAAATTGTTGATTTTGTTTTTGTTTTCTAATAATATAAAGAAGAACAGTTGTTGTCTGTTGATCAAGCTACGTTTGACCATCGGTACGGAGAAGATGTTAGAAAAAGAATGATCTCTTTGACATTGATTCCCCAGAGGTCAAAGACTCCCTATACAATATGTCACATCCTTAGTTCTAGTTTCTCTATACCTATAAACCATTTGAAAAAAAAAAATTCCTTTTAAAACTTAATATTGTTGTTTATATAGTTTGTAATTTATTTGTATAAAACTGACTGCAAAGATGTTTTCAGCAGAAGGAGCTTTCCTAAAAATTAGGGCAAAGAAACCTAGTCAAGAACATAAACATTAAACAATGGTCATTAATTTCTGTAATCAGACTACTAAAATCTCAGCTCGAATCCAGATCTACATATCCTGATTCAAGAGGATACTGACGATTTCTTATAAATCCATGTCTCTGCACCTTATTAAGCCCTAAAATTTGCATTTTAATTTATCTTGATAAAGATTTGCACTTTCTTTTGATAAAGATAAAATATGCTAATGGTTTGACATTAATCAACACAACCAGTTCGTAGATCCAAGTAATCAATTGCAAAATATAGCTGTGACAACAAAATATAAGGCAGATGAGTAGAGCAAGAAACTACTAATTAGGGCAAACAAAGGAACATTGGAAAGAAATAAACAAAGACAAAAATAGAAAGAATTAAATAATTACCAAGGTTCAGAGGAGTACTCGAACAATTTCCCCTTATGGGAGAAGACAATAAGGGAAACCTCGGCATCACAAAGAACAGAGATCTCATGGGCTTTCTTCAGAAGACCAGCTCTTCTTTTCGAGAATGTCACCTGTCTATTGATCTTGTTCTCTATCTTCCTCATCTCAACCCTACCCCTTCCCATTTCTCTCAAAATTAATAATTTTTTTATATATAAAAAAGCAAACAAACAAGTCCCAAGAAGAGAAGAAATAGAAACTAGGATAGAGAGAAAACGACGAGCTTGATCTAATTAAGAAAGTTTTTCTTCTTTCCTTTCTAGTGATAATAACAATGTGAAAGAGTCTATCTTTATTTAAAGAAGAGATATTTTGGAAAGAGCGGTTTTAAGGAAAGCTTAAAAGCTGGTTTTGGCAAGGAATAAAAATACCAGAGTAGTTTTGTAAGATGTGCTGTCGACTTCTCATTGGTATGAATGGACTTCCATTGCCTAATGTCGAGTCTGTGTTTTCTCGTATATTATAATTATCGTTTCTACAAGTGACCAGAAATAAAATAACAGTAATTGGCTTCGCTATATCGACGTCTCGTGACGTGAAAAATGGGTTAGCTAGAGAAGTGAAATATGCACGGACCACGGAACTTTCCCAAGTGTCGCCTTCACTTTGCATTGACGGCGGAGATTCTTCGTGGATTTCTGAAATTTTGAAACATTTTATTAATTAAATAAAAAGTGGGATCTTAGTATAATTAAGTAGTTATAAATTTTTTAAAAATTATAGGCGAAAAACAAATTGAGCAGAACAAAATGCTAAGTTATTCACAATTTATGCATATAGTACGTAGACCCAAAGAATGACGGGTCAGAAATAAACAGTATAGAGATTTCAGTTATTTATAACAATACTTATATATATGGAGATAAGAAACAAGCAACAAAAGCAGTTAAAAGTACCAAAGAGAACATTTAGAGCAAAAGTAAAAGAATCTAAAGCTCGTGCTCTTGGCGACAGCATCCGATGAACTCCACTATCGACATCTTTCTTACATAGACATCTTTCTTACATATGCAGTACCTTCTTTGTCCATTAAAATATATCTTATATATGTTTGAAAATTTGCAACTACTATATAACTTGGATCATTTTTCTTAGTTCATAATTTTTCTTCATACTTTTGAGTTCATGGTATATATCACACTAAAATAACAGTAGTGCATGCATCTATTTGTCATAAATCAATGTGATGCAATCTCACGATGATCAATTTTCATTTACAATTTAAAAAAAATTGCTATCTAGTGCAAACGATCTTTTTATTTTTATTTTTCTTTGTATATACAATATTTTCCAAGAAATAGCAATCAGCAGTATTTAATTACCTTATGATCTTCCGAAGAAATTGGATCAAACAAAGAGGCAGAGAAATCAAATTGGTATACGCGCAAAATTATGAACACAAACCAGCTAGCATTAATTAAGAATCCTACCTAAATCAGACACATCGTCGAGCTACGTAAGAAAAAGAAAAAGAAAACCATCTTAGTGATTAAAAGGTACGTAAAATGGGAGAAATGGGCAACACAGAGGCAGCAACGGTGACGAACAAGCAAATCATATTCCCAGATTACGTGAGTGGATTCCCGAAAGAATCCGATCTGAAAATCACAACAAACACCGTCGATCTAAGGCTACCGGAGGGATCCAAATCAGTTCTGGTGAAGAATCTGTACTTGTCTTGCGATCCTTACATGCGCATTTGCATGGGAAAGCCCGATCCCTTGACTTCTTCCCTCGTTCCACCCTACAACACCGGCGAGGTACGAACTAGGACATTTTACCACATATATGGTCCACATTGTTTGTGTTTTGTAACTAATGATCAATTTTAAAATTTTGTATTTAATTTCAGTAATGTTATTGTTGTTGTTTAGTACTTAATTATATTCGTGACATGCATTGTACTCTCATGATTTTTTTTTCCTCTAACAGTGTTGCTACGATCTTATTGTGTCCATTAATTCTGATTAATATGGTGCCCCCCAAGAAAATCTCTTACTTGGGGAGTTTTTTTTATATATATATATATATTTTTTCTGATCTCCATGGTGTTAATTGTTAAAGATTATTTTCAATGTGTTGCATGTGTGCAGCCAATTGTTGGGCTTGGAGTGTCTAAAGTGATAGATTCAGGGCATCCAGATTACAAAAAGGGAGACTTACTCTGGGGACTAGTTGGATGGGAGGAGTATACTGTTATTACTCTAACTCCTTACTCACACTTCAAGATCCACCACACCGATGTTCCATTATCTTACTACACTGGACTTCTTGGTCTCTTATCTCACTCTTGATTTCATTTTGAAAAAGCATGGCTATGTGATATGCTTATTTAAATAAAAAAATTCACGAGTGTTGGGCATGGAAACATAGATCTTTTTTTTTTTTTTTTTTTTTTAAGTTTCTTGATCATCTTAACAGGTATGCCTGGTATGACTGCTTATGCTGGATTTTACGAAATTTGTTCTCCTAAAAAAGGAGAGACTGTCTTCGTGTCAGCTGCATCCGGCGCAGTTGGTCAGCTAGTGGGACAATTTGCAAAGTTAATGGGCTGTTATGTCGTTGGAAGCGTCGGCAGTAAAGAAAAGGTATACTTTAAACTCTACGTTATATGATTACCTATCAAACAATAACTATAATGCATATCAAGAAACTGATTTGCTCATTATATCCTTCTTTATATAACCTTATATCTAAGGTTGATCTTCTCAAGACAAAGTTTGGTTTTGATGATGCTTTCAATTACAAGGAAGAGCAGGACCTTAATGCTGCCCTAAAGAGGTAAAGCAAATACATATATTTAGTTTATAGATAAGAAAATCATAGAATATTTGGCTCAATCTAAAAGAAACACTTAATTACTTACTACTTTTACTAGGTGTTTCCCGGAAGGAATTGACATATATTTTGAGAACGTGGGAGGCAAAATGTTGGATGCAGTGCTCATAAACATGAAGTTGCATGGTCGTATCGCAGTATGTGGAATGATCTCGCAGTATAACTTAGAGGATCCGGAAGGCGTACACAACCTAGCCACCATTCTTTACAAGAGGATAAAACTTCAAGGGTTTGGAGTCTTTGATTTCTATGACAAATATTATAACTTCTTGGATTTTGTGCTTCCTTACATACGAGAAGGAAAGATAACATACATTGAAGACATAGCCGAAGGACTCGAGAGCGGACCTGCTGCTCTATTAGGGCTTTTCCACGGCAAGAACTTTGGGAAACAACTCTTTGTGGTCGCTCGTGAGTGAGACAGACGTCGTTGAAAGTTTAATATTCTGGTGTTTTATCTTCTTCTTTTTTTTTGAACATTTTAATATCTTTTAGAAATGGTTATAATGCTTTGTTTTTTAAAGTTTTTTAGGGACAAGTAATTTCCTCGACACAAGGAACAATAATTAACTGTCTTAGAGGTGATGCACAAATTGATACGTTTATTTTTTTTGCTACAAGAACATTGACACAAACTTATTTTTTTTTTTGCTACAAGAACATTGACACAAGATGAAGATGTGGAAGAGCATGTAAGGACCTTAATGGGCCGCTAAAAGCCCATTAAAGTGAGTTTAATAATTACAGTATTACAGATGTTTCAGCTTCGACCTTAAAGTTTGATAGTTATGGAGGGAATCAATTAATGTATTTCCCGCGACTCAATAAAATCATAATCCCTCTCTCTCTCTATCTCTTTCTCTCTCTCTCTCACTATCCCTCGCAATTCTTCGGTGTATCTCCGATCTCCGGCGTAGCGATTTCTTCTCCCTCGCAATTCTTCGGTGTGTTTCAGACTTTAAATGGCGAGTCCAAGTGCCGTCCCTGAAGATAGAAAGTCCGATGACCTCGAAATCGTCTCAGTCGGAGCTCTCTATAGCGGCTCCTGGGACAAGAAGTACTGGAGTTCATCTAGGGTTGGCTTTTCTACTTATCTGTATATCTCTTGTTTTCTCTCAATTGATGTGCTACGTCTCTAATTCATTAGAAAATGATGAGACGAAAATAGGTGACCTGTCGATTCCTGAGATTTAATCCATTTTAAGAGTTTTCGATAGTGATGATTTGTCTGGGATGCAATTAATCGCGATAAATACTGACAGTACATTTTTCACTCTTAAGATTGATGAACAGTAGATTGAACTATGGTCTTTGATTTTGAACAATTTTGATTGAAATCTATGTCCAGTGATAGTGATCGGATAGAGGCTTGGGATAGAAAAAGAGAAGCAAATTTGTAATTTTGAGTGTTCCTGAACAACGCATGTAGATACAACTTATGCATATTGGTTTTTATGTAGAATTTCTGTTTAAATACCTTCTTTTTTTCATCAGGGAAAAGATCGTTTCCCTTATCCTGTAGGCTACAAAGCTGTTCGAGCTCAAAATGGGAACACATATTATATGGAAATTGAAGAAGGTGCCAAAGGACCTTTATTTCTGGTGTGCTGCTGATTCCATAATTTTTTTACAAGGTTCTGTATATATGTTTAGAATGCAGCAAAGGCTTACTTTAATAATGCAGATTAGATATTTGGCTGAATCATGGACGGGTCAGACCCCAGATATTGCATGGGGAAAGTTCCAGAAGACAGGCTTCTCCCACTTAAAAGTATGGCATGGAAAACGATTTACATGTAAGATGGACGGAATGGAGGTACATCTTTGTTTCTTTATGATACTTCTTTAGACCATCATGCATATTACTTTTATAACCAGTTCTATTCTACAATTGAATAAAGTTTCAAATCAAACATGCTTCATTGCCTTTCCAAAAATTCCTGCATATTGTTCGGATGATTCGGCAAAGCTTTTTAAAGAACACTTCCTCGCCACATGATTACTATTATTTGTATGCTTATGAGCTTTACAGGCTTTCTTTATTATCTTTGCATTTCTGACTTCTCAATTATGAGTTGATACATAGGAAAAGCCATAATACTTGGGATATACTTGCCAGATAAGTTGAGCATACTACTTTAGCTAAGACTTCATTGAAAGTTTTGCTTTCCAGGCCTTCCTTGGGTGTTGGTCACTAGTACTATCACCTGGCTTGTAGTTATTCTGATCCTACCACTGTGATTGAGAAAATTTATTACTTGCTGTTTACGATGACTGATTTTTTTTTTGCTACAGTTTTTTGGCTTCAAAAACCCATTGGTTCAGAGATTGCTCCGGGAACTTGTGACAGATTCCCACGGAATGGTAGAATCTAGCTCCAGAAGTAGGGCCTCTAAAATCCGGGTCGACGATGAACGACCAGTAATGTGTGAAAATCCAAACTTATTATGCTATCTGGATATGCCAGTGGCTAGAAAGAAACGAAGTAGAAAATCAGAAATAGTATACCAGAATTCAGTTGTTAAAGATGGCCAGAAAAAGCCAAGATTCCAAGAGTCATCTTATGGTGCCGACATTCTAAATTCAGCACCTGTGTCAATCTGCTTAGCAAAAGGAGAACTGGAGATAGTTGGCCTTGAAGCAGCACCACCAAGGCAGTTTCATTCTAGTCAAGCTACTATCGAGAATTCATATCTACCATCGGAAAATTCTCCAGAAGTAAAAGTAGTCGTACCTATCCAAGAAACAGGCCAGATTACTGACAGTTGTAAATCAAAGCCATTATCCAACATTACTGAAGAGGTAGTCCACTCGTTATCTTCTGTCCATAAAGAACTTCTAATGTACTTTTCTCGAAAGCTCCCTCTTTTGTTATTTTTGGCATAGTAGACTGGTGAAATTTTTTCTCGAGGATAGTGGTTTTGAACAATAGGAATCTTAAATTTTTGTAGCTTCATGGGTTGGAAGAAAAGGAATACAAACCCAACGCAGATATTTTTCTGCATGAGAGTCAAGATATGACTGGTTCCAATCTTTGTGCACCCGATACCTTGGAGTTCGTGCAAGGTATTAGCTTTTCATCCTTCTTGCGAACTTGTTTAATGCCAAGATGTCAAGATTCTAATCATTATGACTGCATCTTTTCTTGGATTCCTTTTTGTCCAATTCTTGCAGATAACAACATAAGTTCTACTACAGTAATGGATGATAATACAAGTTGCGAGCAAAAAAGAGAATTGACCCTTGCTGACATGGTAGTCAATGAAGAGCATTCAGCTGAACCAAATGCAGAAGATTTAGCTGATTCAGCTGACCAGGAAACTGCCAAATCAATGATCTCAATTTTACTTCCTCGAGCAATTCCACTGTTAAAGAAGGCCTCAGGCAAGAAGCCCCAACAAAATGATATTTCAGGAACACTGTCTTCCAGATTAAATCTTTCTGACAACTGCAAAACGAGCCAACTTGAGGACGCATCAGGAGCTGGTATACTTAACCCCTACAAAATACATGAATGATTTTTGCAATATTTTTGCAGTCCTAAAATATTCCCTTATGGCCTTATCCCGTAGTCCATAATTCTTCTTCAAAATTTGCAGCTGTGTCACTGTCGACAAGAACATGCAGTGGGGATGATGATAACATGCAACACGTTGCTATGGATCAGGATTTTACAAGTAATGTGTCCATTGCTCCGGACAGTTTTGATGAGTCTCACTTGGATGTTCCTGGGAATGGTCATACCATTTCTTACAAGGAAGTCGATCCAGCAGATCTTCCCATAATGCCCATAGCCAAGGAACATGTTGCAATAGTAAAATGCAAATCTATCAGCTCCTGCCTTGGATACTATTGAGATCACAAATCCGTCTTCACATGATGTTAGTACTATTTTGGAAGAAAATAATCAAGACGGATCTGTGAAGAAGTCCATGTCAATACCACACTGCATCAGTTTAACTGACAGGCTTTTAATTGAAGCTGCAGTGGAGATGACGAGAACATGCAGTGGAGATGGCGATAACATGCAACACGTTGCTATAGATTCTGTTCAGGACTTTTCAAGTTATGTGTCCATTGCTCCGGACAGTTTTGATGAGTCTCACTTGGATGTTCCTGGGAATGGTCATAGCATCTCTTACAAGGAAGCCTGTCCAGCAGATTTTCCCTTAGTGCCCATAGCCAAGGAACAAGTTGCAGTAGTAAATGCAAATCCATCTGCCCCTGCTTTGGATACTATTGAGATCATAAACCCGTCTTCACATGATGTTAGTACTATTTTGGAAGAAAATAATCAAGACGGATCTGTGAAGAAGTCCATGTCAATACCACACTACACCAGTTCAACTAGCAGGATTTTAGACCAAGAATCTGAGGAACTCTGTGCAGCAAAAGGAAACTTAATGCAAACAGAACACCACTTCGAAAACAAGGAACCAAAGAGTATATCCTGTTCTACTGAAGGTAGTAAGATAAATTTATCAATATCACTATTTGCCTCCACCCCTACTTTATATATGTGCACTGTCTAATATAAGCATGGATATCTGCAGGTGATGGCTTTATGGCTGGCTCAACCCCTACTGAAGTTGGTTCTATCAGAATAGAAAAACATAAGGTGTATAGGAGGAAAAGAGTCTCGACCAATCAAAAGCGAAGAAACGGAAACTCATCCTCTGAAAGTATAAACATTTGCAGAAATACTGGAGATGATGATTCCATAAGCAAAATGTCTCCGATTAAAGCCCCACGTATCTTGGAGCCTCTGCCTACCTTGTCTACCAGCTCATTATCAGATAGAACAAATGGAAGCGGTCATTTGACAGAACAATACCAGGGTCATGAGTTGATGAAGGTGAATAACAAGCAATTCACCAATGTATTAAGCAATGAAGCGTGTGTGGTACCACAAGAGTTTAGGCCAACTCATGGTTTTGGAAATGCGACTATATCATCATCCTCACTTCCAGCGTCAAAAGTTGAGAATGTTCAAGCCCATATTGGTGAGGCGTTGGGCATCCAAGTCTCTGAACCTTCTTCTACAAAGTCTCCGAATAAGGAAAATACCAGCGAGAATAGCATCTCTAATGTGCCGGAATTTCCAGTTAATTCGAATTTAAAGCTCAACAGAGATGTAAAGATCAACAATGAGATGGAAAAAACTGTTGAGCTGCTTGGCTACTACTTTCATCCCATGCCTGTTTCAACAGTATCACTTCAGTATGTTGGTAATGAAATCTATATTTGTGTATTGAGCTTTGCTACAGAGGATAGAGTTAGCACCCTGTTTATGTACAAGATATCAGCTAAATCACCAACCAGAGGATTCCCCTCTGTCGTTGGTCACACACCTGCCATACTCCCCATCGTGGATGATAAATCTGGTAGAAATGTAAGTTCATAACGTTTTTCCTAGTTTCTTTTACTAAACTGCATGATTACTGCCAAGTCTTGTTTTTTATTCTCTAGTTATCTGATAATTGTGTTATATTTCCTCAGAGAACACTCGAGAGATCTTATTTGCACTTCACTCCGGACGGGCAGCATCTTATTTTTACTGGCAATATCAAAACACCTTATTGCAGGTTCAGACGTCTCTCTACTGTCTTATGCTGTACATGGATACAGAATAAAGATATCAGAGCTAAGGGATTACTTTTTTTTTTCCTTTTCGCAGGCAGAGAGAAATTGATTGCTTGTGTTTGACTTGTACATCAGCCTCCTTTGAGGAGAATGCAGTGAGAATTGTCGAGGTGAAAGCGGGTTATGTTTCTCTTGTGACAAAACTTCAAGCAGTTGACAGTGTACAGTGCGTGGTGGTGTGCGATCCTAACTATCTCATTGCTGTTGTCAAAAGTGGAAACCTTATTGCCTGGGCCATGAACTCGGATTGGAGGTGCTCTCATCAGAGTTCATTGCTCTTCTCCTAAAACTTTTTTTATTAAATCCTTCTTGTGTGTGGTGCTGCAGGCTGGATCATCATTCAACTTTCTTCTAATGTTCTCTTCTTCTAAATTTGCAGAGGTTCTACCGAAGAATTCGTTATACTCGCAAATCCTTGCATATCTTCATGCATCGTGGAACTGAAGAAGATCCCAAAATGTCCTCATCTCATTATTGGGCATAATGGTATTGGAGAATTTACAATATGGTATTCTGCTCCCTCTCTCTGTCTCTAAAGTTTTTTCTCTACCCATCTGTTTGTTAAATTACAGAACTTAATTCCTGCTAGGGAATGATGAGGATGAGCCAACTTTGCATTTCCTTTTTCTTCTTTTCTCCATGGCTGCAGCCTGCTAACTTTGTTTATTTTCGACTCAGGGATATCTCAAAGCGAAGCCTAGTATCAAGATTTGTATCTCCCAGCAATTTGATATTTGAGTTCATCCCAACCAGCTTGTTTGCGTGGCACACTGTACATAATCATTCTACCATCGAGGATCACGTTGACGTGATATTAGCTGCAACAAAACTGTGGTTCTCAAAAGGGGTCAACAACAAAACATTGGTCCCAGCTGAAGTCGAAGACACTGCCATCTGGCTTTTAGTCTCGACCGACCCTGACCCAGACGCTATATGTGACCGTGTAGAAAGTCCAGCTAGATGTTGGAGACTGGCTCTGCTTGTGAGAAACCAAGTCATATTGGGAAGTCAACTGGACCCGAGGTTGACCATCAGACATCTCCTTCTTTACCGGCATATTTTGTTTCTTAAGCTTCTTAGGTCCCGTGAAAAGTAGTTTTGCTTTGAGGACTATATGAGAAGTAAAGGTGTATAAATGTTTTAACATTTCGAAATCCATGGTCCATTGGCTTGGCTATGGATTTGTGGTTTACAGGGCTGATGTAGCCGGCACAGTATCTGGTCACGGAGTAGCAGGAACACTTGATGGACATGTGTACATGTGGGACTTGTCGACCGGCACCAAACTCGGCTCTCTCCATGATTTCAAAGGTAAACATTGGTTTTAAAATAGCTGTTCATGAAAAAAACGAAGATAGTTGTCAAAAGTTATTATGAACTGTGACCTCGTGGATTTTTTCAGGTCAAGGAGTTTCGTGCATAAGTTCAGATGATTCTGGAAATATATGTATAGCAAGTGAGGATGGTCAGCTTTTGGTTTATTGCCATCCCGCAAAGGAAACTCAAAATCAAGAAGGGTAATAAAATTTGACTTGGAAAGAAGAATTGTAGAAATGTAAGAGGATGAATGAAAGTAGATCTTATGTATATTCGTTGTTCTTTGATAATTTATTTTAAAATTTTGAGAAACTACTGGAAGTTATTGAAAGTACGAACCTCTTGATAAATGATCGTATAAAAATCTAAGCTGCATGAGAACCCATTCCGTTAAGGGTTTATAGTTATAAATCCTAACCATGATTATTTTCCATCAAGCACCTAGAAAAAATTATGAAATGCAGTTCATACTAGGGTTTGTAAATTGTAACATAAGTATCTAGTTAGTATAAAACATATCATTTGATAATGCCGATAAGATAAATTCGATATCTATAACTCAAGATTAATTTCCTGGCAATGGTGAAGTGCAGTTCACGTTAAAAAGAAAATAAAGAACAAACTCATAAGAAAATTAAACTGGAAAAACGACGTCGTCGCTGGTAGGGCTCTTATCTTTCTCCTCTTCTTCTCTTACCTACCCAAAAACCCCAAAAAAAGGAGAAAAACAAAAAAAAAGAAAATTGCAAGGCTCGCAGCTCGTAGCAGAAAAAATGCCGACTCTCACAAAGCTGTACTCCATGGAAGAAGCCGCAACTCACAACAAGCAAGATGACTGCTGGGTCGTCATCGACGGAAAGGTCCGCTCTGTCTCTCTTCTAATTTCAGGATTTTTTTTGGATCCCTCTTCTGAAGGGTACATGTGTTGCAAATTTGCAATCTTTGAGTGAATTATCCACTTTCGAAAAATTATGTCTATTTCTCGATTGATATACAACTCAATGAAGAAGACTCATGTAGTTTCTGTTTATGTTTCTTTCTCTTTTCGATAATGCGTTGACTTTGAATCATAGTCCTCAAGAAAAGAATTTGGGTGATGGGTTCTTTGAGAAAATTATCTGAAACTTGGCTCTCTTTCGTTTACAGGTCTATGATGTAACCTCTTATATGGATGAGCACCCTGGGGGAGATGATGTGCTTCTTGCTGTCACCGGTAGCTTCTTTTTCTTTCTCAGTCTTTGCTATTTTCTTTAATGGTTTTATATCTCTCTTTTCTCTAACCCAAGTAAATGTGATGTTCTTAAAAGGCAAAGATGCAACAGATGAATTCGAAGACGCAGGGCATAGCAAAACCGCTATCGAACTCATGGAGAAGTATTTCATTGGCGAGCTAGACGAAGCTTCTGCACCGAAAATGCCAGAGCTTAAGATCTACAAGATTGATCAGCCAAAAGACTCTGTTCAAAAGCTTGTCGATTTGACAAAGCAGTATTGGGTTGTTCCTGTTTCCATTATCACCATCTCTGTTGCGGTGAGCGTCCTCTTCTCTCGCAAGAATTAAGTCTCTTTTTTCCCAGGAGAGAAGAGCTCTGAAATATTGAATTGTTGGGGAATCAACTTTCCACACGAGAATTCCCCATTATAGATTTTTTTTTTTTTTTTTGAATAACAGAAAAGATAGATCAATATTGTTTTTCACCTTTTCATCCCGAGGGATTCAGATTTTGAGTTGGGATATGTTTCAATGCACAAATTAATGATATGATTACTGGATGCTTTGGTTTGCTCACTTTGCTGGTATCAACTATCTTATCTAAAGTCTCTATTTAGCTTTACTCTTACTCAGCAATTAACTAAACTAGCCTCGCCAAGTCTACAACATTATCTCTACCTCTAAATATGTGTAGGATCTCTGTCAATTCGTATCGGGGAGACCACAAGTATCTTCTGAAACATCTTCCTTGTAAGAATATCTGAATATGAGACACTGTTGGATTTATGATAGAGCAAATTATAAGAAGACACAGACACTTTGGTTAATGCGCTAACAGGATAGTTTTGGTTTTGGTGTCTTTTGAAACAAGTCAAGACCATCTAACGTAGTAAGCGGCTAAGCACATGTATATATTTAGGAGGCGACAAGTTTCCAGCTTTTATCTTTAACAAAGTAAAAAACAAAAAAGGTGAGAGACATGTTAACAAGACGAAGAGTTGGGATTCAGAAGAAGTTATTAGTTGCTTACGCCACCACTGAAGAGGTAGTCCAGAGATGAGCCGCCTCCAGGGGCCGCATGAACCTTCGATGGCCGGTCCTGCATTCAACCAAAACTGCATTAGTAAACTCTGCCTTAGTTCACCAAAACGTAAATCAAAAGCTCATTCAGAAACTTTATGTGAAGTTGGTGTTTCATATCATAATTACAATTATGTACCGATATACTAAGCCAATTTTCCTATTTCAAATGTAAAGCCATAGTAGCAAACTTCAGAGATGTTTCTTGCAAAATATGAGCTACGTACTTGTGTGTGAGAAGGTTCTGCTTTTTGTAATTTGAATGAAACAACAAACATACCCACAATTTGGAGAGAACCCAAATTAAAAATAAACTGATTTTTGGTGACCGAAAATCAGGATATTACACAATTTATATTTGATTTAATTAAAAATTGAACTAGAAAAATAGTAAAAACTACCAAAAAAATAAAAAATAAAAAAATCACCTTTACTTAAAATAAAGTATTCAAATACCTGCATTGCATGTATAAGAAAGACTAACAGGACTCGACAAAAAAACGAAAACATTTCCTAATCACGACCGAATTGATTTCCTCGGGACTCGAGAGATAAAACTGTATGTCGTATTTTTTCCTCCGACAATGGCCCTGAAGGAGCTCAAAGATCGTCTAGCCCGGTCTTTTGAAAAGTGAGAAAAATATGAAGGATTGCATGGACGAGATTACAGGGGCTCTGATTGACGCTGATTTTGCTGAAATGGTCGTGGATAATATAAAGGGGAAAATCCAAGAGACTATCCCGTCCGCGTCCAATGATTCCGACAAGGGCAGGCTAATGTACGAGGTGAGTCCGATTAGATTAGGTTTTGTAGATCCTTTAATAATATATATCTATATATATATATATATTGGTTCTGATTTTTTAACTTTGCGCGGGGGTTAGATTTTTTCAATTGAACGGCTTGGAGACTTTCTTCAATGAGCTCTGTCGTAATCTTGATCCGAGAAAATCTGCTATCATTGAGGAAAAGCGTAAAATAAACATAGTCATGTTCGTAGGGTTAAGAGGTCAGTGAGTCAGTGTAATTGTTATGTAATCTTAATTGATTGATAAAACAAAACGTGTATTACTAATTATTTCGTGTGCATGCATGCAGGCTCTGGAAAGAGCGACACGTGTGCCAAATATGCTCGTCACCACCTGAAGATGGGATACAAGCCAGATTTGGTGTGTGCTGAAACCTACAGTGAGGATGCTTTTAAGAGCCTACAGAAGACCGCGGGAGAGTATGTCCCAGTCTACGGAAGGTTAACAAATTATTAGAGCACATTATATTTTTCTCTATTATAACTTGTTTGCAGCCGACATTCGCCTACTTGGTTTCGTTTCTTTTCAGCCACAAGGAAGATCCTGCAGAAATTGCCAAAGATGGAATTGCATCGTTAGTGAGATGGAAGCGTGATTTTATAGTTGTTGACACCAGTGACAGTGAGCCGCATGAAAAGTGGTCTAGCCTGTTTGTAGAGATGAGGAAATTAGCATTAGCAGTGGTATGATGTGTTCATCATGTTTATCTCTTTTTATTTTTGTCCTAGATGATGGCCAGCTTAACATGTATTAATGCTTACTTTGGTTTTGTTGCAGAAACCAAATCTTGTCATACTCGTCATTGATGGCAGCATTGGTCGAGTTGCATTAAATCAAGCTCGCGCATTCAACAAAATTTTCACTAATAGAGGAGTTGTCATTGTTACTAATATTAAGGGAAACTTAAAGTCTGTTGCTGCTCTCGCCGTGTAAGCATTTACAAGTGTTTTTTTGTTCTTATCATTCAAACGTTTCATCACTTATCAGCGTGCAGTTGACATTTTTTTTTTTTTTTTTTTTTTCATGTTTTCAAGTGTTGCAGCAGTAGGGTGTCCCCTGATATTAGCTGAATCTGGAGAGTTTGAACCATATGAAGCAAAAGCTTTTGTCAGGTGTCTCTTGGGTAAGCATATTCCCTTCTTCTCCTAGCCTTGTGAATTTGCTTCAGTAAAGAGACACTCATGATTTGCGCAGAAAACCCATGGTTATCTCCAGCTAATCAACATGTGGATAAAACCTATAAGTATACCCTGAGAGATATGTATGAGTTTTATAAGGATGAATTTCGGTTGGGGACAAAGGTAGTGGTTTCATATTTCAGTAACTCTTTTCTTTAGTTGAATTGTAGACACTGGGACCTTTCTTCCAAATTCGCTATTGTTGGAGGTGGGCTTAGCATCCCTAATTAGTTAGACCCATGGACAATAAAATCCTTAGACTAAGTCAATAAAAACCCAGTCAAAGTCAACGAGCCCGGTCAGCATAGTCCCGCTAAATCGTCATCATTACGACACCGATCTATAGTGCGCGGAGCCGAGCAGAACCTCACACGTGTAAGGGCAGTTCGTCTACAGTAGCCTAAGCACGCAAGTAGCTCGGCGAAGGACCATCATCACACGCCGTAGAGTGGTTCAGATGCGCGGCTCGAGACGCCGTACTCACGAGATATGCTGGAGCTGCCACGTCGTCTCGATTTGGAGGAAACACGTCTCCCAACTCCCGCTATAAATACTCTTCATAGATCATTTATGCCAGGATCGGAAATTTATTACTTTCTCTCTCTACTTTAATACACTTGTCTCTCTACCGAGTTCGCTGTAACAATATTAAAAGCACCGAACTGGACTCTTTCCAGATTTAGTTCGAAACGCTAATTATTCTCTCTTTATAAACATCTCTCACGGCTCTGAGCTGACACTTTCTCTTCCTCCCCGAACTAAATCACTCTTATTATACGAAAATCTCATCTCGAAATCATCTCTAATCATTCTCATCATCTGTTAAACATACTGAGTGATTTCTAGGATCAACAACTGTGGTATGTTTTCCAGCCAAGTCAAAACCGCAACGTGATCGAGCGGTACCTGACAATAATGGAGTCCATGATGGAGGAAGGTAATACATTTATCAAGTGGTGATGAATCGCTGATTGACCGACCATTGAATCATATTCATCTCTTGTTGTTGTTTTCTACTGTAGAGCTTGATAAACCAAACGAAATCAGCAACGTCCAAGTGTTGGAGATAGCTGCACGATCCAATGTAGATGCAAAAGATGTTGTGAAATGCATGGCAACTTACATAATGTGGGGTGGGCTGTTTGGGATGCGCAAAGAATCTAGTATAAACAGTGCGAGTGTTTGAGGTGGTCCAGTAGAGATGCTTTTTGCAAAATATGTGCTAGTTGTGTGTGAGAAGTTTATGCTTCTGCTAAAAGAATTTTTTTTCCAAAATTATTCCAAATGATGTCGTATCATGTTTCTATTTCGACGGAGATTTTAGCATGAGAGATGGGTTAGACCCATTAACAATTTGACGGAGTTGATTAACGGCAAAAAAAAACTGAGTTCAAACATCAATATTCACATAGTTCGGATATGTGTCGACACAGCAACAAAATGCATGCACTAATTTGGTACTAAAATATGCAGTTGAAGCAAGAATCGACACTTTCCCATAATCTCACTATTCATAAAGTCCATTCAAAATTCGGTGAAAAAATAACAGAGAGATAATAGATTTACGAAATAATGACGAAGATCAAAATTAAATGGGAGTTAATGACGAAATAATTAAAAAAATAAGAACAGGGCGCAATTTGGGTTTTGTTCTCCTCCATGCTCGGACCAACTCTCAAAAAACAAAATCAGTGAATCACTAATTACGAGATCCTATTACCGGTTTAGTTTAGTTGTATCCGGTATAATAAATAAATAACCGATAGCATTTGTGAATCGACGACATCACGATGATTTCCTGGATGGTATTTGAGATATCTCGACGAGGATTCGGTTCAATGACTGAGGTCGAGAGAAGAACGGTGCGTGATCGGATCCTTTAAGCTGGAAAACTTGTTCAGGCGGATTCAATTTGATCATCGCCTCTTGAAGAGGAACCGGTACGGCGTAATCCTCCATGGTTTTGATGTAGAACCGTCGGATAGAGCCGTAGTTTTTCTCAGACACGTGAAGCTTTTCGCCGACCGGTGCGAATGGGATCGGTCTCATGGATACCGATGCCAATGCGAGGTCCTAAACCAAAAATGCCGAATTAGTTTCAGTTAAATCAAACCGAATTGTACCGGTATGAGATTGGTTCGCTTACCTTTGGAGGGCTCTGATTATAGAGAAATTCTCTAAGCAAAGATCTGTCAAAATCAACGGCGGTTGGAGGATTCTTTTTGCCGTTGGCGTACAGAAAGATCTGAGCTTGTTGCATCAGATCATTTGACCCCAGCTAAAAAAAAATTAATGAATGCAATTAAGAAAATGGATTATAAGCAGAAGATAATAAAAAAATGTCAAAGTGTAACGTACCTGTTGATTAAAGAGATCAAGAGTGCTTTGACCATTAGCCAACATAGCAGCAGAGATAAAGACGGCTTTGGAGATCTTAGTAGGAAACATTTCCATGGCATAAGACACACAAGCACCTCCAAAATCATGACCCACCAAAATCACCTGTATAATTTTAATTATGCTCTTTAAACATATGATCTAACTGTTGTAATAATTTTCCATCATTAATATGCTCAAAGACAAAGTTGGGAACCTTCTCTGTAGGTTTGAGAGATTCGAAGAAGTGGAGGAGAGGCTTGGAGTAGTGAGCGAGGCTGGTTATGTTGTTGGTGTCAGTAGAGCTTACACCTGAACCGGTCAAGTCAACGGCATCGACTTGGAAACCATGTTTCTCCAAAAGAGTTATGGTTTTGTACCAACACCAAGCCCCGAATCCTCCACCATGAACCAGCACGAACCGCTTCGTCTCTGAACCTTCCGTCTTATTCAGCTGCTGTTACACATACAACACATTTGTCCCTCACAATGTCACAACATAGATATAAGCTGTGATTGATTTTTCCTTTCGTGTTTTACATTTTCAAGAAAAAAGAAAAAGAAAAATCTCCGTTTCTATGTGCAATTTTCTATTCAAAGTTAGCTAATGTTTTCGTTTATAGAATGCTAAAAGTTGTGGCTTCATCTAAGAAAAAAACGAATAACGTATTAAAATATGTAAAATGCAAACGAATGCAACTTTTAGTTTCTATCAAGTGAAATGCTTGCCTTGTCTACGAGTTGGTTAGGTTTGATCATGGGATCTGTACTAGACCTTTGCCTAGAGCTAGAGCTTCTTACAAATGCACTAGTTGACTTCTTGGGAGTCTGAACGGCTGAAACAGGTCCTGAGCCGCCGCCTGAGCTTGCTGGCTGAGTCGTGGGATAGACCACGGAGGTGGATCGTCTGAAATTTGGAGGAACAACAGAGTTGCTGTTACGAGGGGTTTGGTTGAAGAGGAGATTGGTGGCTGCTAGTGTTTGCTCTTGAATAATGTGAGAGTCTTTGTCATGGCCATGGTGGTCTTGATGATGTCTCTCTCTAATCTTCTTCTTGGCTTTGATCCCGCCTTTCTTGGAAGACGAAGTGGAGGATGAGCCAGAGCAGGAGAGCGAAGGAAGTAGCGTACGCTTTCTAAACGAAGGGATCAGCGATAAGCGACGCATGTATTTCCCGGAGTTGCTTCCTCCTCCTTTGCTTCGGCCGCCTGGGGATTTCTTGGGACGTTGTTCCTCCTCGTGAGAGATGCATGTGAACGAGTTCCCCATTTTTTTTTTTTTTTAATTTTGCTCTGTGTTGGTTTCTCCACAAAACAAGAAGAGAATGTTTATAGATGCGTTGTGTGTTACAATGTTCGTGCTTGCCTCTGTTAGAGATTTGAAACAGTTGAGACCTTCACGTCGTGAAAAAGGGTCTCTACAATACACTTTGAGGTTCCAAGTACTCAAAAGCATTTGATTATTTGACTATATATCTGACTGGTACTGAGGAAAACATCTGCTGATAGCTGTGAGAATATTTGTATTTTTGACATATAATAAGACAATAATTTATTATAAGGGAGGAACATGGAAGGCACATTCTTTGATGACATTTAGAAGTACAAAGGGAATGGCCCTTTTGACTTTCAAGACGACTCAAGTGCAGGCCAGAGCCAAAAAAAAATGGCAAGATACAACAACAAAAAAAACACGTTCTTACCCAAATTGTTTGGTGTCTCCAGCTCCATAAAATAGCATCGATTATGCTTGGTCGTCTTCTTTCCTCTAAACTAATGCTATGCTCAGCCACAATCATCTTCTTTGAATCAAACAAACAACTTTCCTTAATGTTAGCATCAGTCTCTAGTGGTCTCAGTGTTCCATCTCCAACAGAATAGTAACAGTTATCTGCATCAGAGAATGAAACTGTAAATAAAAATAACGAAGGACTTTGCTTTCTTGTTCACTGGAAGGTTCAGTATGTAACATTTCATCTCTATGAACAAAGGAGGAAAAAAAAAAGATGGAATTCTTCTCTGTGTGCCAAAGTTAAAAGTTCAAAAACTGATGATAGATATTGGCTGTGTTTTACCTCGTTATAAGCAAAGAAGACGAGTTAATTCACTCTTCTGCTTTGTAATAATGAGGAGCCAACTCAGGCAACCATAAGGGATCAATTCTTGTGAGGTTCTTGATGTACTTTTTGCTGGTTTGCATGAGCTCGTCGAATATAACACACTCTGGTTTGGCACGGAATAAAACAGAAGTTGGGTGGATATGGACAACCTCGCCACTTTCCAAAGCCCTGTCAAGTCATTAGATGACAATAGAAGTTCTGTTGTGAGCAAAGGACCAAAGAACAATAGGCGTATCTACCTGTTAAAACAATAACTGAATCACTGGAAGGTACCTACCTGTATGTACCGTCCAATTGTCTCTGTGCTGCTTTAAGGAAAAACGATGCAGCAAGACATCTACGAAACTCAAGCAAGTCATTTCCGCATGAAGACACATTAAAACCCATCTGTTCAACATGTTCACGGATTTGCCTGCAATAAGCATTTGTAGGGTTATCATACTTCATCAAAAGGCATAATAGTCAAATGTAAGAATCTCAGAAGACAGCATGACCAACCTATATGTATCACGAGCATGCTTCAAGGAGCGGTTATTCACGAAGTTATTAATACACCATTTTTTCATACTTTTATCAATTTTGTTTGCGCCGCCAGCTGATTTTTTCTTCTCCAAGAACTCATCTAACTCCCGGTAAACACTAAGATAAGTTAGGTGATCCCCTTCAATGCTAGCAAAGTGGTTTCTTGAAGTTCTTGCCTGGAGAAGCAAAGATAAAACAGCTGCTTTCATCAACTGTTTATATAAAGGGAAATAAGGATTTCTCCCAGTCCTTTGGTATACTCACCTCTTCTCTCTTCTCACGAGGATCATAAAATATGGATTCCACAGAGAGCATTGCAACAGTGATCAACATTTCCTCGAGACAGTTGAATTGATTGGCCCGAATTAGAGCTCGGGAGTACACAGGATCCAGTGGGAGCCGTGACATTTGGTAGCCAACGGGATCGTCTAGTTTACCATCATCTGTCAAGGCACCGAGCAAGCGCAACTCTGCCAATGCTTTTACTATTGCGCCCCTGTTTAACATCAGATAACAATCTAGATCAACAAAGTGTTTATAACAAAACCAATGGAGAATAAAAGCTTCAGACATGTGTTGAACTTCCTTAAAGAAGACATTAGTGGTGGCAACCAACAAACCAATTCATTGATATCCTCAAGTTCAAGATAATGACAGAGATATCCACAACGAGAAAGAAGTACCTTGAAGGTTTATCTATAAAATCAAATCCAACAATATCATCAATTCCCAGAGCCTTCAGCTGCAAAATAACGTTTGAGAGATTGCATCTCTTGATCTCTGGTTTGGTTGAATCCTCCAGTTTCGCAAATTCGCTTTCCGGATAAAGACGAAAGCACTTTCCAGGGCCCTCACGACCTGCGCGTCCACTAAAGTAAAAGCCAAGAAAAAAGAAAAGAAAAGAAAGAAAATTGCATGTTAGGAAAACTCTCTCCAACCTTCAAACCACCATGAATGGACTCAAAATCGAATACAGAACATGATACCTTCTTTGAAGCGTCTGTGCTTTTGATGCTGGAACAACGTCAAGCGACTCCATTCCTTTCTTCGGATCATAGGTTCGTGCCTTGACAAACCCAGGGTCTATCACATATCTTATTCCAGGAATTGTAATCGATGTCTCCGCTATATTTGTGGCCAAAATCACCTAAAATTTGCAAATACATCAAACTGGATTATTCTGTCTCAACCCATATACAACGAATGAACCAAATCGTTGCTGAACTTGTCTAACCTTACGAAAACCATTTTCCGCTGGGGCAAAAGCTCGCATTTGCTGCTCTGATGGAAGAGCAGAAAAGATAGCAAGTGGTTGTAGCTTCCGCTTGTCTTCAGATAAATGCTTAAGTCTTTCTAGGACAAGTCTTTCAACAGATTCAATCTCATCTTGCCCAGTGAGGAAAACAAGTATATCCCCTGGCTTCTCCTCCAAATGAATCTACAATAATTAGAAATATCAGATGCAAGATTCGTTTACTAGAAAATTCAAATCTCTATTCCCCATAAGGTAACAAGATCAATTATAACCTGAAATATGGTAACCAAAGCTGCATCTACATAATCTGATTCAGGATGAGCAGTGTAAAAAATGTCAACGGGAAACTGTCGCCCTTGCACATGAACAGCTTTGGCACCACCAAAATACTCAGAGAAAACACGTGCATCCAAACTAGCAGACATAATTATCAGCTTCAACGGAGATACTTTCCTGCCTTGACACCCTCTCAATACGCCATTCCGCTGAACACCATTCTCACCACTTGCATTACCAATCTCACTTCTCTCGTTAACAGGCTTTGACCGAGCCCGCTGTATCATTTTAAGCAAGGCCAGCAGAACATCAGTATGAACAGTCCTGTCATGAGCTTCATCGACAATAATGACTGAATATCTAGAAAGAAGCGGATCCAACAGAGCTTCTCTGCAAAAAAAAAATAAACCAACAGAGGTTTTGTGTTTGTTAAAAACTTAATAACAGACACCAGCCAATACAACCTACAGCTATGAGAGACTAGTGATGAGAAAAAGAATCATGTATATAACATGTGGGTTTGTATACCTCAACAATAATCCATCTGTCATGTATTTCAACCTCGTTGAGCTAGAAGTAGAATCATCAAACCTAATGGAATAGCCAACTCTTTGGCCCAACGGAACATCACATTCCTGAGCTACCCTTTTAGCAACAGTCACGGCAGCAATACGCCTCGGCTGTGTTATCCCCACCATCTTTCCTTCTCGACAGAAACCAGCACTGAATAGGAACTGAGGCAATTCTTCATAAGAGAAAACAAAACATATGATCAACCTCAATTAAATAAGTAGTTTTATATCTCCCAGTTAGTATTTATTTAACAACTTACGAGTAGTTTTCCCACTGCCAGTTTCACCCACGATAATCAGAATATCATTGTTGTTAACCTCCTCAATCAGACGTTTCTCCACTGGATTTAGATAGCAACACCAACAAAGTTAGTATCCACGGCAATGGAAATATCAGGAAAATTGTATAAAAGAAAAGAGCGCACCTGAAGCGATAGGAAGAGACTTTCTATGTTCTGCTATCTTTTGCCTCGTGCTGTGATACAGTCAAACTCAAAAATCATTACGCACAATCTTTCCTGGTAATGATATCAGAAACTATGGTTAAATCAACAAAGTAGAGACTAACCTGAAGCGAGAAGCAGTAGGAGATTGACCTTGCACCATGATTGTTATCCCCAGAAAAATTCACCAAGGATTTGTTCGGAGATAGTTGCGAAATCTTTTCCAACCTGGGCAAGAAATCCAATAACAGTTCAGGTCGAGCTCGAATTAGAACAGCACCTTGAACTTGAAGAGAAGATGGTAATTAAGCTCTGTGCTTGTCCTAATTCTTCTACCAAAATAAAAACAAAAATCATGCGCGCCGCGAGTTCTCGTTTAGGTTTTTTTTTTTGGCACTTCTTAGGTTCGTTCAAAACCGATTGGACCGGTTGAAATGCAATCCGCTGCGTCGCCCGGTTTAACTTTTTATTGTTTGTTTTTTTTCCTTTTCTTGCTTATTTATGACCTTTTAGTTAGCTTTTTTTTTTTCTCCTATCTAAAAAAAGACTTAAGACTGCCGATCAACCCATGAAATTCCCGGTTAAAACAGGGGAATTGAAAACCAAGAAGTTGATTATGTTAAATAGGGAAAGTGACATGCCCTCTAGTCATATCTCACACTTGCTAATTGAGTATCAAAATTCGTCTGCTTGTTTGCCAGATCTTGTATCTAAGAGGTTGTTTCAATATGTCATTGCCTTTTAAAATGTTTTTTTTTATGTATGAAAAAAAAATTAAAACGAACTTCATAGCATATGTATAATACAAAAATAAGCTTTTAAAAGTATTTTATTAAAGGCAATGTTTATCAATCCATAACATGACACGGCCCTGTGCTTTATAGCTACATCACCAAATCATCAGCGGAGTAATAGTCGGCAATTAGACGGTACATGTAAGATGGGTTGTGTCCTCCTCTGTAATCAAGATAGTACTACCATCATCAGCTTCTTAACCGAAGTAACGCCATGAAAATGAACCCATCGACATATATAGTAACTAGAAGAAAGCAAAGGATATACAAATACGAGACTTACGTGTCGGTTATAAAGAGACTAACAAGGGTTTGGTGGGACGTAATCGAATGTCGGGTTTACAACTTGAAGAAGGGGAGACCCAGAACCCACTCCAAAATCTAGGCAATCAGAGAATTCACCAAAATCCAACAATTCAGAAGGTGATCTCAGCTCGTTTAGTAATACCTCTGGATTGTGTGGATACAGTGGACATAACTGTTTATTACATTAAAAAAAAAAAAACTCAAGTCAAGTTTTGAGGTTCTTGAGAGCAATCAATGGTTTGAGACCAAAAAAGAAAAAACACAACTCAGAAACCAACCTTGTGACTTCCGGCTAGAACCACAAATGGGACTGCGTGCTTTTGTGCTGCAAGAGCAGCCATGTTGACTCCAACAGGTCCTATAACCCCACCATTAGCCATCACTGCATGAGCTCCAATTATAACCTGTGCATTATCTACCTCATTTGTAATCTATTTTTAGAAGCCAGGGACAAGAAAACATAGAATTGGGCAGGATTGAGAAAGTACCATATTCACTCGAGATATCATGGCAAATACTGCAGAGTCAGTGATCACAGTGGTCGGCAAACCTCTGGCTACTAATTCTTTTGCTAATAGGTGGCCCTGATACCTAACAATATTATAGAATTGGAAGAAAAACAATAAAAATGATACAGCTGAGTTAAATGGACACTAATGATGTCATGATGAAACATTAGAAAAAGGAGACACCAAACCTTGGTGCACCTTCGGCGACAAATACACGAAATGATCGTTTTTTCTCCTTTGCAGCACACAGAAACTCGAGTACTGTTCTTGAGCTACCCAGGGTTAGAATCACCTCGCTGAAGAGAAAACAAAAAGAGTTTAGGCAATACAAAAGTTGTCAACAAGGAAAGATACTGACAAACGAACATTTTGGTTCCTTGCATAGTACAGAAAATTATTAGTATAGAGACGAAAAAGTACTTTTGATGTATATGCTCTATAGCCTGCTCAGCGATCTGCTCATGACAACCAGCAATCTCTTGGATAAGTTGATTGACTTCCTCTATAACATCATGCTTCAGCTTCCGAGTTATTGAACTTTTATCCGCAGCTAAAAAAAAAAGTACATTAGACCATCAATATCAACCTATTATAGCTGCCAAACAATATTTTGTCCAATGATTCATCCAAGCTAATTACAATAAAAGCGAGATGAACAACTTAAAACCTGATTCTTAAGAACAGAAATTAATTCACTTAATTCATCATAGTAACTCGGAACCGCGACCTGACAGAGAATTCCAGCAACAAAACTACCAGAACCAGTGATGTAGGGTTCTTCCTAAGTTCCATGAATCTCTCAAGCCTAAAAGCCCCAAAACCTTAAACCAGCTTCCTCTGTAGTCCCCTTCTAAGACAGTTCCCAGAAGAAACCATAGGTACCGCCTTGTAAAAGAGAATGTAACTTAATTCATTCTATTCCTACCACAAACACTTCTCTTCATGGCTTATCAAGGCCATAGCTAAAACAGGCTGTATAAAGTTCTAATGAGAAAAAATAGAAATTTGGAAAAGAGAGACAGAGGCATGGAAAAGGTACATTTACTTTTGCTTTCGGAATCAGCACCGGAAGAAGATGTATATGGGACAGTTGCAGATTCAGGAGTGCCCTCAAGAAGCGTTTGCAAAGATGGAGGTCGTAACGTACTCCTAGCAGCTGCAACAACTGCAGCAGACATTGCAGGATACCCAATTCCTTTGCTATTATCAAGTTCATCATCATCACTTGCATCCATCAAGTCCAAACCAGCCATAGCTGCTGTAGTTAGAGAGAGATTCTCCTCCCTTATTATATGCAAAACCCGTCTAACTACATTGCCCACCGCAAGCTCTACATAATCAAAATCCAAAACAAAATTCATTCCTTGGTTGATAAAAGATAAATTGCACAGGCTGAAAGAAAATATGTAAGCGAAGATGAGAGAACATACCAACAGGATTTGCAGCGACCAATTGCTCACCAACGGCTTTCACAGCATCGATAAGAGCTGAAGCTTGGTTTGCGTGAGGCACTCGCTGCTGCGAAATCACTGACCTAAGAAGCTCTACGGTGTATCTGGCTGTGGCCTGTGAGCCTTCAATCTTACTGTATAATATATGATCAACTCTCTTAACAAAAGGGTTTTACCAAAATTAGAGGAGAAGAAACGAAAAAAAGAAGATATACCGTTTTCTGAGCTTGTTGACAAATTCCAACACCGTTGATTGGACGTCTGGCATCTTCCTTATCCGAAGCGTACCTGTACGGCCTCACCGGAGCTGTTGAGCAGAGTAATCGGCGGCAAATACAGAAGAATCGGAAACCATGTCGTATTTTAGCGAAACGAAAACCCAAAACCCCAATCTTAAATCGAAACCAAGAAACAAGACCTGGGAGGGTAACTAACCTCGGAAATGTTGTGGACTTGGACACAGAAGACCTCACACTTGATATCACCCAGATTTCGTCTGCAAAGACAGTAACCAACTGAAGAAGATCGATGAACTCAATCAAAATTGCCTCTGCTCGTCCTTTGGTGAAGAAGAGATGCCAAATGGCGTCGTTTCGGAAAAATAAAAACCCTAGGCGCAACGATGTCGTTTAAGGAAAACGAAAACACACACGGCTGTTATATGAACTGTTATATGAAAAGAGGAGATAATTTCCTTTTCAAATGAATTTACTAATTTAGAGACTAAATTTGTGTAACTGTCTGATGATCTATCCAAACCAAACTTGTGTAAGAAAAATCGATACAGTGAAATACTTTATTGAGTAATGAATATAACAAAATGATCATAATACAACAGTAATGAGAACTAGATAAGGTATAAACACATGCCAACATAGCTTATTACACATGATAAATAAAAAGGGATAACGAATAATATATATAACATTACTACATTAGACGAGCAGGAGGAATACTCTGCTCATTCTTGAAGAAATTCTCAGGATCATACTTAGCTTTAACTTCCATCAATCTCTTCAAATTTCCCAAGAAATATTTGGATCCATAGATCTTAGCTTCATCCACGTTTGTCTCACCACTCGGATTGCTTCCAACATCCATGTCTCTGTAATTAAAGAACGCCTCTCTCGGATTACTTGACACGTACGGTTCCGCAACCTCGTAAAACTCCTTCATCATCTTCAGGCTAGTCTCTGTGGCGTTTGCGTCCAACCATGTCGTAAAGTATTGAATCTTGAACAAGTTTCCTTTCCGGTGAGGAAACGCCGTAGCGGTCGCCGGAATTCGATCCATCACGCCACCGTAAGGGTTCCATTGCATCCACACAACATTGTTGTTGAATTTCAACATTGCCTTCCAAAGCTTCTCCATTCCTTCTTTAGGGATTGGTTTCTTGACGTAATCTGATTTGCTCTTGAAAAAATCTCCCGGGCTCGATGGTCTATCTAAAAGAATGCTTGTCGGTGTACCGGCTGGATAATCGGCCCAAAACAACGTCGTGTTAAGCCAACTCATTTCTTGACAATCTTCACGTTTTAGCCCTAATTCAGGAAAGTTCTCGTTCATTATCATCATTAACTCATCGGTTCGACCCAAGAACTGAGCGTAGAATACAACCGCGATGGTTCTCTGGCCACGTTTTGTTCCGTTTACGACCTGAGGCATTGCTCTGATGAAAAGACTTTCAGGGAATTTGGTAGAGACAAGCTGCCACTTGTAGAGAACATCAGTGCCTCCTTGTTCCAATGTTTTGTTAACCCTAAACACTGTCAGGATCTTTGGAACCTCGACGAGGTTGATTTTCCAAGAGAGGATAACTCCAAAGCTCCCACCACCACCACCACGAATCGCCCAAAAGAGATCTTCTCCCATGGTAGCTCGATTCAAGAGCTTGCCATTGACATCAACTAATTGAGCATCAACTACATGATCCACTGTGATTCCGTATTTTCTCATTAGATTTCCGTAGCCTCCACCGCTGATGTGTCCTCCAGCTCCTACCGTAGCGCAAACACCGGCCGGGAAAGCTAGTGTGTCGCTCGCATCAGTGATCTTTGTGTAGAGCTCTCCCAAGGTCGCACCAGCTTGAACCCAAGCTTTCTTGCTCGACACGTCAACAGTTATAGACCTAAGGTTGTACATATCGAGAATTACAAATGGCACAGACGACATATAAGAAAGGCCCTCGTAGTCATGACCACCACTTCGGATACGGATCTGGATACCGTTGGACTTTGCGCACACCACCGTGGCCTGAACATGAGATACATGTTTTGCCGCCACGATGGCTAGTAGGCTTTTGTAGTTAGGGCTCAAGAACCTCTTGTTTTTCGTGTAGGACACGTAAGATGACAAGAAGGTGGTGGTGTTATCGGCGACGAAGATGGCATCGGAGATTGGATTCTCTGGATTAGTCCGATGGCGCAGGCATCCAATGAAGTTTCCAAAATGTGGTTTCGTTACTGCTGCTTTGGAAACCGAAACAAGAAGAACAAGACACAAAACAGAAATAATTGCTTCTTTCATTTTTGTTTTGTTTATGTTTTGTTTATCTAATATGTCTTACGCCTCTATTAGGATCTTTATTTATAGAAGAAAACAAATTCTTACGAGAAATGTTTCTCAAAAAAGACTGTTGAGAAATTTTATTTAAAATTGACTTTTTGTCATACAGGTTTACTTTGAAATTTTTTTTTCTCTAAAAAAATGTAGGTATATTTTGAATAAGCTTATTATATTCTTTTTTTTCTTGGCTAAAGATAAGTTCATGCAAACTGTAACACAAATTAAATAAATAACAATAAATTTTTGTAATCAAGCTAAGTACTGTATTTGAAGGACTCTTTTCTCATGGTCAAGACTCAAGAACGTAAGACGGATTAAAAAACATAAGATATATAAGACTTAATTCACATTTTCAAGAAACCAATCTATTTATTGAATCATTTATGATTAGATTTTGTTGATTTTAATGTATTAGAAAAAACAGAAATAAAATTCTAGAATACGCTGAATGTTCCTCTCTTTTGTTTTTCCAATCACTGTTTTTTCTCCCGTCGTTGAATTCAACTTTTTATAGGTTACGTTTGTATGATTGAAAAACTAATAATCCTTTGATATAAATAAATTAAAATAATTAGATTGCCCATAATTTTGAAATATACTTTTTTATAACGTATAGACTTTTTTAAATAACGTGTAATAGACTTTTCTCATAGCAGAAAGTTGATTTTTTTGCCGCAGCATCAAACATATGAATGATCTCTATTGCACGTTATCAAAAACAAAAACATATCAAACGTTCGGCTAACCACAACGGCGGCAAATTTTGTATAAGCGTATTTTATTATCAATTTGTTAACAGCCATCGGCGAATTTGTATGTACGTAATTTTTGATAATTTTGTTTGAACAATTGAATTGTGTCGACTATTGTAATTTTTAAGTTGGTTATAGGGCGTGTGGCTGCTAACTACAATGGCTGACTTTAGATCCCTCCTTATCGTCTTATATTTTTTTGTGATTATTCTTTTACTCAATCAATTTTCTACTTATCTTTAGTATTTTTACTTAAATTACAAGTAACCCTTGGCTGATATATCTGTATTCACTTCATTTCTTATATAAACGAATATCAAAAACTGATCATATATATATATATATTGAAGTAACCAAAATGTATCGAGGCAAATCATGAAAGTTTGTTGAGGGCCATTGAGACTCGAGAGCATGCATGAGTAGTCTTCATGTCACTCGTGTTGTTATCTCTTTGGAAGCTACGGAACTTGTTGTGCGGTGATTAAACCGTATAGGATTTGGTTGCATTTCGGAGGCAATATCTTATATTGATTGAAGGATTAAGCAGGATTGCAGATCACGTAACTAACAAAGATGATTCCTCAATTTCCCAAAGTGTTTATACTCTGTGATGATCGAAAACACAATCTTATTTCGTTGCTGGATTTCCTTTGTGGCTGCAAAATCTCTTTGACCGCAAACGATCCTTTTTATCTGTGTAAAAAGTATCTGTGTGGTTTGCTTTGGCTGCGTTTCTTTCATTTTGGTTAATACTCTGTTTTGCGGAGCAATCTGTTTTGTTTTTGTTTCCTTTAAATAAGAATATGAATTTCAAGGGGAATATAAAGAAAAAAGAAATGCAAATGGGACAATAGTGAAACTACATTGGCTAAATAACACATGCCCATATAACTTATTACTTTTGATAAATTAACATGATAAAAAGAGTAACATTACTACATTACAGGAGCAGGAGGAATACTCTGCTCGTTCTTGAAGAAATTCTCAGGATCAAACTTAGCTTTAACTTCCATCAATCTCTCCAAATTTCCCAAGAAATATTTGGATCCATAGATTTTAGCTTCATCCACATTTGTCTCACCACTCGGATTGCTTCCAATATCGATGTCTCTGTAATTAAAGAACGCCTCTCTTGGGTTACTTGACACGTACGGTTCCGCAACCTCGTAGAGCTCCTTCATCAAACTCAGGCTAGTCTCTGTGGCGTTTGCGTCTGGCCATACCGTAGAGTATTGAACCTTGAACATGTTTCCTTTCCGGTGAGGAAACGCTGTGGCGTTGGCTGGAATCCGGTCCATCACTCCACCGTAAGGGTTAAATTGCATCCACACAATGTTATTGAATTTCAACATTTTCCTCCAAAGCTTCTCCAATCCTTCTTTAGGGATTGGTTTCTTGACGTAATCTGATTTGCTTTTAAAGAATCCTGGATTCGTCGGCCTATCCAGAAGAACGCTCTTCGGTGTACCGGCCGGGTAATCAGCCCAAAACAACGTCGTGTCAAGCCAGTTCATTTCGTGACAATCTTCACGTCTTAGCCCTAGTTCAGGCAAGCGCTGGCTCATTGTCGCCATCAGCTTATCGGCTGGACCCAAGAACTGAGCATAGAATACAACCGCGATGGTTCTCTCGCTGCGTTTCGTTCCGTTCACGACCTGAGGCCAAGCTCTCATGAAAAGATCTTCAGGGAATTTGGTAGAGACAAGCTGCCACTTGTAGAGAACATCAGTGCCTCCTTGTTCCAATGTTTTGTTAACCCTAAACACAGTCAAGATCTTTGGAACCTCGACGAGGTTGATTTTCCAAGAGAGGATAACTCCAAAGCTCCCACCACCACCACCACGAATCGCCCAAAAGAGATCTTCTCCCATGGTAGCTCGATTCAAGAGCTTGCCATTGACATCAACTAATTGAGCATCAACTACATGATCCACCGTGAGTCCATATTTTCTCATCAGATTTCCGTACCCTCCACCGCTTATGTGTCCACCTGCTCCTACGGTAGGGCAAACACCGGCCGGGAACGCTAGCGTTTGGCTAGCTTCGTTGATCTTTACGTAGAGCTCTCCCAAAGTGGCACCAGATTGAACCCATGCTTTCTTGCTGGACACGTCAACATTAATGGACCTGAGATTGTGCATATCAAGAATGACAAATGGTATAGACGACCTGTAAGAAAGGCCTTCAAGGTCATGACCACCGCTTCGGGTACGGAGTTGTATACCGTTGTACTTTGCGCAGACCACCGTGGCCTGAACGTGAGATACATGTTTCGCCGTCACGATGGCTAGTAACTTTTTGTAGTTAGGGTTCGAGTACCTCTTGTTTTTCGTGTAGGACAAGTAAGTAGACAAGAAGGTGGTGGTGTTATCGGCTGTGAAGATGGCATCGGTGATTGGATTCTCCTGACTAGTCCGATGGCGAAGGCACTCAATGAAGTTTGCAGAATTTGGTTTCGTTACTGCCGCTTCTATAACCGAAAGCAAAAGAACAAGACACAAAACACAAAGTGCTTCCTTCATTATTTTTTATGTAATATGTCCTTACGTCTCTATTATGATTTTATTTTATAGAATCAAATCTAGAGAGAAAAAATAATTAAAAATTGCGTCTGTTTTGGCATATAGGTTAACTTTGAATCCGTTTTTGTCAAGTATGTTGACTTTGATTTTTTTTTTCTTTTTTTTCCTTCTTATTATTATTTTTTTTTGTTAAAGACTTTGAATATTCGTTTGTCCATTACAGAGAAATCGCTTTCATGATTGGGATCAGGGATTGAATCGAATCTATCGAACTTCTTTTGTTCATTATATGCACTGCTAATTTTATTAGTGGAATAAAGTTGAATTGTAACAGAGATTTTATAAATGGAAAAGTAATGTGAGACTTCATTCCTATATTCAAGAAACCTATCGTCTATTCAAATAATTTTGTTGATGGTTTTTTTTTGTAAAAGATATCATTTCTAGAATGCAATGAATTGCCGCTTCTTTTCCAGTTCCTGAAGTTATCTTCTTCGTTGAAATCAAATTTTAATACGTTACGTTTGTATTGTTGTAAATTACAAATGATTTTAAGAGGGCCGGAAATTTTGAAAAGACTTTTTGTTTCTCTTTATAACATGCAATAGACTTTTCTTATATCAGAAACGTTGACTTTTTTTTTAAAAAAAAAGTAATATTAAATGCATAAATAGTTTATCATAGATCACTACAAAATCATGATCAAATAAAATTATTTACGTTTATACGTATCTTCTTAACTTAAAATTAGTTAATTCAGCCTCATAGTCATGTTAACACACTGGCCACGGCCGTGGTAGTCTTTTTTTTTGGACCAAAATTAGATAAAGCTCTAATTCTACAGAGTCTGATCAGATCTGCAACGGATTATGTTCTGGGACCAGTGGTTTTAGCTTGTAGTATTGATTGCTGGTTTGTAGAGGTAATATTCGTCTTTAGTAATATATATACTATTAGTAACCATTATAAACATAAGCTGGAATAGCTCAGTTGGTTAGAGCGTGTGGCTGTTAACCACAAGGTCGGAGGTTCGACCCCTCCTTCTAGCGATTCCGTTTTTTATATCATTTCTTATGCAAACAAGGACATTAACGAATTATCAAAAGGCGATTATATGCATTCCCTTTCCAATTAAGTAAGTAACTACAATGTACCACCTTTCAAAGAGCCAACACTAAAGTTATTGGTCATACCGATTTAACTCTTGAGGTAAACCAAGTCTCTTTCCCCAGCCGAGGCCATTAGAAGCCCCACAGCCACAGCGAACATGACCAGCATTCCAATAAGCAAACCATAAGTTCTCGGAGATGATCTTTTATACTCTCCAAACAGATATATCCCCCAAAAAGTCGACACCAACGGAAGTGCCTACTCATGATCATGAATATGAATCAAGATTCACCAAAAGATGACAACTTTCTAGTTTTAAGTTAAAAAAAGTTATAAGTGTGTGTGTGTGACCTGAACAGCATCTGCGGCTGCATAACCTGCAGCTTGTCCACCCATGAACTGAAGACCGTTACCAAACCCACAAATCAATCCAGCCAAAAGAGCCCAACCTCTTCCGTTCCAGTCATTTAGGTAATCCCTGAAGGAAGATCTTGGCGAGTCCAGCACGGGTTTGTAAAGGAAACTAACGTTAAGAGCGATGGCTATAACGAAACAAGATAGTGAGAAGTAGAAGAACGCGGTGTAGACAATCAGCTTGGGAACGCCTTGTTTCAGAGTGTGCCATTGATCATTCGTTGCAAGGTTGAATAAGGGTGAGAACAATGACAAACAAAGGCCTGCAAAGAAAGTTATTCCCAGACCAACAACCATGCTCTTTCCAAGCACCTGAATCCAAGAGAAATACATAGACACTGATTTACTTTGCTGCCTCCAAACTCATGACGGGCCAACACAGAACTCTAAGATAAAGATCCTACTTTGATTGCTCTTGTGTGTTCAAGTGCTATAAGAAAAGCTGTAGTCCATTCGTGTACATTCTCCATCTCCTCCTCTTCTTCTTCTACTAAAATACGAAAGAAGTGAGTGATCTTCTTAACACTATCAGAAAACTAAACTACACTTTGTGTGTCAAACTCCACCTCCAAATAGTCTCTGACAGTCTTCAGGGTTCACAGTTTTACAATCCCCTGAGACTCTTCCGAGTGTTCCCTCTATATCAGCAGAATTGGAAGAGTGAACAGCGGAACCAAGACAAACAGCTACCAAGAAGCAGCCGACACCAGAGAAAAGAATATCTGCTCGGTTCAATCTGTTGTCCAAAACGTAATTGACACTCGTACCTACAACACAATTTAATATACATCAATCACCGAGATATCTGGAGTATATATTGCAATTTGCAGCAAAGTCAAGAGTGATGCACCTATAATAACGGTGATGCTGGCAGTTGTCACTTCTGTAACAGACAGACCAACAAAAGCTAAAGCATACTGAGTAGCAAGGTTCCCAATACTTAATCCCACCCCACCGGCCATTGCAAACAACACCGAGGGCCAGTTATCTTGAATCTGCAGCAGCAGGAGATATGTAAATTAAACCCATCTGAATATAGTACCAGAGAAAGAAAAATCAAAGTCCTTGAAATGTCTAACATGAGTGAGTTGGGTGATGAAACTTGGTGCCTCGAGTGAACTGCCACCAATCCCACCAAACACAACGGCTATGAAGATTGCAGCCAAGAAGTTTGTGAGTGAATAGTCGAGATAAGTGTGTTGTGGGAGACGACCACGCCGTTCAAGAAGAGCCATAAGAGCAGGCCAAGTGCCTAAGCAGAGCAGAGAAAGCATCATACATGTGATTGCTCCTCCTTTGCTCTCCACAACATATATTCCCAATCCATCAGCCACCATCACGGACCAATAATTTCCTGTTTCTGATTAGAATAGTTATAGGATTCGGAGACAAAGAAACCTCAAATAACCACATAATCACCATCATTCCCAAACTAGAACCCTGCCCAGGTTCTATGTGTAATTAGACATTGAAACCGTTTATGAATAGAGAAATCATATTCTAACAGCGATGATTTCAGATTGAGAGCCATAGCAACAAACTGCAGAATAAAGCTTGAGAATTGAATTTAACAAACAAACACAAAGATTTGAAATTTCGACAAATAGCATAGGTATCTGATTCTTTCCCATTATTAACAGTATCCGATTCGTAATCCCATATAGACCAATTGTTGAATAAGTAAAAACGAGAAGAAGAATCTATAGTTGACTTAAAAAAGCTCCCAAAAAGCAGAGCTAAAGTTTGTACCTTTCTACAGATGAACAACAATATGTGGGAGACAGGTCAACGAAGCGGGTTATATTGATGGTGAATCGAAGAAGCTCAACACCTGTTTCTGTACGAAAACTATTTCGCAAAAACTGGACACTTGAGTGTTTCTAAAGCCCAGCCATATCAAGTACAATTGATCAAAATCGAGTCTTTTTGAGAATCCCCATTCAAAAGCATATTTATCAACAGAGAAGTTGATATAAAGAGTCGTAAAGTTTATCATCATTGAAAACTCGAATTTGATTTGGGATGAAATGAGACATTGACCCATCCATCCTAGGTTAAAAGAAAATAAAACCGTAGAGCATCACATCATCTGGATTTACAAAAGAAAACAAGTAAGGTTTTCAATAAACCATGACTAAAAATTGTATTGTTTTTATCCCCAGGATTAGAGTTTTTACTTTCCTCCACTAAATACAAAATGGATAACAAATGCTTGACAAGTAACTACATAATTCGTGTGTGAATCGGCCGTTTTTCCTCCTTATGTAAATGAGGAGGAGTTAAACATAAAAAACATAAAGGAGATTTATAGAACTGGAATAGAAAAGACAGGGAATTTATGGAAAAGACTATTTGTTATCCAAATTTAAAGCTCATCGACCATATGCTCCAGTGCCCTTAATTGAGGCAACTTTGAAACGGTTTTGCCCTTATTCAGGGGAAGTCTACTAACGATTTTGAAGACTTGTTGCGTGCTCTACGTTACGTAAGAAGACATGTCACTTGGGTATAAGAAAAGTACTTGTTATTAATACCAAAAGTTTGATGGGAAAATGCTAATTTAATTCCTCAAGTATTTACAATCAATTAATTTATTCCTCAATTATTGTATGTGCAAATTTATTCCTTAACTGTAAATTGACTTATCAAAATTAGACTCCAAAAGTGTCAACGTTAACAAACAAACTGAAATAGTTAAATTTAAATTCACAAAATCCTTGAAATCATATTTTTCTTCGATTTTGACTCCATACAAAATATATCCTCTTCTTCTCGGCTTAAACACAAAAAAATCAACTTCACCAGTAGTCGTCGCTGCTCTCAAACATTATTTGCGGCTTTGCACCTTCAATCAACAACATGTGACTCCTCTCTTCAAGCAATGGACACAATAACAGAGGAGCGAACCGCATATGTCGACGGACAAAGCTCTTTTTATAACGATGAGGAAGAAATTGATTCTCTCTTAAATTGAAATTTCTATATATCTTCTCGAATGAGTTCGAATGTAAATAATAAAATGTTGGAATTGATCTCCAGCTGCTACAGTATGAGCTTTAAGCTTCTGGATTTGTGCCGCCAAATGTTTGGGAACATTGTGACTTGAAACGACACGGTGGAGGCCGATTCGTCGGAGAGTCTTAACTCAGGTACTATAGATTGGAGATTTGGAGGAAGGGAATGGTTCGTTTCTGGGTAATGGGGAGAACGACATCATTTGGGGAGTAGATGATGCTTGGTTTGGGAGCAAGTGGGTCCTTGGGTTTGCTGAAGAATAGGAGATAGTGTTAGAGAACGATGAAGAAAGAGAGTATTGAGACTGGAGACGATGACTGAATCGAAGAATCAGTAGAATATGAAAAAAAAATTGGAAGAAAAAGATGATTTGTTTACTTTGAGTCAAAACCGAGAAAAAAATAATAAAAAGAATTTTGATAAATTTAATTTAACGATTTCTGTTTTCTGTTTAGCATTGACATTTTTGGAGCCTTATTTTGCAAAGTTAATTTATAGTTGAGGAATAAATTTGCACACACAATAGTTGAGGAATAAATCAATTGATTGCAAATACTTGAGGAATTAAACGAGTATTTTCCCAAAGTTTGATCGTAATTATTTGTTCTTGCTTTGCCGATATACGTGTATCCAGACTAAAATACACTATAGGCTAAAATAAAATATGACTAAACTTAAGAGACCAAAAGAAATATCACATATAAAGTGAGTGCGAATTAACCATAAGATCCACAATAATTTTTATTTAGTAGTTGTTATAAAAACAAAAACAATATAGAGAGAATCATTAGCTGTTGGCCGGAACACTCTTCATCTTCTTTGCCTAAACCCGTACGGCCACGGCAGCGATGGCTGTTAGTAAGATGACCGTCGCGGTTCGGACAGAGAGTTCCTCTCCACCGCTCGGATCGAAACCGGTGCTCCCGGAGGGTCCCATAATATTTCCAGGGAATACAGATGAAGTCGGACTTCCATTAGTGGCAGTGCCGTTGGTTGGCATCCCGGTGGTTGAATTTCCGGTGGATGGAGTTCCGGTGGTTGAATTTCCGGTAGTTCCATTGCCGGCGGTCGGAGTACCAGTTGAGCTGCGAAAGAGTTACACTTATATCATCAAGGGAATATATAAAAAAAAATAAAAGGAGAGAAAATGGTAAAGACATCAACTATGTTGTGTTTCTCTAAACTCTTAAGAATCAATCTCCTTAAAAACTCGCAACAATCGAAGAAGCTGTCATCGAATTACACATCTCACTCTCACACGGGTTTGATATGTTGGATATTTTGGATATAACAGAACGAAAACAGAGAAAAATGCAGAGAATGAAAACAGAGGAAAGGAGGAAGAAAAAAACACACGATCTTCCACGAGTTCAGGCCTCGACTGAAAACCCTACGTCTCGGCTTGATGATGCAAGAAATCCACTAGAATCAGAGAGTTACAGCTACAAAGAATCCACAACACAACTCATCAAACAAGTATGACTTATTCTCCCTGTTTTTAACTAACTCTAGTCTCTAAACCGGTCCAACCTGAACCAAATCGACCATGACAAGTAAACCAACTAATCCCTAATTGATTCTTAAGTACCATTTGAGCTTCAACCAATCCGGTTCAGCTCAACCACAGCGTGTTGTTTGTCAATCAAACCATAATCATCACTCATCCGGAAACTAATTAGTGATCTAAATGCAAAAACACCAAGCAAACGAACCAGAATCAAACTGAGGAATTAAAAAAAAAAAACTAAATTAAGCTCTAAGGAGAGGTGTAGTGAAACATACCCGGAACTAGATAAACAACTTGAAGCATCTGCAAGAACACACATCAAAGAAAAAGAAAATAAACATATTAAAAAGAATTGTTTGATGAAAGAAACTTCTAGGGTTTTGATAGATGTGTAAGGAGAGATTACTGGAAGGAGGCGAAGTGGAAACGATGGCGGCGCCGTTAAAGTCACACGTGGCGCCGGTGGAAGCTTTCTTCTGATAAAAGCTGTTAACGGCGACGTCACAGTGGTTCTTGACGGTGTTTGGTTGGAAACAAGCTCCGTTCTGTTCAATCTGTGAACAGTCAGCACCTGATCCACACGCGTAGTCTATCACCTTCTGAAGCGCTTGCTCGTCTGCGTCCTTGCACACACAAACCGCCGCGTCTGATTGATGTTGACGACGGAGAAGAAGGAGCAAACATTAAATCAGAATAAGCAAAAAAGATAGCAGATGTATGATGAAGTGAAGAATTACGTAATAAAGATTAGTAGATTAGCATTACAAGGAACAAAACACAGAGGCGAGAAGAACCATTTAGAGGCTTTAAAAGGAGCTGAAAAGAATCTTACTTGAATGTGTAATTATTGAGAAGAGAAGAAACAGAGGAAGCAAAATCGCCATGGCTGCTTATGAACCAGATATCTGCGTTAAGCTCGTTGAACAAGTCAGATCGATACTTGTATAACGCTGATAATGTTACAGGTTAGAGTTTGCGTGTTTGGTTTAGAGAGATAGATGAGCGATAAGAATGGTCGAGTGTGTTCTTCTTTATGATGGTTTTTGGATACTAAGAAGCAGCGTACACTAAGTTAACACTTTTAGATATTTTTGTGTGATGACTTGTAAATGTTAGATTTTGAGTACACAAAGCAGAGGAACAACAGAGAAAAATGAAAAGCTTGCTTGTCGTCTTGTTATTGTGTGACTGGTCGACGCATTAAAATATTGTAGTGGGACTTTATGTGAAAAAAGATGGCTTATTAATTGCCTCCTCAATTTACGTTCTTCTCATGCATTTCACTTTGATTTTGTTTTCAACAATTGGTTTACGTTCGGATAATCTATGATTAGCAAGATTCTAGCTTTCCCCAAAGACAACAACAGATTATTTTTGTTTGGCTCAAAGTAACATCAACTTGTCATTTCACCAAATGTCAATTACAAAGCGTTTTTATCCTCCTCAACATATAAACAGCTGTTTTTTTATAACCTATTAAAATCTAAGCACTAGACGATGAAAAAGTGAGGGAAAGCAAGAAAAGAACACACTGAAATTGGAAATAATATAATCCCTAAAAGCATACACCAAGTGTAAAGTACTTCAACGCTAAGGTAGCGAGGGAGCCATGTTCATTACGACATGTGTGATTGTAGCACTAGTCACTAACAAGTAATGATGGATCCAAAATCAAATTGTTTTTTTTTTTCCCACTAAAAAACCATCCAAAATCAAATTATTTATCAAAGTTGTTTTCAATAGTGTATCAAAGAATTATTTATGAAAGTTGTTTCAATAATATATAAATAGAAAGATGATTTATTTTCCCACGAGAACTTTCACATGTGTGAAAATTAGGTGAAAATTGAACGTGGAGAAAGAAGGTAAAGTGTTGGATCGGTTTTTTTAGGTGGGTCAATTTTTCTAAATCAAATTGGGTTTTCTCGGTTTGATTTCATAATTTAACAGTTTGTTTTTGGATTTAGATCACAAATCATGAAAACCAACATTTATGGGGAAATAAGTCTACAACTTTTATTTTAGGGAGATTAAGATCTTCAACTTTGTTTTCATGAAGATTTAGAACAAGGTCATAGTTTGGGAAAAATCTACACAGATGTGATAATTCTCGTGGAGAAATAGTTCTGTACAGTATAATAAATTCTAAACAAGATTTTAATGGGCCGGGCTTCATATTATGGGATCTAACCCATTTTTGAGACTCCGGAAAATGACATCATTTTGATGGAATAATTTCTGAAATGCCACTGTGTCAGAGAGACTGAGAGAGGAGCGATCGTCATCACGACCGGAGATTCTAAACTCATCTGAAACTCAGAAAACCCTAAACAGATAAACCCTTTCCTCAAACTCTCAGCTCCGATTAGATCCCTCCCAACAATGGCGACTCATCTCTTTTCCCGATACCGGATCTCTCTCCTCAGAACCTTGAAACCCAATCACCACGCCTCGAATTCACCCATCAGGTCCATTTCCGGTACCTCCTTCCTCTCTCAGCTCGCAACCGAATCAACTGATCACGAAACGTCGGATCATCAATCAGGCTCCACGCCGCTTCCGCCGAATCCAGCCACCGGAAGTCCTCTTTACCAGGAGAATTGGCGGAGTCCGATCCCGAGCTCCCCGTCGTCTAGCCAATCACTCGTCCCCATGGGGTTTCTAAACCAGGCTCCTGCCCCTCGCATTAGAGCTATCTCCGAGACCCTCGACATGAACTCGCTGCTGAATATGTTTGCCGATTGGACCGCGTCGCAGAGGTGGTCCGAGATGAAGCAGCTGTTTGAGTTCTGGGTTCGATCGCTTGACAAAAATGGGAAGCCGAACAAGCCTGATGTCAACCTTTACAATCACTACCTTCGGGCTAACTTGATGATGGGTGCTTCGCCTAGTGACATGCTCGATCTGGTTGCGCTAATGGACGATTTCTCCTTGGCACCCAATACAGCGTCTTATAACATAGTCTTGAAGGCTATGCACCAGGCGAGAGAGACTGAAGCTGCGCAGAAGCTGCTTAATCGGTTAGATCCATTGAGTTTTCTATACTGCTTCTTTTTTGGTTTTGCTCTAAAATGATACACACATTGCTGCTAAATTTGTGTTCAATGGGTGAGTTTTATCATCTATTCTGTCACATATTGTAGTTTCAATGGAGAGATATCTTGGAACTAGTGCAAAAGATTAGAAATTTACATATATCGAAGGGGGTTATCTTTGAAAGCTGTCGATGCGTCGTGACGTGTATCATGCGAATGTAGAATTCACTTTTTATGTATCATGACGCGATGTAATTTCGTCAGGATGCTAATGTCTGGAAAGGAGGAATCTGTTCCGGATGATGAATCATATGATGTGGTTATTGAACTGCTGTTTTTGACTGGGAATAATGACGAAGCTATGAAACTTATGGACTTGGCACTAAAATCTGGTTATATGTTATCTACCACAGCTTTTAGTGAATGTGTCCGTAGCTGTGTAGCCAAAGGTAGGACAGATACACTGGTCTCCATTATCGAGAGGTGTAAGGTACAGACGAGTTTTTGCTGTCTGTGGTTGATTTTGATTTGAAGATTTTTTCTGTCCCTTTTATTGATTGTATTTCTGTTCTTGGTTCGCAGGCTCTTGATCGGAACAAGTCCCTGTGCCCTAGCTGGATACTGTGTACGTATATGGCAGAAGTTGCAGTTCAAGAGGATAATAGCAAATTAGCATTTTATGCGTTTGAGTTTATGTTCAAATGGATCACTAGGGGAGAAATGGCTTGGCCCTTGGTTTTACTTTCTGTTGATGAAGGGTTGGTAGTATCAGCTCTTGCAACTGCTGCTAGGACATGCAATCCAACTTTAGTAGATGGTTCATGGATGATTCTGAAGCGGTCTCTGCGAGGGAAAAAGGCACCCAACCCTGCATCGTACATTGCAAAGATAAATGCGTATGCATCGTTGGGGAATCTGCAGAAAGCTTTCATCGCACTTCATGAATTTGAAAACGCATATGCTGACTCGGAAAAAGAAGTTGTGGAGGAAATTCTTTCACCTTTTACATCCTTGTACCCGCTTGTTGTGGCCTGCTCTAAGAAAGGTTTTGAGACATTGGATGAGGTATACCTCGACATCCTTTTAGTGGCCGGGATTCTAGATATTCTCAGTTTCTTTGCAGCAAGAATTAAAGTAGGGTCATTGGCTAATTTACTGGTAGACGTAGGAAGCTTCTGAAATTTATGGAAACAGTTCCGAAAAACCTGTTAATCGAAGTAGAGCATCATGTTCTTGATGTTAATTCATTTGAGAATTCTGGTATTAGGTACATAAAATGTTTAGCTTAACTGACCGTGTACATAATTTACCAGGTATACTTCCAGTTGGAGACATTGAGTCAAGGTGAAACTCCATATAAGTCTGTTGCTGCTCTAAACTGTATAATTCTTGGCTGCGCAAACACATGGGACCTGGATCGTGCTTATCAGACATTTGATGCAATAAGTGCATCTTTTGGGCTGACTCCTAATATTGACTCGTACAATGCTTTAATCTATGCATTTGGAAAGGTCAAGAAGGTGCTGTTTCCAATGTCACATCACTCTCTAATATTTTCTTAATCCTTTGGATGAACAATCTTAGGCCTCAAAGACTCGAGCTTGTTTGCTTTGCAGACTTTTGAGGCTACAAGAGTATACGAGCATCTGGTTAGCGTAGGTGTTAAACCTGATGCCCGGACGTATTCATTGCTGGTGGATGCTCATCTCATTAACCGGGATCCCAAATCAGCTCTGACCGTAATTGATGACATGGTAAGCGAGAAAGATGTGTGTTGTTGTTTATACATGGCTATGAGAAACTAACACACGTTTCTGACTAACAACAGATCAATGCTGGATTTGAACCAACAAAGGAGACATTGAAAAAGGTCAGAAGGCGATGTGTGAGAGAGATAGACTACGAAAACAATGATCATGTGGAGTCATTGGCCAAGAAGTTTGAAATCAGGATGGGATCAGAGAACCGCAGGAACATGCTTTTCAACTTAGATTACTCCAGGGGCCGCGCGTAATAATCAAACGCCATTGACCAATAAAAAATGTTAAAAACTTTTTTGGAATATTCTCATTTTTTCTTTCTTTGTTCATCTTGATCTGAATCCACTAGATTTGTAAGATTTTGGTTTACATAACCATATTAATATATCTAGTGTAATAACAATTTCCATTTTGAAATCTCTTGTTCAGTTTTTGTATACAAATGGATGCTATGTTTGACAGTTTCCTTTAGACAAAGTCATTTGATGCAGAAACCGAACCAAACTTCTGCTTTTGGATCTTGTAATCCTTGGATAAGTGATTGTGGTGTACCGGAATGGTTACGGTATATTTATTGTTGATACCAATAAACCGGAGGTGTATGAAAAGTGATAGTGTACTGATGAAGAAGAATAATGCACAAAAAAGACAAGGCCTTGAAATTTTTCCCGGCCCAGTTAAGAGATCCAGGTGGTTCTCAAGAAACTCTTGTCTCATGTTTCACACAAACAGCTTTGAGAACATTTCAGCTCATTTTTTGGGATCAAATCAAAGACACGAAACCCTAAAAAATTCAGGAAGCTGATTGAAGAAGATGGGTGGGAGGAATGACGAAGGTGGCGGAGGCAAAGAGAAAGAGGAAGAGCAAGACGGCATGTCCGTACACTCTCCCTGTAAAGCTTTACCTTCCTCCGCGTCCTCTCTCTCCAAGGTCTGGTTTCTCTCTATCCGCCATTTTACAATCCTCTTTGTTCTGTGATCTTAATAATTTTCCTCTTTCTTGGATACACTATTTCTCAGGAGCAGTCACAGGTTGAATTGGAGCTCAGGTTATTAGAAGCTCTTGAAATCTACCCTCCCGTTAAACTCCGAGGCAAGTTTACTCTACGCATATCTTGTTTCTTTGCTTGTTTGGTGATCAGAAACCGTAAAATTTTACCAAAAAGGAATCATTTTCCTTATATACAACTAATGAGAAATACTTTACCAAAAAGGATTGTCTCTTGTTCTCTAGCTTCTTACTTTCTACTAATGGGATTGTGATTTGCAGGCATACATCGCCACTTTGTTCTCTATGGTCTGATGGAGTATCTCGGAAGAAGGTTACTCTGACATTTCCCATACTTCAATTGCTGAGTTCTTATACATATTTTGATTTGACTGAACCTCGAGAGTCTTTTTGTCCATAGCTTTGACCGACAGTTCACAGCGGATGAGGTTCTGCAGCTACTTGATCGTTTCTACAACATAGAGATGCTGGTGAGTAGTAATTACAGCAAACTTTGATTATTATTAGGTTTTAAGTTGGCTTTTTGTATTGTCACTTCATGTCCTGCTTTAGAATTGGGCTAATGGTTTAATCTTATACCTTTGGATTTTTCAGAAATCAGATGATGAGGACATTGACATTCTGAATCACGAGGAAGACTTTAGCTTGCCGCAGAGTTACTTTGAGAAGGAAGAACAGTGACAGAAGAAGTAGAAGAAGAAGAAGAAGAAGAGGTCTTTGCTTTATTCATCTCTCTCTTTTTGTACATACATGGTTAGATTTGTCCCCAGCTCTTATGATAAGTCCATTTTGTATATTATGCAGTTTTGATGTCTATAAAACCATCAGAAATGATCTTTTTGCTGTCATAGAGTTTACTGGAAACAAGCTTTTTGCTCAGCGGTTCTCTCTCTTTTCATGATGACATTTAGAGACAGGGTTGTGTTTGTTTGTTTGGCAATTTTTAATAATACAGTTGGATTGTTCTGAACTGTATAATAGCAAAAACATATCTGATCAAATCATTATATAAATGCATAAAATATAATAGTTGATATCATGAGATTGACAAGAAGACAAAAAAAATTAAATTAAAGAAAAAAAAAACAATATTGGAATGATATCAATGGTCTCTGATCCCATCTCCCTGATGAAACCAAGCTATGGAATTTAAAGGAATTGGCCTCCCTCTTCTGGGCATCGAATCTAACCTCATCCAGCTTTCAAGAACCTTACTCAGTTCTGAAACAACAATACAAGAAGCATGAGCTTTATCTCATCAAACACAGTTTAGACCCTTATATACAAGTTTAATGTTACCTCAGTGGCTTCTGCAGGCTTAGCCTGTTCTTCCTTGGGTTGTTCATCGGTCTTGATGTTGTCTTCACCTGAAAACAAAACAAAAAAACCCAGTCTCAAGCTCAAAATAAACTGGGTCGTTTTGTGAGTTATCAAACTGTGTGATATTTTTCAGACAGACCTCCATCTTCAGGAAGATCAGAAGTCCAGAGGGTGAGGTTGTCTCTCAGGAGCTGCATGATCAAAGTGCTGTCCTTGTACGACTCCTCACTTAGAGTATCCAACTCTGCAATCGCCTCATCGAAGGCTTGCTTCGCCAAATGGCAAGCTCTGCAACAGTTTTTCCACCAAAACCACATTTACAACAAAGCTGAAAACCTGATTGGTAATATTCGTTTAAGGAACTTAAAGTTTGTTAAACAAATGGGAGACCTTTCAGGAGAGTTCATGATCTCATAGTAGAAAACAGAGAAGTTAAGAGCAAGGCCAAGACGAATCGGATGGGTCGAAGGAAGCTCAGTGCTTGCAGCTTGTGTTGCAGCCTAATAAAAAAACATAGAAATCTACTATCAGAGATCAAGAATCTCCCTAATTTACAAGTGTTTAAGAGTAGAACACACCTCATAGCCTTTGAGCGACTGTTCAGCAGCTTCCTTCCTCTCTTGCTCGGTCTTAAACTCAGCCAAGTAACGGTAATAATCTCCTTTCCTACGAAAATTCCAGAGAGAACCAAATCTCATTTCATTTCATTTGGCATTAAGATGATGAATGATTATACAGACAAGAGTGTTTTGATTTGCTTCTCACATCTTGTAATAGAAAACGGTGGCTTCTCCTGAGGTAGCGTGAGGGATGAGATGCTGAACGATGATGGTGAGAATGTCTTGGCAGATGTTGGCGAGCTCGTCTTCTACCTTTTGGCGATAACCCTTGATATGTTTCACGTTTGATTCGTTTCCTTTGGACTCTTCCTTCTGCTCGATCGACGACATTATCCTCCACGAGGCCCGTCTTGCTCCGATCACGTTCTTGTACCCGACCGACAACAGATTCCTCTCCTCCACCGTCAGCTCGCTATCCATCCTCGCCACTTTCTTCATCGTCTCCACCATCTCTGCACATTTTATTTAACCAGATTTTCTTTTGTAAATGTCGATCGCGTATACATATATCTACAAAGATTAAAAAAGATTGTCTTTTGATTACGTACCGTCGTATCTTTCGGCTTGTTCGGAGAGCTTAGCCATGTAGACGAAGTTCTCTCGCTCTTTATCGGTTACTGACGACATTTTTGTTATTAACAGAGATGTTGATCCTTTTTGTTTTTCTGGGTTTGCTTTTGTGAATTAAGAGGTAAATAAACAAAGAGTAAAAATGATTGGAAGAGAAAGGAGGGGAAAGAAGGAAGAAATATATAATAAGAGGTGTTGAAGATGGTTCGCGAATGGCGGAAGAAGACTGAATCTCAACCTTTAGATCCGAGGCGCCCAAGTGTCTGCGCATTTCCTGGGTTTTTCTTCGCAATTATTTATAACCAACTTAACGAACTTTCCGCTCCCTTTACGACGTCGTAATATAATAATTTAGAAACGAATTCGAACATCGATGGGGTTGTAGCTCAAATGGTAGAGCGCTCGCTTTGCATGCGAGAGGCACGGGGTTCGATCCCCCGCAGCTCCATATTTTTTATGCTCACTCTCACGGTTTACCCTAATTTTCCTTTATTTATTATATTTCATTAATTAAATATTCACTTCCCTTTGTCAATCTTTTCCTTAGTGTTTTGCCGGCAAAATTATGGCCATCGTCGTCGTTCCTTCTCGGAGGATGATTAACATCGCAAACCCAATTTGGCGATTCTTCCTTCTCCACCGCCGATTCGCTACCGATTCCGTCCAGTCGAAACTATCACAAACCTCCATCACGCCGATAAACCAAGACCATCTCCTCCGCGTCTGTACAATTCTCTACCAACAGCAGAACTCGCCTGATTCACGGCTCGTCTCGAAGCTCTCTTCCACTGGGTTTCAGCTTACACACGAGTTCTTCCTCCAAGTCTGCAACAATTTCCCTCTCTCGTGGCGTCCGGTCCACCGTTTCTTCCTCTACTCGCAGACTCACCACCCCGATTTTGCCCACACCTCCACTACCTCCAATAAGATGCTCGGAATCATCGGTAAATCCAGAAACATGGATCTTTTCTGGGAAATGGCTCAAGAGACTGGGAAACGCGGATTGGCCAACGATAAGACGTTTCGGGTCGTGCTGCAAACACTTGCTTCCGCTAGAGAATTGAAGAAATGTGTCAACTTCTTCCATTTGATGAACGGTTTTGGGTATTCGTACAATGTGCTGACTCTGAACAGAGCAGTGGAAACTCTGTGTAAGGTGAAGCTCGTCGAAGAAGCTAAGTTTGTCGTTACGAAGCTGAAAGATTGTATTAAACCCGACGAGATTACTTACAGAACGATGATTGAAGGGTTCTGCGATGTTGGTGATTTGATCGAAGCAGCAAAGCTTTGGAATTTGATGATGGATGAAGGATTCGAGGTGGATATCGAAGCTGGTAAAAAGATCATGGAAACACTTCTCAAGAAAAACCAGTTCGATGAAGCTTCGAAAGTCTTCTACGTGATGGTATCGAAAAAAGGTGGAGATTTGGATGGATCTTTCTACAGGATTATGATCGATTGGTTGTGCAAAAACGGCAGGATTGATACAGCGCGCAAGGTGTTCGATGAAATGCGTCAAAGAGGCGTTGAGGTAGATAACTTAACTTGGGCGTCGATAATCTATGGTCTCTTGGCTAAACGAAGAGTTGCAGAGGCATACAAAACAGTAGAGGCGATTGAAAATCCGGATATTAGTATCTATCATGCATTGATAAAAGGGCTGGTGAAGATTAAACGGGCAAGCGAGGCAACAGAGGTTTTCAGGAAGATGATACAGAGAGGGTGCGAGCCGATAATGCATACATATCTTATGTTGCTGCAAGGACATTTGGGGAGAAGAGGAAGGAAAGGACCAGACCCGTTAGTGAATTTCGATACTATATTCGTTGGAGGTATGATTAAGGCGGGGAAACGGTTGGAAACTACCAAGTATGTGGAGAGAACGTCGAAGAGAGGGCTTGAAGTTCCTAGATTTGATTACAGCAAGTTCTTGCATTGTTATTCTAATGAGGAAGGAGTGATTATGTTTGAAGAGATGGCGAAGAAACTTAGAGAAGTGAGCTTGTTTGATCTGGCCGATATATTCCAGAGGTATGGAGAGAAAATGACAACTCGAGAGAGAAGGAGAGATAGAGAGGAAATTCAGTCATAAGACACAATTCTGACCTTGTCAATCTCTTGTACAAAACAGAATTGAAAGCTCCCTCTGTTTGGAAAGCAATGGTGGTCTCAAATTTTGATTAAACGAGTGTGCTGAAAAAGGTGATGTTCTTGTTACAACATATATAGGTAAAACAGCATCCAAGTATAATGTATACTGTAAATTAACACTGTAATACTAAAATTACAATTTCTAATACCCCCATATCAGCACTTAATACTAGGGAGCTTCGTACCAGATCAGCAAAAACCAAATTGGTTTAGACCAATCAAGGTTTTCGCTGCAAGCTAGGGTTTTTCCTCAGGGTCTGCAATCTCTTAATCCGCTTTTAAGAGCTTCTTCGTCCAATTTGTGTCCTGTCCATATTCAGTTACATGAATCAGCAAGCAGAGAGAAAAGAGAGTTGGGAGCAATAATTTTAACTACGATGCAAAAATGAGATCTGACCTATAAATACTATTTTATTCATTCGGCTCTCTTCTTCACTCCATTTTCGCGCTGGAACTATCTCATATATCTCTTTAACGGCCTGCGCATATTCAATAACATAGAAGCAATGTAAAGATTGATAACAAGACCTTTACTCGTGTTTCACTTCATGACTACATTACCTGCAAAATGTGCAGCTGGTCTGAGTTTTGAATGCTCAGCACAGCCTTGCAACGGTATACATCCATATCCAATTTTTTATCCCACAGAATTTCCTCAAGCCATAAACGAACCTGCCAAATAGAGAACAAGCTGTTGTATCACGAACAACACTGTCTCTTAACTAATTGTCCAAGAATGTTTCGATGAATTTGCTACCTTGTCGAGGTTTATAGGTTGGGGTTCACTGATGCACAGAGTCCTCACTCCACTATCGTGAAGGTCTGTTGTGGTTAGTGATTCGTTTGCTTCTAACAGAGATTCTAGACGACTTACATGCTTATTGAAACAGGGGGAGATGGAAAAGGTTCAATTGCTACAGTCTAGAAACATGAATAGTAATCGAGTAGGTCTACATATAATCAGAAAAGAGAGAAGAGAAGTTTGTGAGACTTAACAGTTGAATCATATGCCTGGCAGTTTAGTATATTCGACAAATCAACTTGGCACCTGACAGAACGGATGACATTGGCGAGGGAGTTGATGGAATGGATTTCCTTCTCCAATTCATCAGATTCCTCTTGAGAAATCAAGTCAATCTTGTTCATTATTATCGTGTCCTACAAAATGAACAAAAACAAAATCATGTCATGATCAGGTGAGATGTACGATGCAGAAGGCAATAGTAAGTCATGGCTCTTATTGGTTTTGTAACAAGATGATTACCGCAAATGCAATTTGGTTAAAAGCCTCGGGAAATGAGGATGAGTCACGGCGCTCATTGAGCTGAAAACGAAGATTCTTTGCATCCACGACCTGTTCAAGCAGCGAAGTCAGTTAATGCATTAGGAACAAGATGCCTAAGCACTAATTTACTGGAACCAGAGATAGAGCAACCAATCTGAGGCATATATGCTACAAATAGGTAACCAGAAAAAGAAAGATCACTAGCTATAAATGACGAGGAGACATATAAGTGGTGTCGATATCATTATTCTATGTTTTACAAGGAGCAGTTTCGAGCTTAACAAAGGAGAAGTGAATAAGATACTCACAGTAACAATGCAGTCAAGCTTGACTTCTGATTCTAACTGGTCATCCAACCAAAGAATAGAAGCGAGTGGAGCCGGATTTGCTAAACCTGTTGTCTCCAGCAATATATGATCAAGCCTGCATACGAAAAAACAAAAGCAGAACGTCTAATAAGTCAAACAGTCATTGTTCTCTCCAAATGGCGACTCACATATGCCCATGGTTTGTTAAGCATTTACCAAATCTTAGAGCTTTAGGGATAAGAATCATCACGATGTCTAGAAAACCTTTAAAAAAAAAAGGAAAAAGCACCTGTCTTTTCTCTGTACAAGCTGCTCGAGGGCTTGAACAAGGCTATGCTTAACAGTGCAGCAAATACAGCCATTAGCGAGCTCGACCCATTCTTCGACAAGGGCACCTCCTTCTCCTTCGTTTATCATAGCCCTCTCAACTCCAATCTCTTCCCCAAACTCATTCAAAATCACCGCGATTCTCTTCCCGTGTTTCCCGTTCAGAATATAATTCACAAGCTGGGCAAAATCAATCACATAACAGCACCAATCAACAATCAAAACAAACAACAATTCAACATACTCCACCAATAAATTAACGGAATAAGGATTCATTTCATTGCTTACGGTGGACTTTCCGGCGCCGAGATAGCCAGTGATGACAGTGACACCAACCGAAACAGGGTCGGTTGATTCCTCCGCGGAGATAGTCGTCCCGTCAGAGATATCCGGTTGGATTTGAACAGCCATCGGCGGTTCTTCATCATCCGCCATTTTTTCACTCCCAGTGCTTCGTTTTACTTTCTGACTCTCCTTTCTCCCCTCTCCGGCATCACCAAGAGAAAGACTCTTTGATCAGAATTTGTTTAAATCTCAAGCCCAAACTCCGGTATATGGGCCGACCCGACACCAGCTCGGTTTGGTCGGTTCGGTTTGAACGGTTCGGTTGAAATGAAAAAGTGTTTGTATGATGGATGAACCGAATAATTGAGGATTTAAATGACTTTTTTTCTCGAATAAAATTCCGAATCCTGAGCCTCGTTAATGGGCTGAGCCCACATCCTACAACATATTCTGATTCCACGAGACTTAAAATTATCAAAAACAGATCTCTTTCTCTTTCACTCTCTGCTCGATCGTTTAATCCGAAAGAAGAAGAAGAAGCTGAAGGTAAAGTTCTCGTCTTCTCTGCTCTCCTTGTAAAATCTCTTGGCTTATCAATCATACTTCATTCCACTTTTCATGGTCTTTTGTTTCAAGTTATAGTCCCTTTAAATTTTTCGGGGTTTTGTGATTTGCTGGTCAATTCTCTGATTTTTAGGCTATATATAAAAAAACTGGGGTTCATGTTATTTGCAATAATCTTCCGCCTAGATTATTATTTTCCCATTTGAGATATTTTCTATGGTTGGGTGCACCGATTCTATTTTGGGCTCCTCGCGTTTCGATTGTGCAAATGTTGAGATACTCCTATTAATCTGCAATCTTGTTGTGTTGTTGTGATCATTCTGAATTTGATGGATATGAGCTTGCTATGTATTTGATTTATGCCCCAGAAGTTTGCTCTTTTAGCACGTTCTCAGGTTTGTGTACCAATTATATATCTGCCTTCAGTATAGATTCCATTTGGCTTTGATCTGCACTGAATCTCTACTGGTTTTGTTTCAGGGTTTAAGGGTTTATAGTTCCAGGGTTTTACAACATGTGTCTGATGTGAAAATCCTGAAATCTGATGATGATGATGATAATAAAGTTAAGCTTGGGTTTGTTTCTTGCAGTGTTTAGTAGATGGGGAAAGACGGGAAAGGTGGTGGGAAGGGTAAAGGGAAGCAAGCAAGTGCCAGTGATGAAGCAGCCTCCAAGGGTAAAGGCAAAGCAGGAAAAGCCGCTGATGGTCTCGGGACATGCACCTATGTTAAAGGTGTGTGTTGTTCTCAATTCGTTTCTGTGTCTGATACTTAGTCCTCTTTTATGTTCTTATACAGCTTAACCACTTGTATTACAACAATGGTTTTGTTTCAGCAAGACACGTTTTGTGCGAAAAGCAAGGAAAGATCAACGAGGCATATAAAAAGTTGCAGGATGGTTGGTTGAGCAACGGCGACAAGGTTCCTCCTGCTGAGTTTGCTAAGGTGAAAAACAAAAACAAACCTATATTTGCTTCCTTTTCTTTTGGTCTATGAGTTGAATCATCCAATCTAGGATAGTGCAAGTAAATAATTCATTGCGTTGTTTCAGTTTTCGGTTAGCTTTCTATGTGCATAGTTTTGTGTGTAAAGGAATGGTGGAGAATCTAAACACAGTTTTGTATGTGGGAACTATCTCAGATTGCAGCAGAGTACTCGGAGTGCCCATCAGGGAAAAAAGGAGGAGATCTTGGATGGTTTCCTCGGGGGAAAATGGCAGGTCCATTCCAAGATGTCGCCTTCAACACACCTGTTGGAGTCACAAGTGCACCCTTTAAATCTACGTATGTCCCCATCTCGTATCTCTTCTTTCTTCAGCCGCAAATCTGAGTTTATTTTGGGCAATGATGAATGTGATTTGTGAGGTGATTGCAGGCACGGATACCACATTATCTTGGCGGAGGGAAGGAAGAACTGACAGATTCACATCTGCTCTGCTCCACTCTACTCTTATGGAAGTCTGTAAAAACACAGCCTTTGTTGTTCTGCCTTAAAATGGTTTCTTACAAATTGTTAACAAATCTTCTGTTGTTTAAAATAATGAATTTCTCAAGGTTATGATTGATACATTTCGGTGTTGATTTATGCATAAGTGAGACATCAGCTTTGAAATCTCAGAAGCTTTTGTATATCTAGCTCGTCATTTGTTGAACGAGAGATCAATTTTTCTTTACCCACCAATGAAACAGACCATAAACGGTGTCGTTTGGTTATTGGCTTTGGAAAATCTGCCAGACCGTAAAAAAGAAACTTGGTTTCTACTCAGGCCCTACATATAGAACTAAAAAGGCATAGTAACTAACGCATAGGAATGTGAACACAAGTGTGAAAATGGGTAAGACTAATTGCATCTGCATAAGAAAACACAGAGGGTCTTTGGGATCGTTGACTCATTAGTGTGAATCTAACAAACGCATTTATCTAGTATTGGTCGATAATTGCTCAACTCCCCCAATCTTCCATCCACCTTTTAAAAGTAAATAAATTGTGTAAGAAGCAATAATTCGATTACGTGTGACGCGTGGAGAGAAAAACTTCAAAATAAGCAATTAAGTATTTTCAATGACTTCACGAGCCACTTGTAATTATTCCCACTTGTGAATTTCATTATTCATTTATCACCACATAAATGTCCTAGACACACAGTGTGGCACACACATATGCAGCATGTTAACAACAACAACAAACGATAAAAATGAACTATGCTTATCAAAGGAACTAGAACATTGAAATGCGTGTGATTGGTTCATTATGATTTATGTCATGCGTGCTTTTCACGAAGATGATTTTTCCTTTTATAGGGAAAAAGAGTAAAAAAGGAAAAGAAAAAATGTAGAGAAAGAGTCTAAAAGATGGACTACAAATGTAGAGAATTCTTTGGGAGAAAAAAAAAAAGAGCAAATGGGAACAAGTAGTAATATAAAGAGATCGAGGGGCCACAAAGACAACCGCAAAACAAATTATCAGTAGCGTTCGTCATAATTGCCACTCGTTTATTGGTGGCTTCTCAAATCTCAAATAGTTTATACATTTACATTATCTCACGCTATATACGCTCCTCTCAAATTCGTTCTATCTACAGATAAATTACTTTTCAAAATATAATGTGTTTATGTTAATGTTGAGATAAGAGAGAAATCATGGGATCCTTGAGACTGGAAGGACCAAACCTAATGTGTGTTTTATGACTTTTATCTGCTCTTTAATTGTTTATTGTAGTTGTACCTCAAAATTTATTATGCTTTTAAACCAAACAAATTAAAACGAAAAACTTGTACGTTCTCATTTATAAATCTACGAATCAAAGAGCAAATACGTACGATGGTTTTTTATAAAGATTCATCGACCTATTCTTACCAATAGAAGACAATTAATAAAAAGGCTTTAGTATTAAGTACTCTGTATTCCATTGAGTAAAAGAAATTAATATTACCATAAGTTGTTCCACACCAGTCAACACCAAAAAAATACTAGAGATCTTTCCATACAAAAACGATATCAGAAAACTAATTTCCGACAGTTTTCTGTACCCAAAATAATGTTATTTTCTTGTTCATAAAATTTTAATTACTAGGTAAAATAATTTGTTGGTCTAATGTATTTTTTTTTGTCTACTTGTCATGTTTTTTTTTTAAACAAGTTGGGGTTCAATACTCCAGGAGTCTTATTAATATGTCTTTCAATTTTTTTTTCGTTCCCTGGCATGTTTTTTCTTAGTTTCATAAAATTCAAATTGCCATTTTAGTTGGCATGTGATCCGAAGATTTCATATTTCACACTTTTCCCTCTCCTATATATAGTACCCCATTTCATACATTATTTGTTCACTCGCCCTCCTCTTTTTCATTTCTTTATTTCTCCTTGTTTCGTCTTTCTTCCTCATCTAAAAAGAGTTTCGTTCGATCTACTCATAAATATAGGTAACCGGAGAAATACAGATTGAAGGAAGAGATGGTTCCAGGGAGATTAATCATGATGATGATAGTCATGATGATGATGTTGATGATGATGATGGATAAGACATGCATTTGTGCGGACATATCTAGAGGCAGTTTCCCGAATGGCTTTGTCTTTGGAACTGCTTCTTCTGCTTTTCAGGTTCCCCTCTCCTCTCCACTACTCTCTTCTTTTCTATTTTATTTATATTATTTCTTTACCCTTGTTTTTAGTAGTTATTTATCTTTTCCTTTTAAGTTTTTAACCGAATCTGAAAACAAAATCCTTCACGACCTAAAAATAGGTCACATCATCAGAATTCAGAACATATACGTTCCCCATGTGATATGTTTTTATTCTCCGAATACTATATAGCGAAAGGAAATAAAAGAAAAACTTAAAAATAGCAAAATACAATTCGTATTTTCAATTACATAATTAAAAAACCACGATTGATCAGGATATTACAAAAAAAAAAGAACACGATTCAGTACCTCCGTAAATTCATCGTAATCCAATTTACTATTCACTATGATTATATATAGTACTATATTATTAGGACTATAATTTATATATTGAAGCGTGTGTTAAATAAGTATTGTAATTGTTCTTGAAATATGGTCCCATATATCGGTAAACAAATGAGTGCGTGACGCGTAAACATGGCCACATACGTTCATGAATCACGGGCCTCCAATACCTCCTCCTCCTTTTCTTGTGGGTTCTTTTTTTTCTTCTTTCAGAATTTAGTTTTTTTTTTTTGTTTTTAATCAACGACCTTTTCTTGTACACAATTTTTATTTTAATCTTTTTCTCAATTCCAGCATATAGCATATAGCCAAAGTCAAGTAAAGCCAAAGTCTTTCGTTCTCTTATTGTCTCTTACCTAACCAAGCACACCCAATCAATGTTTCAATTACTTTATAAGAAAATAGTAGTACGTATTTCTTTCTGGCTGAAAATTCGGCGTTGGTGTTTAAAATAACTACAATAAAAAATGATAATGGACTAATAATTTTTTTTTTTCTGATATTAATAATTGAGACCGAGAGCCTTGTAATAAGTTTTTTTTTTATGATATCAATAATATAATTGGCACAGCACGAGGGAGCAGTAAAGGAAGAGGGAAGAGGTCCTACGATATGGGACACATTTTCCCACACGTTTGGTAAAATTACTGATTTTAGCAACGCCGATGTTGCTGTTGATCAGTACCACCGTTACGAGGTAATAAGCCTCATTTTTTTTCATAAACTACAAAACTCATAATGTATATACATTATCCATATTTCCAAAAAATAATGAAGTAAGGTTTCATTGAACAAAATGGTGAGGGCAGGAAGATGTACAGCTCATGAAGAATATGGGTATGGACGCTTACAGATTTTCCATTTCTTGGGCCCGCATCTTTCCAAGTATGTTTACTTCGTTATTGAGACTAATTAAGTAGTACTAATTTGTTTAAATTTAAAATTTTGATGCTTTTTTTTTTTTATGGAGAGATAATAAATAGGTACCATATTATATGTACGGTTTACAGATGGCGTGGGACAAATAAACGAAGCCGGAATCGATCACTACAACAAACTCATAAATGCTTTACTTGCTAAAGGTATTTTATTAGTAGTTTCTTGTCGCATGATTCTAAGGGTCTAACTTTAAGTCATTAATTTAGTGAACATCAATCATTGAATATGTTTTTAATTTTTTTAAATTGTAGGGATCGAGCCGTACGTGACGTTGTACCATTGGGACCTTCCTCAAGGACTCCATGATCGATACCTGGGTTGGCTAAACCCACAAATCATGTAATATTCCATACCAAAAAAAGAAAACCATATAAATATTCAATAAAAAACTATAATTACATAGACATAATATAACTTCAAATGGCAATATATGCACCTTTTTTCTTTGTAGAAATGATTTTGCAGCGTATGCGGAAGTTTGTTTCCAGAGATTTGGAGATAGAGTGAAACACTGGATTACGTTCAATGAGCCACACACATTCGCAATACAAGGCTATGACGTTGGTCTACAAGCTCCAGGCCGTTGCTCTATTCTTTTTAAGCTCACGTGCCGCTCCGGAAACTCGTCCACCGAGCCTTACATCGTCGGTCACAATGTTATTCTCACTCATGCCACCGTCTCAGATATCTACAAGAAAAAGTATAAGGTAAGTCAAGACTATATGTATTGGAGACATGATATAAAACATAAGATATAGTTTTAATATACGATTATGACAGGCAAAGCAAGGAGGTTCGTTAGGGATAGCGTTTGATGTAATGTGGTATGAACCGGAGTCAAACAAGACCGAGGACATTGAAGCTTCACAAAGAGCTCAAGACTTTCAACTTGGCTGGTATAAAATCCTTACGCAACTTTTTTTCTTGTTCCAAACTTTTATACCAAGTGATGATATATGTTAATATTATCTTAATTAGGTTTTTGGATCCACTGATGTTTGGGGATTACCCGAGTTCGATGAGAAGCAGAGTCGGAAGCAGATTACCAGTGTTTACGGGATCTCAATCTGCCCTGATGAAGGGTTCTCTAGATTTTGTAGGGATTAATCATTACACAACGTACTACGCAAGGAACAATGCCACCAATCTCATTGGCACTCTCCTACACGACGCCGTTTCTGATTCCGGAACCGTCACTCTACGTATAAAATCCTTTAAACCTCTTTCACTTAAAACCCTAGTAACGAGTATCTTATATTGATTCATCTTCTCTGTTTTGAATTTCCAGCGTTTAAGGGTTTAAGCGCTATTGGAGATAGGGTAAGAGATTATTATTTTAATATATTTATGTTATTAACTCTAGTTAATTAGTTATATATCTCTAAGCTGGTGTTATTTTTGTTGTTTTCGCGGGCAGGCAAGTTCGATATGGCTGTACATAGTGCCTAGAGGGATGAAAAGCTTGATGAATTACGTCAAGCAAAGATATGGAAACCCTCCAGTCTTTATCACTGAAAATGGTAAAAACACAAACATCCTTAAATACTCTAGATATCCACAAGAAAGAGAGTTTTTGTGACGATGATTGTTTGTGTATAGGAATGGACGATTCAAACAACATTTTGATCCCAAGAAATGAAGCTCTCAAAGATACGAAGAGAATCAGATACCATCATGATTATCTTTCGAACTTACAAGCTGCGATTAAAGAGGATGGATGCAATGTGAAAGGGTACTTTGTGTGGTCTCTATTGGACAACTGGGAATGGGCAGCTGGTTACAGTTCAAGGTTTGGTCTCTACTTTGTGGATTATAGAGACAAGCTCAAGAGATACCCCAAAGACTCTGTTCATTGGTTCACTTCTTTCTTGAACTCCACTTCTTGATTTCCCTTTACTTTACTTTTATTCTTCTCCCATTATCTTGGTTTCGCTTAATACTGTATACAAAGCTTTATGTTGAAAAAAAAAAACATTATCATTAGTTAACAGTTATGGATTTCGATTCAGATGAATATACTAAACACGAAAAAATCAAAAATCATTGCATGTTAGTCTTCATTGGCTCATAATTGAGACGGTTTCAAAGTTTTTTACCTTTAAAATGAAAAGTATACAAGTATACAAGTATATATAACATTCGAAATATAGTTCACATAGTATATTCGAAATTTATGTAAAAAAAAAGTATTTTCGAAATTTATTTTAAATTTCAAGTCACTGTGATGAATGCACCACTTGAATAAACGCTCCAGGCTATCATGAACAGCTGTAAAAACGAAATTCTTTACCCCTAAGTATCTTCAATATAATGTTATATGCAAGAGAATACCTCAATGAATTATTACTGAAAACAAAAATTGCTTAAAATTGGCTTTCTAATATCACAATCCAGTTTTTCTTGAATATTAGGAGTACTTCATATTAAAAAAATTAGGGGTATTTAACCAATTTAGCTTAGTGTTATTAATATGAGATTTTAGATACAAAAGTTAGTGTTGATCCGGAAAAAGAAGTCCAATTAATGTACTACTAATTAATCATCTTTGGGTGGTCAATTTTGAAACCAAATTATGGTAAGCATAATAATTGAAGAAAAGAGATAAAAGCGTGTGGAGTGTTTGGAGCAATAAATTAAAAGCTGAAATGTGTAAGTCAAGTGGGTGTGTGTGTGAGTGAATTTCCTTTTTATTTACTTTACTTTATATAACTCAGAAGAGGAAGACATCTTCTCTGCCACTTCCATCGTCTTCGCCGGAACAAGCTCTTTTGCTTCTTTTCTCTCATCATTCTTCACCGTAACCCATCACTCTCTCTCTCGCCCTTGTTCACTCACAAGTCTCAAGGATCAGTACCCGGAAGGTATAATTCTCAATTTTCCATCTATCCTTCGAAAAATGTATCGTTTTTCTTACTGTATTTTGAATTGAGGGATCCTTCGTTTTTCAAAAACTGGAATTATGGGATTTGTTAGTGGGAATTTCGTAATCTGGAAGCATTTTCTGCTGTGATCATTTTGAAATTGATAGATCTGAGCTTATAAGGTGTTTGATTTAATGCCAACACTTATCCGTCTCTTAAACAGATCCATGTGTTTATACTTTCCTGTATCCGATTCAGTATATATATATATATGTATTCAGATCACGAGTTACTTGCATTTTTAATCTGTGAGTCTGTGACCATGATCGACATGTAGTTCAAAATTGTCACATTGTTGTTTCTGCTTTAAGTTATCTCTTTGTATAATTGACTATCGTCTGCTATATCATGGCTTTGTGTTATCAGGAGCAGTTTAAAAAAAAAAATCAGAAAATGGTGAAAATATGCTGCATTGGCGCTGGCTACGTGGGTGGTCCAACCATGGCGGTTATGGCTCTTAAGTGCCCTGAGATTGAAGTAGCCGTTGTCGACATCTCTGAACCAAGGATCAATGCCTGGAACAGTGATAAGCTTCCTATCTACGAGCCAGGCTTGGAGGATGTGGTGAAACAATGCAGAGGGAAAAACCTCTTCTTTAGCACAGACGTGGAGAAACATGTCTTCGAGAGTGACATTGTGTTTGTCTCAGTCAACACTCCAACCAAAACGCAAGGTCTTGGTGCTGGAAAAGCTGCTGACCTTACTTACTGGGAGAGTGCTGCTCGGATGATCGCTGATGTCTCAAAATCTAGCAAGATCGTTGTTGAGAAATCCACTGTTCCTGTGAGAACAGCAGAGGCAATCGAAAAGATACTGACTCATAACAGCAAAGGCATAGACTTTCAGATTCTCTCTAACCCTGAGTTTCTTGCTGAGGGTACTGCTATTAAGGACCTTTATAACCCAGACCGTGTGCTAATTGGTGGTAGGGATAATGCAGCTGGGCAAAAGGCCATTGAAGCTCTGAGAGATGTTTATGCTCATTGGGTTCCAGTGGAACGCATCATTTGCACTAACCTCTGGTCAGCTGAGCTCTCTAAGCTTGCAGCAAATGCATTCTTGGCTCAGAGGATATCATCTGTCAATGCCATGTCGGCTCTTTGTGAGGCAACCGGCGCTGACGTCACGCAGGTTGCGCACGCCGTGGGTACGGATACTAGGATTGGTCCCAAGTTCTTGAACGCAAGTGTTGGTTTTGGTGGATCATGTTTCCAAAAGGACATATTAAACCTTATCTATATCTGTGAATGCAACGGCTTGCCCGACGCAGCTAACTACTGGAAACAAGTCATAAAGGTGAACGACTATCAGAAAATCCGGTTTGCAAACCGGGTTGTTTCTTCAATGTTTAACACGGTCTCGGGAAAGAAGATAGCGATCCTCGGTTTTGCCTTCAAGAAGGACACAGGTGACACTAGAGAGACTCCTGCAATTGATGTTTGTAACAGATTAGTAGCTGACAAGGCCAAGCTGAGCATATACGACCCACAAGTCGTTGAAGAACAGATCAAGAGAGATCTTTCCATGGCTAGGTTTGACTGGGACCACCCGGTTCCTCTTCAGCAGTTTAAAGCGGAAGGTATCTCAGAGCAAGTGAGTGTCGTCTCAGATGCTTACGAGGCGACTAAAGATGCGCACGGCCTTTGTGTCTTAACCGAGTGGGATGAGTTTAAGTCCTTAGACTACAAGACAATCTTTGACAGTATGCAGAAGCCTGCTTTTGTTTTTGATGGTAGGAACGTTATTGATGCAGTGAAGCTGCGTGAGATTGGGTTTATCGTCTATTCCATTGGTAAGCCGCTTGATTCATGGCTCAAGGACATGCCTTCTGTGGCATGAAGGTGCCAACTTCGACCAAACTATATGCCTTTTCTAATATAATATAGTATTGAATTCCTTTTTGATTCCTGATTCTTATTGTAACGTCTGAATCTGAACAATGATGATACAGAAAGTGTCTGAATCTCCTAAGTTGGAAGAGTATATTTATAAAAACTTATAGTTTATATCAATATTTTCTTCCATCCAAATAAATTTATATGATACGAACTATTTATGTATGGTATTTTCCTTCCCAAATGATAACAAATTTGTGCTTTTATGTTTTGACATTTGGGGTTTAAATGTACGTGGGAAGAAAATAAGGAATGAATTATGAAATTACAAAACAGTAAGGACTAGAGAAAAAAAGTGTGCTGATCTAAAATTTGGGGTCCAGCTAATTTTTAGGGATTTTTTGCGGGTCAACCCGACTCGCGTTTTGGGCCACTCTGTTTTAAAAATAGCACAAATCCATATCCACCTTCCTCGATTTTATCTTCTTTCGTGTTCTTCCCCAAATTTTCAACGTAATCCATATTTCTTTTTCATTGTACTGGGATTTCTCAATTAATCTTACAATTGATCTGTTGTTTCATCTAATTCTCGTTTCCCTCTTTCTATTGATACCAATTTTTATATATTTCGTTTGTCAAAAAAAATCTAGGGTTAGGGTTGTCGATCTCTTCACAAGTTGTTTAATTTATCGATCCATCGCTTTCTTTCGCTATTTACACGAAATTCATAAATATCCCCATTTATTTTGATGTTAATTTCATATTTTTCGTCCTCGATTGAGATCTAGGGTTCTTATTTACCGATCTATCTCATGGCTTCCTAGATCTGTAAATTATCAAAGGGCTTTCTCTTGATTTGTATATAATTCGTCAATTCTTATCTATTCCACTCTTGATTTGGTTAATTTTTGGGTAGGCCAGAGTCTAGGGTTAGGGCTTCTTCTGATTTGGGGATTTCAATTTTTTTTTTTTTCCAGCTTAAGCCTCTGAACGCCAAAGATTATATTTGAATTGAGTCTTCTGGTGACGTTTTAGTTTGGTTCCATCCTTTGTGCAATTGGCCTGAAATCTTATCTGAGCTTCTCCCTTTAGTGAGGTAAATAACACACATGTTAACTACACATCTGTTCTTGTCTGCACTTGTTTTTTAAGCATTAATGCTTATGACATTTTTTTGTTATTGCACTGGTTCGATGTAGTAGTGCATGTCTGTTTAAGTAGCATGGCAGTATAGTTTGTTGTCCTTAGAGGAACTTTTACAGTTTGGCATTTTACATACTGTTTGTATAAGGTCTCTTGCATGCATTTGCTACAACGATGAGGGGGATGCTTATCCTTTTTCTTATATGTCCTTAGAGTTTATTGTATTTCATCGACCATAATGCAGATTGAGAAAATGGGATTTAAACGCCCTTTCGATGATGAGAAATTTCATGAGCTTCCGTTCAAACATTCTAGACAGCTTGGCTATAGCGATAAGTCGACTCAGTTTGATGAATTTATTCCTCGCCCTGCTGCTTCGCAGAAATCTGTAGCCACGGGTAAATATCAAATGTACATTTCAATTCCGTTTATCTAAGGACAAGACTTTGCTATGTGATTCAATCTTTTCTTTGCACTATAGTGAACGAGGGAGATCTTTTTAAACCGCAAGGAGGTGAATCATCTGATGGTGAAACCTTTAATGAAGAATCCAGTTTTCTTTACCTGAGTGGTCTTAACATGGATGGTGCTTTTGATCGGGTCATGAACGGTTGCGAAGGAAAGGATGAAACTCACTCTCCTCACGCTGCAGAGTATTTTGTGCCTTGTATACCTCCAAGAGTATTTGCTCCTGTTGAGACTTTCTATTCTTTCCTCATGGATCAACCTGCTAGAAAGCAAGTGCCTATTGGACCAGGTCATCAAGCCATAATCCCTGAATGGGAAGGTAGTCAGAATGGGAACCTAAAACCCTTAGGCACGTCGGTTCAAAATCACATCGTTGGATCTGCTGATGAAGAGAAGCTGTGTGGTACATGTGTGGTTCCCATGCCAGTCTTGAAAACGCCTGCAAATATGGATGACATAGTAGGGAAAGGTAGAGAGTTCTGTGTCTGCAGTGACAGGGGTTCTATAAGGTGTGTGCGTCAGCACGTCAAAGAAGCTAGAGAAGAAGTGGTTAAGATGATTGGGTTTGAGAAGTTCAGAGATCTGGGCTTGTGTGATATGGGAGAAGAAGTTGCACAGAGCTGGAGCGATGAAGATGCACTACTTTTTCATGAGATCGTTTATTCCAACCCCGTGACATTAGGACAGAACTTTTGGCAGCACTTGGAAGCTGCGTTTTGTTTCCGAAATAAGAAAGAGATAGTTAGCTACTACTTTAACGTTTTTGTCCTCAGACGAAGGGCCACACAGAACAGAACTTTTATACTGGACATCGATAGTGATGATGATGAATGGCATGGATGTTATGGAGGACCTTTGGGCAAGGCCTAATTTTTATAAAAGTTTTATGTTTTACAAATGAGCAGAGCCTAAAAAATTTCTCTTTTAAACTTTGTGAAATGGGCTGTTGTTTCACTTTTCTTGGGGCCCTCTTTCTCAAAGTCCTTGCATTAAAGCTTTTTATTTCCTTTGCCCCTTAGTTTTGTACAGAAACCATCATCACGTTTTTGTGAGTACTAAGGTTTTAAGAAAAATGAATATTTGTTTGTATGATTAAGGAAAACATCGAAATAATCCCTGTTAGTAGTCGTAAAGACGAAAACAAAGATCACAAAATATTCAATGCCAAAGTTTGTTGCTTTAGAATAGGAGAATATGTGGGCAGAGACAGCCAATTATGGTTCTCTCAAGGACAAACGTTTAAAGGCTTTGTTGTTTGTTTGTTTGGACGTCGAGAAGTCTCTATTTTCCTGTTTGGCCCCATGGTTTGTTATACCCACTATACGAATTGAGTCTCTACTAATTTTCAGTTCAGTGTATAAAATAAAGATATTTCTTTTCTTTTAATTAAGGAAACAAATCTCGAATGTGATTTCAAGACTTGATTTCTTTTTGATTTTTGAGGAAAGGAGTGTGGGATTATAACGAGTGGTCAGATAGATCTGGACCGTTCAAGTGGCCACTCTCTACCTTGTGGTATCCTTTTTTTCATATCTTTTTGCTTCCATGCATGAATTGAACAACACACACCGAAGAGATGGAGAGAGAAAAAGGAGAGAGAGAGAGTGTGTGTGTGTGTGTTTGTTTGTTGAGGAGGAATAGATCCAAAAATGAAGCTGACCTTTGATTACTCGTGTTAGGAACACTTCTCTTTTTCTTCTTTTTTGCTCCAAACTCTACCCAAAAAAAAAAAAAACAAATCTTTAAACTTTAACATAGATGATACTGTGTGGAATTTGTAAAGTTTGTTTTTACTTTTCTCCCTGGTTCTTAGCTTCAAGGTCGGATCTTGTACTTAGCGAGAGAACAACTGTCACATCCCGAATCTGATCGCTAAGAAAGCATTAAGCTTTCTGCTTCTTCCTCTCTCTCTCTATCTCTCTGTAGCATTTGGGAATTTTCAGTTTTGTCGGTTTGTTGCAGCATTTCTTCGGAGATTTGAGGTAAACTCATCAGCACAAAATTTACTGGGTTCTCGCTAATCTTTCTTTCTTGCTTTTCGTTTCCCTTAAAGAAACCCTTCCTTGATTCTGCTTGTTTGGTGTTTGATCATTTGTCTAAGAGAAGATCAAATCAAAAATGGAGAAGAGCAAAGAGAAGGAGTTTGTGTGCAAGTTCTGTAACAAGAAGTTCCCTTCTGGAAAATCACTCGGAGGTCACATCAGAATTCATACGAACCAGTACTCAGTTGATTACAATGGCAATCGCCTGAGAGAGAAAAACAAGAGATTGGTGGATCAGAGAGAGATGAAACAGCAACAACGACAACTTTGTTGCAGAGAATGTGGTAAAGGGTTCGATTCTTTGAAAGCTCTTTGCGCTCACATGGATTCTCACTCCGAGGGAGAGAAGATGGTGATGGACGGCCAATCTGATACCGAGACTTCTTCGGCTCGTATCAGGAAACGATCTAAGAGGGTGATGAGACAGTCCAATTCAGGATCTTTTAGTAATGGGAGCTCGTCTTCTGCTTCTGAGATTGACCAAGAACATAAGAACACAGCTTTGTCTCTGATGATGATGTCTAGGGATTCGAAAGGTCATAACTTGGTGGTGAACTCTATGGCTGAGTCATCAGAGAACAACTCTGTGATTCTGGAGACCAAATCTTCCTCAGGAGAGCATCTAAAGAAGGTCTCCAATGTGAAGAATCAGGTTTTAGAGACAGATAAAGTCGCATCTGATGACCAATTGAGATCTGCTGCTGATGATGATAATGGTGCTATACTCTGTGATTCAGACTCTGATTCTGATTACTTCATACATGGCCCGAAGAAGTCGGACTCAGACATTTCCGTTGACGGATCTCTTAGGAACACTGGAATTGGATCTGGATTCAACATATTCAAGAATAGTGATGAGCTTGGGTTAAAGGAGGGAGGATCAAAGTATGAGCTAAGAAAAAGCAAAAGGATCTTTCCTTCTTATGAAAATGGTGCACACAGCTTGGAAACTGATTCTTGTGCAGACACATACAGCAAGATTCATAGGTCCAGTGATAGCAAATCCCCAATGGTGAAGAAAGCGAGTGGTGGTACAAAGAAGAAAAGCAAAGGTCACGAGTGCCCAATTTGCTTCAAGGTGTTCAAATCAGGCCAAGCTTTAGGTGGTCACAAGAGATCACATTCCTTTGAGAACCAAGAACACAGGATCAATCACCATGCAGCTGAAATGCGAATCGATCTCAATCTTCCTGCTATGGACATTGATGAATGAATCAGAACCTGAGAGAACTCATCCCTCGGTTTTGTTCTCCATGGTGTTTCATCCTATTTTTTTTTGTTTGTTTGCTCTAGAAATTTTCAAGGTTGTGAAGGTAAATCAAATTCTTTTTGATTTGTTCATAGAAAGCTTTATGATTTAGCCAATTCTTTTCTTTATGACTTCAAGATATTAAGCTTCCAGTTTCTTACTGAGATTCTTCTTGTCTTTCAAAGAAATCCGTCACGTTTATGTTTTCTTCTTCATTTTCCAGCTTTTTCAGTTATTAGCCTTCCTCTGCATTCGTACCTTAGCATTGTATCATAGTACCCCAAATCCCAATCTTTAAAGGCAAGACAAAGAGCCATTGTCTCTTGCTTTTTCTTTAATAAAACATGATGATGTTTTGGTTTAACCACGGAGAAAATAAAAAAGAAAAAGAGGTTTGAGCTCAAGTTAAGCTGTTAATTGAATTGAGCAGAGAGGAAAAGCAAAATTGGCAAAAAGGCAACATTTTGAAAAGACCACATTATTTTTACTATTTTAAAACACTTGTGCTTTAATAGGTAGTTGGCGATCAGATACCCTCTTTGTTTAATGGGCCGTTCTTATTGGGCTAGCTTTTGTAGAATCTTCTTTAACCCATCCGAGAAGGCGAGAGGTATAGCTTGAGAACCACGAAACAACTCAATACACGTTCTTGTTTTACTTCTTGTATATATTGGTTGTGTGTACATCATGTAAAATACATAAACCGGTCATTTTATACGTACTCAAATCATGTAAACCCAATAGAAAGTGAAACAAATCGATCGGAATGTATAATAAGGTCACGGGTTGATATTTATATCTATAAAAACGAAACTAAAGTCCCAAAAACCGATTTATAATAAGGACCCACATAACCGATTTTTCCCTTCTCAATTACCTAAAAAAAACCCCTCCATAACGTCGATTCATGTGCATCTTCTGTGTTGCATTAAAATCCCCAAGTTGCTTATTTCCCTCTTTCTCTTCAAATTTAAACTTTTCCTTCTCCAAGAAAACACTTCTTACTTTCTCTCTCTCTCCAAATCAAGAAATGTCGACGAGTACTCACCTGAACCGTCCGATCTTGACGATCCTTCTCCTCCTCTTCGTCATTTTCTTTCTCACAACCTCCACTACCGCTTCTGCAACCTCCGAAGGAAACCGAACGACGACGACATCGAGAAACTTCAGTTACAGAACCCACCGATTCGTCCCGATGATTCACCACCCGTATTACGTGTCTCCTCACCGTTCTTGCGACTCCTTCACTCGTCCGTACGCACGTTCTATGTGCCTTGAGCTTCAAAGAATCCACCGTAGCAGCCGGAAGCAGCCGCTTTTTTCTCCTCCTCCTCCTCCTCCTTCGGAGATTGATCCAAGGTACGGCGTCGATAAAAGACTCGTCCCTTCTGGTCCAAATCCGCTTCACAACTAATACCCTAGCTATTCCCCAATTTCAATTTCTATACATAAATACGTAGACACATGGACCTAGGGTTTCCTCTTGGTTGCATATTTTATACACGTGACATGCACATTTCTTGGCGTTTCTTGAACTTGTTCGAGAGATTTGTGGTTTTTCATAGAGTTTATTTTTCCTGAAGATGGAGCTAGGCTCGTCATTTCTTCTCTGCGGATCTTTCTTGAAGCTTGATTCTGTTTTCTTGATCTTGTAATGGACTCCTAAGTTATATTGTTGCTATTTCCACGCTTGTTTTTTTAAATACTTGTAGAGTGTGGAAACAATCTTGGAAATAGTAGTGTATTTTTTTTTTGCAAGGTCTGTTTTTCTTTTATTTTTCTGCTTACATAATTAAATTTAATAAGAAAAAGGAGATTTAGTATATGGTTGGGAGAGGAGAGGAGAGGTGGAGAAACGCATGAGTTCCATTAATTTGGGAGCTGTATTTTTTTTATTATGTAACTCTAAAGTCAGTCTCCATTGGTATATGATTAATATTAATATTAAAAAAAATTGATGGGCCATAATCCATTTGCTCTTCTCTCGTGTCCTCGATATTTCGCTGTAAAGATATTTAATTCACTTGCCTATGTCAATAGACACTAGCTAGTAGTACTGTAGTAGAACCCCTGCAATACAAGTGTTTTTTTTTTATTTTTTTATATAACTTCTGTTTTTCTATTTCCAAATCAATTTTATTTACTTTACCCCAAAAATACTTGTTATTTTTGCTATCAGGATTGTTATACGTCTACGCGGTTTTACTCCTTTAATAACATGGTACCGCATTATCAGCATTCAATCAACCAACGGACTATAAGTTGTAGTCAAATCTTTCTGTTTATCGCCAATTTTTTTACATAAATTCATAACAGTGCGTGTAATCCGTGTCATAACTTGGTTTCAACTTCTGGAATGTGTGTGTGAGCTGTAAGATAGATAACAATAATTATTTTAGTTTTCACTTATGGAAAGAAATGAAAATAATGCAAACCTGTAAAAAAAGGGCAAAAAGTTAGAAACAAGAAGAAAGTGAAAAAAATGAGGTGTAAATTAAAATAGAAAATACATGAATGTATGTTGACAAGAAAAAAAAAAATACATGAATGTATATAAGATGAAACATAAAAAGTAACAAGAATGGCATTCATACAAGTTTTCAAAAAATGAATAAATAATGAACAATGCGGAGACATGGCAAGTCTAAGGAGAACTTTGGCAAAAAGAAGATGAAACATGAATATTATCGGCAAAAACATGAAAAAAAAGAAGATGAAATATATTGTGAAGTTGTTTACAAAAAAAAAAAAAACATATTGTGAAGTATTAATTAAAAAAAAAACATTTTGTGAAGTTAAGAAGTTTCGGTAAAAGATGGAAGAAGGAAAATCGGAAAAGTTTTGGGTATGAAAGACTCTCGATAGAGAGAGAGAGAACAAAAAAAGGATTGTGGGAAGACATTCTCATTCAGAAAAATAGTGAATACGATCATTAACAAAACTCCAAAAATACTACGGAGTATAAAATAAGTTTAAGAATGCTTTTTCTTATCCAAAAATACTCTAAATACTATTAAAATAAGTTTTAGTCCCATAAATACGATAGCTTACAAAAACCTCCAAAAAAACTACAGATTTTTATGTTTAACAAAAGTTCATTGATTATTAGTACCCTTTCCTAAAATTTTAAATTCTCATAGATTGGTCTTTCAATTACTATATAGAGAGCTCCGGTCCAAATATTTTGAAAATATAAAACAAAACGATATAAAATGTGTTTTATGACGATAATCTTTTGGGTTTAGGGCCTTTCAAATATCTTGACCGATCTTGATTACACCAAAATGACGGGTCCAGCTAAAAAGTGCCGAGTCTTCTTTTATTTTTGGGGGTTTAATTTGCTTCAAAAAAGCAATTAGTTTCTTACATTTTTCCTTATTGAATTATATAATTTTTTATTTTTTTTTGGTTGCTTTTGTCCCAAAACAGACTCATATAATGCGTGTTTAACTTTCACTCTTAAGCACAATCTGCCTAGACTAATGGTCAGTCATTTCTCCAAATTCATACTAATTGCAATTGGAAAATTGCATATTTGTTGTTGTAATCTGAGCATAATTTTTTTTTTTTTTTTTCTTGTCTTTTCATTCCCAGCCCCAAAAAGAAAGCAAATCTCCTAACTTTAGATATTGAGGAAATTTCAAAGTCTGTTTTATTTGTTTCCTGTTTTTGTGTTCTCTTTTGCTTGATGATAGGATCTGTAGTTTACAACAGAGGACTGTTACATTTCCCCAAAATCTGATCACTGAGAAAGTTATCAAGCTTTCTGCTTGATGATTCTCTCTCTCTCCCCCTCTCTCTTAGCATCTGGGGTATTTCAGTGTTTCTTCCAAGATTTGAGGTAAATCAAACAAATGGGTTCTCACTAATTTCCCTTTTTTCCTTGTTCTGATCTTGCTTATACCGTGTTTGATCATTTGTCTTAAGGTAAGAAGATGGAGCAGTGCAAAGAGAGGAAGTTTGTGTGTAAGTTCTGTAGCAAGAGGTTCGCTTGTGGGAAATCACTAGGAGGTCACATCAGAACTCACATGAACAATGAGAACTCAGTTGATTCAGACGAAGATGAACACAACAGGTTCAAAACCGAAGAAAATGGAGGTCAGTCTAGTTACGGCCTGAGAGAGAATCCTAAAAAGAACAAGAGGTTCGTGGATCAGAGAGAGATGATGGCTATGAAGCATCAGCAGCAGCTTCTTCGTTGCAGAGAATGTGGTAAAGGTTTCGTTTCTTCCAAAGCTCTCTGTGGTCACATGGCTTGTCACTCTGAGAGAGAGAAGATTGTGATGGATAGTCAATCTGATACTGAGGCTTCCTCGTCTCCTATCAGGAGAAGATCCAAGAGAGTTGTGAAACACCACCACAAGGCTGATGATGCTTTTGTAGATGGTCAATCCGATTCAGCATCTTCTGATGCTTCTGAGATTGAGCCGGAACAAGAGGAGATGGCATTGTCTCTGATGATGCTCTCTAGGGATTCAAGTTTCAAGAAAGGTCATAACTTGGTGGTGAACTCTCTGGCTGAGTCATCTGACAACAACTCTGTGATTCTTGAGACTAAGTCATCTTCAGGAGAACAGCTAAAGATGGTCAATGTGAAGAATGTTGAGGAGTCTTGTAAGAAGGAAAAACATGGAGGAGTGGATAATAACCAGTTGAGATATGGCGAGGATAATGGTGATATCCTCTATGATTCAGATAACTCTGATTCTGGCTACTTCAGGAATGGACCAAAGAAGTTGGACTCAGATGTTTCTGTTGATGGATTGTTCAGGAACACTGGATTTGATAACAAGTCTGTGATGAGATTTGGATCAGGATTAAACAGCTCCACAACAAAACAGGATAAGAACTTGAACAGATTCAGGAAGGAATGGTCAGGGTCAGGATCAGGATCAGGTCGTTCTTCTACAAAGTATGATCTTAGGAAAAGCAAAAGAGGGTTTCCTTGTTATGGTCGAAAGAAAATCAAGTATGAGTTCACAGAATCTGTCTATGACAGTGGTGAGCATAGCTTGGAAACTGATTCTTGTGCGGACACAAACAGAACAATCAAGATTCATAGTAAATCACCAATGGTGGTTAAGAAACCAAGTGGAGGTTCAAAGAAGAAAAGCAAAGGTCACGAGTGTCCGATTTGCTTCAGGGTGTTCAAATCAGGACAAGCTTTAGGTGGTCACAAGAGATCACATTTCATTGGAAATCAAGAACACAGGACTTTGGTGATCCAACACCAAGTAGCTCATGAGATGCATACACTCATTGATCTCAATCTTCCTGCTCCTATTGATGAATGAATCAATCCGTAGTATCTAAAATCCGCGATTTTGTTCTCATTTTTTTTTTCTTCTCTGCTTTATTTTTACTTATTTTGGCTTCAGATTCAAGATTGCTTTTTGGTTCACAAGGTAAATCAAAGGATTTTTATTTTTTATTTGTTTATAGGCAGATGCTTTTGATATTTTAGTTACGAGAAAGTAAATAGATAACAAAATCCAACTCAATGATAATTTTGTCGCAAAGTTAGAGTTAAATACATAATTCAATTGAAAAGAGTTGAATTATATAATTCAACTGAAATAGGCAAGTAAAACAATTACGGTAAGGAAAAATAAAGCAAAAAGACCACATTTGGCCTATTCACTATTGTAAGAAACTTTTGGTAAAAATGTAATTTGGTCAATAATTTTTGAACACCTAACTATAAAACACAAAATTCTTTCTCAATTTTTGGTAATATATCTTAACATTTTGACCAAAAAAAAAAAAAACACAAAATTCTGTTTTCTCTTCAGAGCTCTCAATAATACTTGAAGACTTGGTAGACTAAGACGATAACCTAAAACAGAATGAGGAGATGCAGCAGGATTGCAAGACTGGTTTCGTCCTCGTCTTAGATTATGAGTTACTCATCAACTCGCTCCACCATTTGAACTTTTTTTTTACTATTATTCAATATTATATAGAGTTTAAAGAGATGGTATAATTATTAGTTTTAGGACATGTCTAAGATGATTTTATCTATGCAAAAATTGAAGTTGATATAAAGTTTAAAGCAACATCGGCAACTTGACAAATTTTACTTAACCATTGGTTGTGTTAGACATCATTGAAAATGTTTTTCCAAATTAGAAACCAGACAGATCACAGATTCATAGTCGCATTTGTACACTATTTGTGAGCTATGGAACAAACATAATACTTTATAGTCAAAAACAACATAAGGTGATATGAATATGATATTTATTACTAAACAACAACAAAACATGATATCTAGCATGAGCATATTAGATGTTTTCATATTACCCTAAAATATTATACTTCTTGCTTGCTGTCTTAATTCTAAATTTTTTCACTTTTTTTGGTCAACACCTTATGAACTTAGTTAACATTTTAAATTATATTTTAAATGTATGATGTTCGTTCGTATATATTACTATATACTTAAGTGTGTTGCGTATCTCTATATCTTTAAATCATTTAATATGCTCATATGATAAACTGTTAAGAGCATATATCAGAATTTTTTTTGAGTTAAACAATTAGGTCCGGTGATCAACGAGTTTAATTTTATTTTAAAACATTTTATTTGTATAAAAAGATTCATTTTTAGCAAAATAGAATATTTCGTAGAAACTAATGTTATTCTTGAAAAATACATTTAAATAAGTGTCTAAACAATAAAGTTTTAATGTAAATGACATTTAAAAATTAGTTTTTGTGTGAAAATTTATGAAGGGGTCAAAGAAAATTTTATTTATCCTAGAGCTTTTAAAATTGTTGGGCCGGACCGTGGAAATTTGTTAGACTCCTAACGTGGACTGTAAAGAAAGATAAAGCCGTTAGAAGAAAATTTGTTTTAGCTTTACCAATTTGTAGATCGAATCACTGAGATTGTTGAGAATATGTTCTCTTCAATTTGACAATTCAAGGATTTGTTATTGAATTTGTAGGATCAAGCATCGTCGAGAGACTCTTTAGTGTGTTGATTCTGTAATTCCTTGTTCAGTGAAATTAAATACGGCTGCTTAAATCATTATCCCTGTGCATTTGTGATTTCTACTTCAACATCGAACAGTGACAACAATTCAAATTTCTTACAGAAGAATATTCATGTTTGATAACCAAATAGACAGAAAATCATGTTTGCCCCATCTTACAGAAGACGAGATATACAACACCCAAACATAGGTGAGAACAATGAACACCCATCTAATTGTATAGTGATTGTGATATTCTCTATAGTGGTTCAAGCTTTAGTAAATTCTGATTACTTCCTGAAACTATCATGTTAAGATCACCGTTGCTGGATTACCTGCAGGAGGGCACCTTTGCCTCCTTGGTCTTCTTGTTGCTTTTCCCCATCCTGTAAGCTTACTGTCTTCAAGCCCCACCATCGATACGCTCTCATTCATTGGCTGCTCCATGGACGGGAACACTGGAGCTTGGCTTATGTTAGTGACCAGTCGTTTTCTTTTTGAGTTCCGTCGAGCAGCCACTCCAGAATTGCAAGTGTAGTCTCTGGTTTTCAAAAGACCACCAAGCATTTGGATATCTTCAGTGACTTCGTGCCTCGATAGAGAAGAAAGTCCGGGGAGAATATCCCTCTGGAAATCCCGCTTTGGTCTTCCTCTTCTTGCTTGTCCTCTTCTTGGCCGGTTATAACCAGTTCCTTCGGATATCAGATTCTCAGGGACTAAGGGCTTTGGCATGTACTCTTCTTCCTTCGTCGGCTGTAAATTCAGGGTCATGGCTTCAAAGTAATCAATCATCCCAGAAGAATATTCTTCCCGGTAACCCTCACAGTCTGTGGCTTCTGGAGAGCCATCAATCTTTCTTTCAAACTCATAACCGCAAGAAGTGATTATCTCTGCAAACCAAGAGAGCGGACTTTTCGCAGCCGCATCAGTTGAAGAGGAAGCTGCGTCATCAGGATGACGTTGGTGATCAGACAATGAGATGGCGACTATTGCTTGTGCTGCTACCTTGATGAGTTCATCCATAGAGCTTCCGTCTTGGCCTTTCATCAATCCCCAAGTTTCTTCCTTTGATTTCTCCTGCGAGCTCTCTCCTTCTCCTTCTTCTTCACTCTCAAGAGTTGGGGGAGCTTCCAAATCTATCCAAAGAAGTCCTTTTCTTTTCACTCTTAGACAGGAACGTAAGCCAGAATCTTCATCATCCTCACTAGCACATGAATTCAGATCAATGTAATGTCTGAAGTTGGCTGCTTTGTTTCCTTCTTTCTTTTCAACACAAAACGGTTTAGAACCACCATGCTGGTCAACAGACACCGAGGCATCACATGGCAAGTTGATATCGAGGTCTCGCTTTACCAAGTGATTTACTTCCTTACGTTGATCAGCGATACACAAGGAATGAGAGATAAGGGAAGCATGCTCCTCTTTGCAAATAGATTGCTTCTCAAAGATTGGACACCCAATAATTTTTCTACTACTCTGTGGGTCGGTCATTTGAACTCTTCTCATGTTGGCATTATTAGACCATGAAGCAGAACTCAAACCATTCTGAGGAGAAACACTATTCAGGCAGTCCCCTGTGTCGATTCCATCCATAAACTGATTTGTCGAAGCATTCAAATCCAAGAATCCGTTGGATATTTCACTTTTGAAAGGGGGCTTAGGTTTTAGCCAGGGCAATCCAGCTGAGCATTCCTGCTTTCTTGGCCCTTGAAGGCTTTCAAAACTCTGGTGCTTCACTACCTCACCTAAAGAAGCATTTGGTTTGACGCCGGCTGATGGGAAATTAATGACATTCCCCTTCGACCCTGAAGAGAATCCATGATACATCCCATTAGAGACATTGCTTCTCATCTCAAAACTTGAATCCGGTCTTGCATGTGTGATAAAATTCAAGAAGGGATTCGTTTGAACTGGGTAAGATTTCTGATGTGAGCTGCTCCTAGGATTCCCCCATGATGAAGACCAATGGCTCCATGGTCCAACAAAGTCAGGGCGGTAGTCGTTGTGTAATCTTGGAACATTAGATGCCACACTTGAGTCCACGTAGCTATCATGAGAAGCTTGAGGATTCTTTGAACGGACTTCCAATTCACGATAGGCTCTTTCCCCGGAGTATTTTACCTTGCTATGATCAGTTGCAGGATAGCTCTGTGGTTGAAATGCATTGTTAGAAAATGCTTGTACAGAATGGGAAGGCAGATGCAGCTGGTCTCTTTGAGTGCTTCTATCAAGCCCTATTAACATACAGCCACATGAAACCATTTGAGAAATAGAAGATAGGCAAAAATGTCAACATACTGCTAATAAAACATATGCAGCAGGACGACACACAAAGAAAACGCATGTAACAAGCCACTTATTAAGATTTCTCACCCGCTTCAAGGTTCATCAATCCATTTTGGCTTCTATTTTTCTCCAACCAATGACCTTGAACATCTGCATTGTTTCTTCCATAATGAGAATACATATCCCTGGACAGAGACACAGGTTCTGAATCTTGCCATTTGAGAGGCTCATTCAAGTCAGCTAAGCCGTTTGAGTTCTTCACATCCAAGCAAGACCCTGAAGAGTTGCTCTGTTGAGAAGCATCCCCTCTTCCTGATTTTGACCGCTTGTATGGTGCACAGATTGTTATCTCATCGGTATCACCAGTTTCGTCCGCATCAAGATACTCATCGGCTGGGAGTTGAAGATCAATCATTTTTCTCCTGGCCGTCATAGGTCTAACCTCGAACAAGTCCCCATCTTTTGAACTAACCCCATTTTGCAAACGACCGTTGCAAGCTTGAGCGCTGCTTCCTTCTCCATACGTTGAGTTTGCTAAGAGAAATCCAGGAAGCTGCCTTTTACTTCCATTTTCAAATGTACGATCACTCAAGTTCATATCTTCATTCAAGTTCTTTCCTTTCACTTCATCCACCAAATTCCTCTGTATTCTGTACAAACGGTGAAGTTCATGCACCTGCGATCAATGCAAAAACCAAAATCAGTAAGCTTTTTGAGGAAATGAAACTCAACAAGGACGTAGTATAGAGATACCTGGTTCTTAAATACTGCCTCGTGTTCAAGCATTGTCTGTTTCATGAAATCTCTCTCGTATCCTCCTGAGTAGGAATCCTCAGCCGCGGCTTTCATCGAGAAACCACCGTTCTGGTATTGCCCATATCGCAGATTCGCATCTCCAGGATACACAGACCAACTGCAACTATTAAAATCTTCACTGAGATCTCTCATTGAGGAATGTCTGGGCAAAAAGCTTTCACACTGGACTCTTGCTCCCATTCCTCTAATAACACCAACTCGTGCAACTTTAATTGATTTGTATGAAACTTTTTTTTAAAAAAGTATTATACAACAACAACAATCACAGAATTCGCAAACAAGATATAGATACACGTGAAGCAGCTTAAAAACAAATTATGAGATGATTTGGGTTTTAAGAGATCATTATCATCATCTCTACTAATTATTTGTCCAGATTCTGCAAGTTGAGCTGGATTCATCTTTTAAAATTCGAATCATCACTAAAACCCCAGATTACACGCAAACTAATTCATCTACCAAAAAAACAAATACGAGAATACCAAAGGGAGAAGGAAAAAAAAAGTGAAAAAGAATCGGATAAATTCTTTATAAAAATGAACATTATAATCAGAACAGAAGCTCTGGATTCTGGATCGATTTGACTTTAAATGACTAACCTAGTTCATCAAACAATAACAACAGATAAGCAAAAGAAAAATAAAATAAATAGATAGAAATGGCAAATCAAGTAGAAAGCATTAAATATAAAATAAAATAAAAATAAAATATAAAACCGGTGATAGAGATTTTACCTCAGACCCACATCATCTGATCGCACTTTGAACAGAGAAAATCTTTAATCGTTGATAACTGGAAAACACTCACTCCCAAATCGGCGACAAATTATCGAGAAATGAACAATAAATAAAAAGGGAATAAAAGTGCTTCCGAGATTCACTAAGAAAAACAAAAAAAAATTAATACCGAGAATTTTTAATCAGGAGATAGAAAATCTAAGTAGCGACAGTTTTAATATAAATAAGAGAAGAGACACTGCCAAAATAATCAAAACTCCATGGAAGAAGAAAGCTCAAGCCGTCTTCTTCGATCTGCTGGGCCAACTCTCTCTCTCTCTCTCTCTTTTTCTCTCTCTCCTTCTCTCTGGCTTTCTATCTCTCAGATTCTATAGCGAAGGCAGCAAATAAAAGACTATGAGGTTTTATATTCTTTTTTTTAAGTTTATTATTAATTTCTCGGATTTGGTGTTTTCGTAAAATAAAATAAAATAAATACAGAAACGAAGGAGGCTTCTAATAACAGTGACATGATATTTTGTCAACACTCGGTCTTCCCCTGCGTTTTTTCTTTTCTTTTCATGATCTAATCATTTTCACATTTTTCTAGTTTCTTACGCCTGCATTAAAGTAGTTGCCTTATGATTCTAAATTTGCAGTAAATATGCTACTAAACATTAGTTTCTTACGCCTGCATTAGAGTATTTGATAACTAAACATTATTTTTGTAACTGAATTAAACATTTTAGATTTCTTGAGTTTTTGAAAAGAAAAATAATAGAGATACTAGTAAATAACAAAAGGCTCTAAATGATTAACATGAGAAAAAGAATCAACATGGACAACAGTGAACGTGACATAAAAATATATATTTACAATCATTTTTTTTTGCATAGTAGAGGAACTTTTTTTCAGTAGATGTAGTAGATTTTGTTTGTTTTGCTATTTATTCAGCGTAAATAGTTTAATCGCAACCAAAGGTGATGATTTTACCACATATTATTCTTATAAGTAAATAACCATTTGCATCCAAAATACTAATCTACTATCATAAAAGTTATTCTCGCAGATAATCATTCCTCAATACCCATACCGTTTTTTTGTCACTCTAAATCTAATTCACGATGGTGGAATCTAGACTCTGACTTGTCCCTGATTATGTCGAAGTTATGATAAATAAAAAATTAGCCATGCCCTTTTTTTGACATTCACACCTACATATTAGCAGATTGAGATTAATTAACATTCTTTCGTTTTAAAATATAAACACCATGAAATTTTTTTTTTTTGTCGAAAACACCATGAAAATTATGAAACTGATTTTGGTTAGTTAATTTTGAAAAAAAACTACATAATATAATCGATCGCATAATATTCAAAAAAAAAAATTATATATTGAAACAAATGAAGTATTTTAAATTATTTAAACACATTATTAAATTTAGATATCTCTAAACTTGAAAGCTTAACGGACGGTGAGCCAAAAAAATTAAGAGACTAGTGAGACTTTCCGTTCACTTGTTTGTACTGAAAGTCTTTCAAATTACAAATTCTTTTTTTCTTTTTACAAATGATGTTTTCTTCTCTGAGGGTATAAATAATTAGAGCGTGCATCAAACAGCTAAATTTCAAAAACCAATATACGATTTTAACCTAGATTCTCTCTGTGTCTTTAAATGCAGACATTAATTTAGCACGGAAATAAGGTAGAAACCAAAAATGTAGTACTACTATTCTATTCATCAGTTACTTTAGGAAAACAACATTTATTTTTGACAGCCTAATACTGTTTTTTCTCCGTTAGGTACATATTTATTTAAACTTATCTTTTTATAAATGATTAATTGTAAAATCGTGCAATGATGTGCACATCAGTAATTTACTCCTATAACCTCACGGTCCTGATCTACCCTACCTTTATATAAGGAAACAATGCATCAACTACCAATTAGGAAGAATCCATGTAGAAAGAAATTATCAAATTGGTTCAAATCCATCCATAGTTTATGAAGACAATTTATTTAGAAGTGAGAGCCTCAAAGGCTTCTGATTTCTTTCAATTAGAAGGTACAAATAAATAATAGTCATTAGCATAGTATATAGACATAAAATTTAAAAGCTGAAAAGCATGCTATTTTTAAAGACTTTTTCTTAAAGAACCAAAAATCCACACTAAATTACTAGTCAGATAATAACAATATTAATCTCTAAATGAAGCATCAAATGTTTATTAAGTTAGTTAGACCAAAAGCAGTGGGTCCTACTTGTGAGCCAACTTTGAGGTTTATAGTTTATAGGTTTGGGGGTGGGATTTTTAAGTACCCCTGGCTTTGTAGATAATTACGAGTTCGGGATTATTCTTAGAAACTTTGTTTCTGGTCGTTCCTGATTGGTTGATTATCTCTCCTCTCATACTCAATAAAATATTCAATTAAAAAGGCTGTTTTGTGGAGATTTATTACATTAACTGCCACTATTCCAGAAAAGCATTCTTTTTAGTCCTGACACGTGACAGGTTTAAGTGGCCGCATAGATATTATTCATTCTCTTTATAGTCGAATCTAAAGAGTTTTGGCTTAGTTTTTACTGAGAGGTGTTTTTCGGTGTTACATTTAGAAAAAAAAACTAAAATTATGTGGTCATAAATGGATCTTGATTTTGCCTTTTAAATGGTTTCTCAGCAAACATCAATGAACGAGATATGGAGGGAAATAAACCGGTGTATTCATAATGGTCAACCCATACAAAGTTACAAACTTCGGTTATTCCAAGATTGTTGATCTCTGCGTCTATAAACAAAGCTTAAACTTTGAGGACGAGAGGTCATAAACGAGGATTAAATATCCATCGATTTACCCTTGTTACAAAAAAAAAAAAACGATCAGTCAAATTTGGTTTCGATCGTAGAGTGACATAAGCGGTGCAAATGTTTTTTTAAGGTAGACAGCATTGATATAACTTTATTGTGCTAGTTTTTCATTTGGGCAGATGTAGGTTTTTTTTTTTTTTTTTAATTTGTCAGAAAAGAGAAATTAAAGGCCACACTGCAACAAGGTTAATTAAAAAGCAAGACAAAACAGCTTTAGACAATTCTAAACAACGTTCCAACTCTTGTCATCAAATCCAAAAGTAATAATATATGTTCAAAGACAGAATCAAAACAATGAACATAAAACAACAGCAAAGATATATACATTCGCTTCCCTGTGCTGCGTACACAAGTTAGTCCTCAGGATAATCAAGAGTATCCCCTCTCTGCCGCTTCTTATCGTCAAGACATCGTGAGCTTCCGCTAGGGTTACCTCTATCAAACAGGCTTGTCAAAACACAAGACTGGACTTTCACTAGGAACCAACCAACCCTGGTTCAGTTTTGGATAAGAGAACACCACGGTGTCTCCTATACAAGCCTCCAAAACAACTATCCATGTCTCCTCCTACGAAGTTTTTCGAGAGTACAATATTGATATTTGATTCTACAGGATTTCACTCTGTCCAAAAAAGAATGTCCACTTACATGGAAGAAATTCTCGCAAATTTACTCCCGTTAAACGTGATGATTTCGATGCTTGACTAGTATACAATTCTTTTGTTAATAATTTTGTAACTAAAAACATCATATTTTTTTTTTGTGCTTCTTTATATAAACAACATTAAGAAAGAAAATGGGCCGTATATGATGTGGTCCATATAGCCCATTTATCAATGATAAGCCCGCAACGCAAGTACAGTTCGCAATTCTGTGAATGAAATCCTTCAAAGTTCTTGTGTTCGTCGATGTTTTCGAATTTCGTGAGCGGGGCGCGTCATGTGTCATCACAAAAGCTCTAAGTACAGGATTCTTCTTTTCCAACGACGTTTAATTTTCGTCAAACGATTGTGCCCCCCCAGAGTGACTGTTCGAGGTAGGGGCTGCTCCTAAATCGCTTCAAGCAAATGGGTCTGAGCTGAAATATGAGCTGTCTACAACTCCAGAATCCAATCGACGACGCGACTTTCCAGGCTCAGATTCTCCCCGGTGTGAATCAGCCTCCTTATTCGTTGTTCTCAGGCGTAAATGATGATTTTTGCGTGTTTTATTTTGGTTTTGGCTTTGATTGTATCTGAGATTGTTCAATGTGGAGAGATCTTTGCTAATTAGTCTAGCAATGCCTGCAATCAGAGGCTGCTCTTCCTCATTGCTTTTTTGAGAAAGAATCAGCTTCTTTTGCCGCTGGCTCCGTTAATTTCATCCGGAGGTATTTTCCTTTTGAGAATTTTGGAAATGGGTTTTGTTTAGGTTTGGTAATGAATAATGATGCGTTTCATTATTGAATTTTATGTGTGGAAAGTTATGGATTAGCTACGGAGTTTTTGTGTTTTCATCGAAAAAAAGAAATGCATCTAAGACGTGATGATTAAATGCTTGAATTGTTTTATTAGGTACGATTTGAATGCTGGAACTGTTGATACGTTTTGAAGACATGATGATGTTGCAGCATGCATTGTCTACTCTCATGAAAGAGGTAATAACTAACTCATCTCAACAACTTGAACTGAAGAAAGATTAAATAATCTGATTCGGAGTAGTTAGAAAAGTTTATGTGGTTTTGCCGTTCTCTTACTAGATTTCCACTGTTTTGAAGTGCTTTATAACTCTCTTTACGTTTCCAGTTAGTAATTAGTTGAACTGGTGAAAAACCACCTTATATAGCTATGGGTAGACAAACATAATGAAGCGTTTTCCTGCCCGTAGTTTTCCAACCATAACACTGCTATGTAAGTATGCAGTGTGATGAAAACAATTAGTTGTTTTGATAAGATATAGCAACAATAGAAAAAATTTATCCTAGCGATCCATTTTCAGTTTTTTTCTAACTGAAGGTTTTTGTCGCATTCAGGTAAAAATGTCTATACCTATTGTCAGCAAATTGTTTCAGAGAACACAGATTGTGTAAGGAAACGGACAATCATAATACCATCAGTGAACTATTGTGTTACTTACCCATATCTTCTTTGTTTAGTGTGATCGAGGAGATTATTTTCATGATGAATTTAAATGATCTGATTGTCGAAATCCTTTTTCCTGCAGGACATTTGAAAGACTTTTTTTATTAGTAGCTTTGGGTTCTTATCATTGGCTATATTTCACGTCCAAGCCTTATGTTAATGGCTCAGAACTCTTGCTACATAACCTACTTTCTTCTCCTCATTCAATTTGTGTTTCCTGAGCAAATCGGTTTCTAAATTTACATTTCTAAATGGATGCCGCTCAGGTGATGTTATCTGGTTTGGATGAGAAGATCAGAGTCTGGGATACACGACAGGGAAAATGGTTTTCTTTTATTTGGCTGATGTTGGTGTAACAGTGGGATGCATTGCAGTATCTGGTTTGAATTAGTAGTTTGTATCGAAGCAGCAATGCATATATGTCATATGCGTTGCTCAGACCATCTTCTCGATCTTACTCATCACAAGTGGATGTGCCAACCAGACGTATCACTTCCATTCTTTATTACAAAGGTAATGAGGCAGTAGTTAGTTAGATCTCCGTTGAAAGAAACTAGATTCATTTTTCAGATTCGGCTTAGTTCCTGATGACGTTTAATGCTGCTCTTGAGCAGGATATGCAGTTGGATCGGTACACGAGCGACTAGCGTTAGATTCAATTGACATTAAGCAAGTCATGAGGTAGCTAAGAAAACACACTCTTTGATAACTTGTTAATGACTCTTTGATCTCTGGCCTGTGTTTCTTCATTCTGCTTCAAAATTACCTAAATAACATCGCATCTTTGGCATTTAAACGAACTGTTGATTTCTTGGGTGTTGCATGCAGCTACAATTATCAAGAAGCTAAAGAGTTTCAAGACCGGAGCCATCAACCACTCGGCCATCTCTCCGAAATTTTTCTTTTTCCTCACTGCTCTGTCGCAGGGCAGAGCCTGCTCAAGTGTTTATACAGAGGTTTAATGACAAGTGAGCAGAAGAATAACTCTAGGCTCTTGGTTAACTCAAACGTTAAGCTTAGCAAAGTAGATCTGTGTTATGTGTTACACACATGACACTGAAGAATGATGTAATTTTATAATCTATGATAATGGAAAAGTCCAACCTTATGTTAAATCTGGCCTTTTGATTTTAGAAAAGTTCCATTTGATTAAATTAAAAAAAAACCAAAAATATAAAAGAAAAAGCAAAATTGGTATGTGCAATTAGACGCCGCAAGCTAGTGTGGGGCCGCGTGGTATGCACGCGATGATGCAACAGAGGAGATAAATTTGCGTAAATCTGGACGGTTGAGAGATTGTAATCGGACGGATGAGAAAGAGGATAATAATACAGCAACCCTAGAAAGGCCTCTCCTTCCTCCTGCGTATAAAAATTGACATCACTCGCTGACTTCTCTCTCTTAGGTTTTCATTCTCAAATCTCTTCTTCTCCAATCTATCTCTCTCTCCCTCTCTCGTTTACCAAATCCGTTGAAAGATGTCGGACGAAGAGCACCACTTCGAGTCCAGTGACGCCGGAGCTTCCAAGACCTATCCCCAGCAGGCTGGTAACATCCGTAAGGGTGGTCACATCGTCATCAAGGGCCGTCCCTGCAAGGTCTGATTTCGATTTTCCTCGTCTCTGTTATTTTCCGTTTGTTTTCATTAAGCATGGTTACCGATCTCGTTATCACGATTCTAGATCTCTGTGTTGTGTATAGAGCTCCTTGATTTAGATTGGTCCCTGATTTCTGTGATTCTGTGCCTTATCCTTAGGTTGTAGTAATCAGATCGGATTTTATCGATTTCGCGTCTTGTTAATCCTGCTCTTTGATGATGGTGATGGCTCTTAAATTTGTTTAGATTTTGGGAAATGAAAATGAACATAGATAGAAATCAGGCAACATCAGCTGCCTTTTGTGCGTATGAATCTAAGAAATCGAGCATGTGGTTTGATTTACACATCGGATGGATATTGATTTCGTTGGCCTCTTTTTGGGATTGATAGGTTGTTGAGGTTTCGACTTCGAAGACTGGCAAGCACGGTCACGCGAAATGTCACTTTGTTGCCATTGATATCTTCACTGCGAAGAAGCTCGAGGATATCGTTCCCTCTTCCCACAATTGTGATGTAAGTCGCAAACTCATTTTCTAGATTCATTTTTTTTATATTACATGAGATCTGTGATCTGATTCAGATTGTGTCTCTTTTGTCAGGTTCCCCATGTGAATCGTGTTGATTACCAGTTGATTGATATCTCCGAGGATGGCTTTGTATGTCCTTCAAAACTCATTTTCCTCGTCATTGCAGCTTTGTTTTTCTCCCTAGAGATGGTTCTAATTATAATTTCTTCATTTCTTCAAATTACAGGTTAGCCTTCTGACCGACAGTGGTGGCACCAAGGACGATCTCAAGCTTCCCACCGATGATAATCTGGCTGCTCTGGTTAATATCTCGTCTTTTCATTTGATACACTCACAAAACATGACTTGTTCATCTTTATGTGTGGTATTTGAAAACTAATGTGGTTGGGTTTTTGTAAATGCAGATGAAGAGTGGATTCGAGGAGGGTAAGGATGTTGTGGTGTCTGTCATGTCTTCCATGGGAGAGGAGCAGATCTGTGCCGTCAAGGAAGTTGGTGGTGGCAAGTAAACAAAGTATCGTTCTCTTTACACAGAGGATAATATTATTACCAGTTTGACGACAGTTGGTCAATGTTATAAGAACAAGAAAAAATGTTTTTTTCCTTTTTCTAATTTAGACCATTTGTGTGTGTTTCCTGTTGCAAGACAAACATATCTATTGGTTTTGGATTGTTGAAAAGTTTGGTGTTGAAACAGGGAATATTTTCCTTTGATCCTATGTTATCTCTTAATCCTTTCACTTATTATCCTGTGGTTTTGCGAAGGTTGTGTTACGCATCTTTGTTGTTTGCATTACGGAACATGTGAATCATCTTACTTTTTTTCCATTATGATATCCAAATCACGGATGACTACAATTGAAATTGTGAACTAGATGATTCCTATCAAGCTGTAACCTCGACAAAGTAGTGAGTTTTCTCTTTCGTATCAAGCTGTATCCTTGACAAAGTAGCTATAGAGTAGTGAGTTTTCTCTTTCGGTATATTTGTATTTCTGTATCTTGTATAGAAGCAGAGATTGAAAATTGTTGCATTGTCGTTTTTCTTTTCTTTCCAACTCGAACTTTTAAACATTACACAAAATTATTCATGCACAAAATCTGGTAATAAACACAAACAACATTAGCAAGAAGAGGCCAATTTTTGCTTTCTTGAAAAAAACTGGCATTAGTGTGTATCCGAGATTCTTCTACTTAGAGTATTTGATGATAGTACCAAGCCAATCTACAGGAACATTATCTCTTAACTCGCCATTGAGCGCTCTCTGTGAATGAGTCGTCGCAGCCTGTTTAGGAGATAAAAACACAGTAAGAAGAAGCATAATGGTGGGTTTAAAGCTCCAACTCAATGTAAGAGATTAGTTAAAAGGCAAAATGATGTCATAAATCTACTACCTTCACAATGTAGACATCGATTCCAAGTTTTGCAATCATAGCAGCTTCTGATATCTTCGTTTCCATTCCTCCGGTTGTATCGTGGGCCGCTACAGAGGTTTCAACTGTTTGTTTTCACAAGCAGACAACTTTGATCAAACCCCTAGACTAATTAGTTTTACAATGTTGGCTCCTTTTTTTTTTTACCTTTCTTGTTTGTGTGCTTCAACACTGGATTCACAACCTTCCAGCTTCCATCTTCTCCAACAGCTGCATGACTGGTAAGAATTAGGCTAAGAGTCGAAAAATAATTTAAGAAGAAAGAAACAGTAAAGTTTGGAACTAACCGATCTCTTTCAGGAGCACAGCATCAGGCTCCGATGGTGGTCGATCGTAGACACCTAGTACATCTGTCTTTGTAAAGAGTTACTCAGATAACAAAGTATCGGAAGAGGGAGAGGACACTAGTTATGAAAAGAAAATTAGATATTCTTTTATTATGAAAAGGATACAAGGAAGACAACGTATTCTGGCTTCAAATGATCTGCGAGATGACGGATGATAACATCACCACTCAATATGGTGCAACCCTGTTCAGGACAAGAATTTCTAAAAGTTCAAGGTCCAAGAGGAAAGCAATGTAGACAGAGCTTTGGTATCCCAGGAGAGCATATTACCAGTATATTGTCTAGCACTGCATCTCCATGGAGAACCTGGCCAGAACAAAAATTTACAGTAAAAATCACGGTCGAGTGACTTTGGGAAGCATCTACCTAATGCCAGTGGTAGGATTCAAAACTTACAGGGACAAATCCTGAGTCTATTGTTTTAGCTACGGTTGATAGATCCGCAGAAGCCACCTAATGCAAATAGTAGTCTCATTAGTATCAGACCAAACATGCTTCAGATCAGAAATATATAAAGGGGGAAAAGAAAAGAAGTTCAGTTGGCTCTCACGTCTCTTTTGGAGGTTGACCAACCACATGAAAATGGAGACATGCTGATAGTAGGAATGCCCTCTGCAAGAAACCATAAAGTTTAGCTTTTCTAAGCAAGACATAGTTTCAGAGGATAAAAAGAGAGACGTAAGAGGTACCTCGGGCAAGTGCTCTTACAATTTCAAGATTAAGATTCGTGACCTACAAAGGAGTGGAAAGAGGAACTATCAGAACAGCTCAAGACTAGCTCAAGTAAGAGTCTTAGCATTAGCAGACAGTCTCACAGATATGCGAGTCGCGACAAAACCAGCTTTGACAATAGGTTTCTCAAGTCCTCCTTTGTGAACACCTGATCTGCTGGCCTGAAAGTGCCCAAAGGAACCTAGTAATGCAGATTAGAAAAATAAATCCCACACCAAGAAAACTAATACTACATAACAGCTCAAGAACATAAGCAGGTCAAATGAAACTCATTAGTGTTAGGAGTCTCATTGATCTATAAGAACTAATCAAAGATGTGCTTCCTTTTGATCCTTACATTATAAGAGTTAAACAGAGACGAACCAATGTCCGAACAAGGAATTAACTAACCTGCGCCATGAACCACAACAAACTTGCTAAATTCAGAAGAGTCCTGATCCCCCAAATCATCCACATCACAAGAAATCTCAGAGCTTCCAGGTCTCTTGCTCCAGTCCATTCCAATAACCTTGCTTGGAACTGAACCTTCCATCATAGCCTGACGTAGCTGGCACGCTACGATCTCCAGATTCTCATCGTGAATCTTTTCCAGCTCGTTCTTGCAAGTAATCGCAGCACCTCCTATCACAGATGTTTTTAGAGATATTATCGCTGTTATAGAGTAATGGGACATGAAAAAGGGTGTCTTTTCTCGTTGCCGGATTTGAAAACCAAATCAGAATCAAACCCATAAGACTAAAAAAAGGAAATGCGATCTAAGAATCGATCGAGGAAAGATGTGAAGAAACGGGAAATTGAAATCAAAAGACAAACCAAGTTTCACAATGCAACGAATTGATCTGCTTCGACTCTCAGGGAGATTAAGCTCCATTGTGTTTGTTGTAGCTCTCGTCTTTACTGGTCAACGGTGTGTGTCACTCCCGCTCTAACTCAACTTCATCGTACTCATTCCCTTCTTGCCATTTCCTTTCACCGGAAAGATTCTTCTTTTTTATTTTATTTTATTTTTCTCCATTTTGTCAAAGAAACCCACTATTCTTGGGCCTAGCTCAATTTTCTCAAATCTCAATCAATCTGCCTAAACCGGGTTACGGTTCAGTGTTTTCAAGGTTTCAGACTTTTAGTTGAATTTGCGGTTTAGCTTCAAGTTCGTGATGGAGAAGATTACCTCCGTTGGATTTAGATCTTCTGTGTGAGGGGACAGATGCATGATGTGTTCCTCTGCCTTCACCTGTGTGCCACCGACAAATTGTCTTCTTGTTTTTTTAAAGAAGAAAATCATTTTCTAAAGAAAATTGTTTACTTTTGATTCTCACGCTTACAGGAACGTAGACTACATCGCCGAGATCTCGTCCAAGATTCGTTCTTTTTTTATTGGGCTAACGGATCCGAACCCGGCTCCGTTATACCCAATCTCAACGCTTTTTTGTGCGTACCTTTTCGTTTCAATCACTTCTACAGCTGAAAAGTCCGTCGCTTTCACTCTAAAATTTTATTTCTTTCTTGATATGTAGGCAATCTGCTAATCTGGGTTATCTGAAAGATCTTCACTTTGCATCGATTTCATCTCGCTGTTTGTGAAATTCAGGATTTTTATGGTATGTGATCTCGAACTCAACTAAACCCACTTCACTCGAAAAAAATGGAGACGGAAACGAATCTCGGAGGAAATCAGGGATCCGTACGGAAATCGGAGCTGAAATCATACAGTCACAAGCAATTTCACTCTACGAATGCGTTAGAGATCTTGAGAGAAGCCGTTCGAATCCTCCGGTACAATCTAGGTGCTTTCATGTTAACCGCTGCTGTTTTGATCTGTCCTGTCTCTGCTTTCCTCTTACCCAACTTTCTAGTTGATCAATCACTAGTGAACAAACTCACAGTGAAGCTTCTCTTAGTGGCAAAGTCAAGCGGTCTTCCTTTGCAGCCATTTGTCAAACACTCTTGTCAGAAATTCGCTGAAACTGCTGTTTCGTCGGCAATGTGTTTCCCTTTGTTCATCACCGTGTCTCTCTTGTCTAAAACAGCAGTGGTTTACTCTGTGGACGCCACTTACTCTAGGGAAATAGTCGAAGTTAGCAAGTTCTTAGCTACATTGCAGAAGATATGGAGACGAGTTGTGTTCACTTACATGTGGATTTGCATTCTGATTGTTGGTTGCTTCACTTTCTTCTGCGTTCTCCTTGTAGCAATCTGCAGCTCCTTCTCTGTTCTAGGCTTCTCACCAGATTTCAGTGTTTATGGAGCCATCTTAGTTGGTTTAGCGTTCTCTGTAGTTTTCGCCAACGCCATTATAATCTGCAACACAGCGATCGTGATCTCGGTTCTTGAAGACGTTTCAGGGGCAGGAGCTTTGGTGAGAGCTAGTGATCTGATCAAAGGCCAGATTCAGGTGGGTTTGTTGATATTCCTAGGGTCGACTTTAGGATTGGCGTTTGTGGAAGGACTGTTTGATCACAGAGTGAAGAAGGTGAGTTATGGAGATGGGTCTTCGAGGCTATGGGAAGGACCTCTTTTGGTGTTGATGTATTCCTTTGTGACACTTATTGATTCGATGATGAGTGCAGTGTTCTACTTCAGCTGCAGAGTTTATTATAGTATGGAAGCTTCTTCGAGAGGTGAAACTCAGCCGATTATGGAAACCGTCGCAGTTGTGGATACTCAGTGATGGTTTTCGCTGCCGAGATTTGTTGGATTCCAGTTGCGTTGAAGAAGATGTATGTATATCAATGAGTTTTGTTTGAAATTTTTTTTTGTTTCAATTGAAAGAAAACTTGATGAGCATTTTTAAGGTTTTTGTTATATATATAAGACTGCGATGTTTACATGATTTGAAGATCATAGCACAGCACCAAGTTTGGTCATAGTTCTCTTTTTAATTACAGTTTCTGTTATGATAAAACGTTCTGGTGTTAAATTGTAACTTTAGAAAGTAGTTGGGCTTTTGTTCGAATTATTTCTTTCTCAAAGGACTTCAAGTTATAATTAAGTTAAAATACCGGTTTAAAGGTTTTGCTCTCTAGTAGACTCGAGTGCTCAAATTGTAAAACCACGGAAATACCAAAGTAACCTCTGCCTCGCTCGCCGTCGCCACTCGCCGTCACCGTCCGTCACCGTCTGTCACCGTCTGTCACCGTCTGTCACCGTCTGTCACCGGCTGTCACCGTCATCGTTGTTCAACATCGCTGACCTCTTAAAACCAGTCGTGTCTACCCCTTGATTACCACCTTACCCGTGAGTCGAATCCTCTTGGACCTTTGCTGTTCTCTGTGTCCCAATTTTTTTTCCTGATTAATTATCGTTTAGCGACTTGGATTTCTATCTAGTTGAATGTTTCTTGGTCTGATTTTTTTGTTTAAAGGCCAGTTTGATTCCCATATTCAAAGTTGAATTGCGTAATTGTGTTATCTTTTGGATTGTTTACCACTTGTTCGATGTAATGCTTGTAAGTTCTCATGTTCTAATTCGATGCAATTTCTGGATAGTTTCTACGCTCCCTTGGCTTTTATTTGGTTGATGATTACTAGGTGACTCTTGATTTAACGAATAACTCAAGACTCCGGCACACTTAATCTAGACTGAGTCTATCAAACAGCAAGGTGTTTAATCGTATTTGTGGCTATAGATGAATCCACTCTTCCTCCTATTTTGCCTCTTTTGAAGTTGCTACCTCTCTTATATGTTTCTGTTCGGTTGTGCAGCTTGTGCTTAGGTTTTGTCTACGCCCATTACCACTGTCTTCACTGTTTTGAAAATCCACTCCTAGTAATTACTGAGCAGAGACGCTAAGAAGTTCACTTTTTTAGGGTGTTCGGATATTGCTTGTAAGGTCTTTTTGCTTTATTTTTGTTAATTTCCACCTCGGCTAGAGCCTTAGGCTTGATATATTTGGTTCATGTTGCAGTAATGGACGAGGGACGTCAAAAGGACTTGCAGTTGTTGGAGGAAATCATTGATAAAGGTTTAAAACAGAAGCTTGTACACACAATTGCTTCACGGTATTCAAATTTTCCTCCTTTCTGGATCCAGATTATAAGGTTTATGTATGATGTTATTCATTTGTAGTCTCTCTTTTTTTTTTTTTTAAATGTTTATTGATTGTGGTCTCTGCTTTTGTTGGTTTTGCAGGGACAAGATCTTTGAAGAACAAAAAGTACTGTATCCTTTTGTATAGAAAGACTCTTGCTTCTCTTGTATAGAAAGACTCTTGCTTCTCGAAATGTACATCTCATTAAGCTGATCCTTATTTGTTCGTTTCTCCCTTGTCTGAGCCCCAGTATAGATGACTGATTCAGTTACGATTCAGTTTTTCACTTGTTTTTTGAGTATCTTGTAATCTTGAGGAACTGTTCGTGGTGTAGTCGTTGTCGTTCACACTACTTTGCTGTTCTAGTGAGCTCTAATTTGGTTGGAGATTCTTGTTTCCTTAACGGTTACTTCCACTCCAGCTCTGACTTGCGGAAAAATCTAGAAACGCTGGAGCAAAATGGTGTAAATAGTCTCAAAACAATGGTCAACCTCGGTTCAGAAGTTTACATGCAAGCTGAAGTGTACGTCACTTGTAGCTCTGGTTCTTTCGTATTACCTTAGTACAGTCATTATATGGGAAATGTCATACACTGTCTCCATACTGAGCTTAATGCATTTTCACAATAACACACAGTCTTCTGCATTTAAGTAGTGTACTTTCACTGTGTTATGTATGTTAGATGCTAGTTATGTATTTCTGAGCAGAGAACGTTAGTAAATGCGGATCAGAATTGGAGATGTTATAATCTTGTTTCTGATTTCGTTTGACATTTGATTTGGCGTCTGTTTAAGTTCAGGCCAGATACAAGGCACATATTCATGGATGTAGGGCTCGGCTTTTATGTGGAGTTCACCCGGCAAGAAGCTCTCGACTATATCTCACAAAGAGAGGAAAGAATTAAAAAGTATGATAACGCTTTGCTTTTTTTTTTTTTTGGCTCCTCATGCTGCTTTTCTTAAAGTTTTAAAATTCTCTTTGCTGCTTCTTCGAGCCTTCATTTATACAAAGCGGCAATATCAAAGTTGGCAGTTATTGTCGCATTGCTGTACATGACGAATCATTGTATATGACGAATGAGTTGTCGTTGCGTATACATTTTTAGTGACTTGAGTGTTGATATTATAAATGGTGGTTTTTTTTTCCAGACAATTAAAAGAGGTAACTGGTGTTATCACGCTGATCAAAGGCCGCATCAAACTGGTAAGTTCAAGTACTATCTTGCATTGTAAATTAATTCATTTGTTGGTTCGGGTACTGGTCTTATCTTATGAGGTTGAATAAGATCACTGTGTAACAACTCTGCACCATTTGCTTTGTTAGTGATCATGTCAACATTGTTGTAACCCTTTTTGCAGGCTCATTACCAGATTCAGCAAATACTCAATCTTCCTGACGAGAATCCATCATCATCCCGACGACGTGCGTTTTAAGTACTACCTAGTGGATAACTGAATAAACTGATCATGAGAAAAGATAACATTAATGATGAATTTCTCTTACGCTCTTATCCTGTTGATTGGTTTTGCAAGGTCCCTGGTAGTCTTATGATTTTGAAAGCTTAAGCATGGAAAAAGAGAATCATCTTATTGTAATACAAACTCTTCTCTTTAATTGACTGAATTGTTTCGTGTTAAGATAGACAAATGGAGTAATCTCTTACGCAGTTATCTCTGCCCCTGCTAGTCTTATGATTTTGAAAGCTCAAACGTGGAGAAGCAAATCATTTTATTGTAATACTACTAACTTTGCTCTTCAATAGACTGAATAGTTTGAGCAAAAGGCCAAATTCCTAAAAAAAAAAAATATGGAAATTACATTTGATGGGGTACACTTAAGAATTAGAAGAACAGCTTTGAATAATGGACCAAGATTTATGCATATGGATTTATGCATATGCCACGTCAGCAATTCAAAGTGTCCTTGATTAAAGTTAGGTTAGCAAATTAGAAGAACGGCTCTGTTCATCTTTCGTGGTGTCAGACAGCTTTGGCTTAGCACCATCCTCTCTTCTTCTTCCTTCTTCTTCCTACTTCTTCGTTTTCGTAGTATAGTAATCAGACTCGGATAAAAAACCTAATTCTTTCGGAGAATCGACACCTCTCTCTCCTTGCTTACACCTCGACTTTTTCTCGCCGAATTATCTCTGTTGTAGGTAAGATACGAATCTCGATCCACGCCAATTGGTCATTGGTATGCTTGATTTGGGCATTCTATTTGATGGTTGATAATGATTGTTAGGTGGTTCAATTGATTAAAGTGTTCAGGTCTTTAGGCTTTCCTTCGAACTTCGTTTGAATTCGAGATCGATATAGCGTTTCTAGTTGCATCAGGTCGGATAAATGCATAAATTTCTAAACATACAATGATTGATCATTTGGATGGATTTGTTACAGAGCTGTGATGGATCCAGCACAGAACACAAGCTCAGGGATTGGTGGGAGCAATGGTACGGTGAGATATCAGACCAATGATGGCATTGCAACTGTTTCTTCTGCTGCTGCTGACGATTCAAAGGAGAATTTGAACCAAGTCATAAACTCGATACAGAAGACTCTGGGACTTCTTCATCAGTTACACCTTACCGTCTCTTCTTTCACACCTGCATCTCAGCTGCATCTCCTACAACGCCTGTAACTCCTCTTCTACTCCCCAAAATTTCTTGGCTTTAACATCATCAAAGAGAATGTTTTTGTTGTTTTTTTCATTGTGTTGGGTATTGTTCGAATGAGTGTTTTTGTATATTTGCAGCAATTCTCTTGTGTTGGAGCTGGATAGCATGGCTAAGCTGTCCGAGAAATGCAACATTCAAATCCCCATGGAAGTTCTTAGGTGAGAGACAGTCCATTTTATTTTTCATAGAATGCACTTTGGAGTTGGAGATACCTTTGCTTGCTTTCTTTTTGTTACTGGTGTTTTTTTGTTTTGGTCCAAAACATGTTTTCTTATGTTACTGGTGTTTGCATCTTTGCTTTAGCTTGATTGATGATGGTAAGAACCCGGACGAGTTTACAAGGGATGTTCTTAATAGCTGCATAGCCAGAAATCAAGTTACAAAGGGCAAGACTGATGCTTTTAAGGTGACCCTTTTAAAAGCAAGTCTCCACTGATTCCTAATGCTTATTCAAATTTACCCATGTTTTTAAGTCAACATTTTGTCTTCTCCATTTATTTGTAGGATTTGAGAAAACATATCCTGGAGGAGCTTGAACAGACTTTTCCTGATGAAGTTGATAAGTATAGAGAAATCCGTGCTAGTTCTGCTGCTGTAAGTAGTTAACATCGCTTCCTTGTTTTTTTCCCCTCTCTCTCCCTCAGTGATTGATTATCTCTACATCTTCATTAAAATACTAGCAATAAGTCAAGGTGACAGTTATTTTTTCGTTAAATTCAGGAAGCTAAACGTCTGGCTCAATCACAAACTGTGCTACCAAATGGAGATGCGAAGGTCAAGAGTGAGCTATAAGAGCCCAGTTTTCCTATGGATCTTTACCTTTGTAAAATAAAGTTTCTGAGTAGATGAACGTGGATGTAAACGAACTAAGCCACATTACTAGTGAATAGCGACTCTTGTTATGATTGTGTGTCACAAAACCTTTATCAATATCTTTGATCCTATATATCAGAAAGAAATTTGGTTCAGTTACTGATATAATCCCTCCCTTAATATCAAAGAAAACAAATGTAATTTAACTACGTTTTAGTTTTACTAGATTGTCTTCATGCATGGATAAGAAAGCAAGACATGGAGTGATCCCATCCTCTTCAGGTCAACTATATCACCAGAAAAATCCTCTTCTTCTCCAAACTCTAAACATGGCAGAGTAAATATGGGCTTCAAATATAAATAAATGGGCCTTGTCCATATATCCCTAGAAACAACGCATTACAATATGCTAATAAGTTGTATTTTTCATGACAAGAATCCCACATCGGTAATATACAGAAAATAGATGTTTTATATATAGCGCACAGAGAGCAACAACAGTCACGACCTTACTTGAACAGGATCAGTTCTATAGGCTCGTACCTCTGTATCCTTGATTTCTAAGGAGACAGGCCCTAAACCCTGGTGGATGAACTATGACCGTGCGATCAGAGCGTGATTAACGGCCACGATCATCTTCTGATGCATCCGGTGCTGTAGAGGATCGTTACTCGGCTCGGTTTAATCCTAGCCGGGGTGGTCGCACGGCGGTCTGACAGGTTTCCTTCTTTTTTTTAATTGCGTTGGCATGCATACTCACGTGATCTTACGCTGGTCAATGGCGCAGGTGATCCCAGCTTCCTTCACTCTGTTTTTTTTTTTTTCCTTTTAATAATTTGTTTTACGTCGTCGATTCTCTCGTTTCTGTAAAACAAAACCTCTTATCCTCTCCTTTAATGGACTCTCTGTGAAAAAAAAAACAAAAAAAGCAATAGGTTTTACATAAAAAATTGTCCAAAATGATCTGGTTCGGATGGGTTAATTAGTTTAATTAATACAAAGTTGCTGATCCGTGTCATATGAAACGCACCGCTTTGGTTGTTCCTTTTTGTCCCGAAAAATTATCAGAGGAAAAAGCTTAGGAAGAAGAAGAAGAAGTTCGAGCTCGATTTCTTTAAGCAAAGAGGAAGTGTTTTTTCCTGCTTCGAGATCCGATCAAATCTAACGAAGGAGAAATTCCACGAAACTTCCTGAAATCAGTTTGAATCTTCTGGAGATCGAAAGCCTTTGATTGAAGAAAGAAGATGAGCGACGTATTCGAAAGGTACGAGCGTCAGTACTGCGAGCTCTCAACCAATCTCTCCAGAAAATGTCATTCTGCGTCGCTTCTCTCCGACGGAGGTAATATTTTAGACGCTTTCTCGCCTTCGGATCTTATTAGCTTGCAATTGATTTCCATTTGATTTCCCCGAATTTGGGAAATTAGAGCTATTGAGTTGCGGAAAAGTAGCTGGTGGATGAGTTCATTGCTAATTCTTTTGACTTGTTTACGATCTGGGAATGTAGCTATAAGATGTAATGTCATTGCTTTGATTGGATTAGTAGTTTTCTTGATGGATCAGATAATGGTTGAGAGTGAACATGAAAACCTTTTTAGCTCAAAGATAATTATGTAGCTGCATTGGTTTATTCTTCTTCCTTTATCTATCAGTCTATGTCCATCACTGTCTTTCTTGGACTTATAGTGCATAGTCATGTTTACGATTTGACGAGCTCTGTATGACATGGGAATGTTGATACATATGATGTAATCTCATTTCTTGGATTGGGGATAGTTTCGTTGAGGGATCAAGTAATTTGTTGAGACTGAAAATGATAATCTTATTAGCTCAATGAAACCATGTAGGTACATTTTTTTTTTTAATTCAGTTGGTTCTTCCTTGAGGTTATAGTGCATAGACATGTTCGAACTAATTATGGTGCCTTAAAATCAGACTAGAGGTTAGATAAATTGTTTATTGTTTTGTTTTTTGCCTGCAGAAGAGAAGAAGGGGAAGCTTGCTGAGATTAAGTCTGGAATAGACGAAGCTGATGTCTTGGTATTACACCATTTATTTTCCTTAATGTTTAACTCTTTCTGTTTACAAAAAGAAAAAAGAAATTCAAGATATGCTTCTGTGTTTCTTTTCTTGTAGATCCGGAAAATGGATCTTGAGGCAAGAAGTCTGCAGCCGAGTGCCAAAGCTGTGTGTCTTTCTAAACTAAGAGAATATAAATCTGACCTGAACCAATTGAAGAAGGATTTCAAACGAGCCTCTTCCGCAGATGCTAACCAGTCTACCCGTGAAGAACTGATGGAATCCGGAATGGCGGATCCGCATGCAGTAACTCCTAATAGAAACTCTTGTTTTTTTGTTCTTTTCTTTGACCTGTTAAGAAAATATGGAGTCACATATGTTGGTTGTCTTGATTACCTCATACAGTCTTGGCTTCTGTGCCCTGAGTGTTATTTGTTTTCATCTTCGTCTAATCACAATCTTAGACGCTAGAGATGTTTATGCTATTTGAACTATTGTCCTCGTTCCAGGTATCAGCTGATCAAAGAGGGAGATTGGCGATGTCAGTGGAGAGGCTTGACCAATCAAGCGACAGAATCAGAGAGAGTAGAAGAATCATACTGGAGACAGAAGAGGTTGGCATCTCAATTGTTCAAGATCTGAGTCAGCAACGCCAAACACTCCTCCATGCTCACACCAAGGTACGCGTTACAGTAATTTACAACTAATCAGCAAATGCGCTCGGTTTCGTTTTGGTAATCTATCAGCGCCAATGATTTTCTTGAATTAGATCATGTTGAAAAAAAGCTAACTTTTGGTGATTTGTGTCACAGCTACATGGTGTGGATGACGCCATTGACAAGAGCAAGAAAGTGTTGACGGCTATGTCACGGAGAATGACAAGGAACAAATGGATCGTTGGTTCAGTGATCGTAGCTCTTATCCTCGCCATCATTTTGATCATCTCATACAAGCTTTCACATTAATTATACATAAAACATAACTCATCGTGATTGTGTGTGTATATATGATGGTTGATTCGTTTGTAATGTGCCCAAATGTTTTACTTGTACTCCAAGTACGCTGTGTCTATTGAAGTGGCAATACTTTAAAACATTCAGTAGATTTTCCCCAAGTCTTTTACATGCTCGTAGCCAAAGATCTATACTCTTAAAAGTTTTAAAGAAATTGGGACACCTTGCACTTCCTCGTCGGACCGATCATCTTGCCGTGGCCACCAGTTGCAGGGAGGAGACCACCGATGGTCACGTCATCGCATGAAAACCTAACGTACGCGTACCAATACGATCGCCATTTTATGAGGCTAGTCAGCTTCACACCAAACTCTGCAAAACTAGTGGCCAAGTCCTTGCCGATTCTTTTGGCAGTAGTTCCAGGCGTGAGATTGATGGTGACGTTGATCGGCGTCGTCTCTCTCTCCTTTTGAACAAACCCCGAGGACATGGTCGTGGCCAAGCGTTGCTAGCCGTAGTGAACTGAGCAGTAAAGGTCGTCGTAGAAGAAACGAGCCTTAGAGTTAGGGTTTATAGCTTGGAACTGGATGTTAAAGTAGCCGGAAATATGATCTCCGGTGAAGTTGAACTTCGTGACTGTGAGGGAGGTGAGAGTGACTTTAGGTAAGCTCGGCGAGGAGAAGAGGAGGATGAGGAGCATGACAGTAGCAACCAATCCGAAGATGAAACAAACCGCCATTAACCTTGGCCAGGAAAGTTTTGTATATAGAGAGAAGCTGAGATAATATTAACAGCCTGTAAAACCAACGATTTATAGTAACACGCATGTGAGAGTAGTAAGGGAGTCACTGGCTCTCAAAGTGGTGAAGAGGCTTACTTTACAAAAAAATAAAAAACTAGACATCTCAAAGTTCTTAAAGAACTGCATTACTATTTACGTGTAAATGATATCTACATATATATGTATAAAAGGGGTAAGCTTACTCGTAGACCCTTTTAAACATAGTAGGCTAGAAAGCTATTCGCTCTGACGTAAAATTAATAAGCTATTGGCCTTTAAATGGCAGGCTATCAAAACAAGTAAATATATTGAACGGTTGTTACTTGCAAGACTGAAAATACTGACTCACAAGAGAAGCTTTAGTTATAAATGCTTTTGTAATAATGATCAAACTTCAAAAACAAATTCGTATGAGTATGATAGATTCACTAATGAACGTACGAGTATGAACATGGACTTTGATACTAATAAGTAAAGATAGTGAAAAATACATTATTCATATAATTTCTATTTTTTACATAGTAATTATACGAAACACTTTCCTGTTGCTAGACAATTGAAAAAAGGCGGAAATACGTCAACAATGTATAAGATGGATAGCTTCATCTCCAAGGCATAACCCATTCATGTCAATAACTCTCTTTGACTACTATTCCATAATTTGTAAGCCCGTAAACAAGAATATTTTGATCTTGTGTTGTCACATTTTGATATCTGTCTTTGGCTAGATTCTTGTGCAGATTCTTCACGAAGATCAACGGCTCTAAAAAGAAGAGAAAGATAATTCTATTGGATAGAAATGGCTTTGGAAAATCTGCTGTTACATTGACATGATAAAGTTTCTGGAAAAGTGGGAAAAATAACTATTCACCATCAATGTTCACCTCGAGAGTTTCAAGTTGAAGAGGACAAGTGTCTTTGCATTATGAACATCTCTCTCATAAAGTTCTCAGCTTTATGAAACGCGAACCCACCACAAGAATTTCTGTTATCTCTCTGCTCAGGATATAAAATTTCGGTGATCTATCTATTGAGATTTACTCTTGAGGGTGTTTAACAATGGCGGGTCAATCTCTTCACTCTCCGACCAAACCTCATTTTTTCCAGCCTCTTCTTCCCGGATTCCACTCTCATCTCGTACTCTGTTCTTTTCTTTCGTTTCAAGAAGATTGTCTATAAAAATGTTACATTTCTAAATTTTGTTGCATGTTGTTACAGAACATGCCTGTATCTTTCTTCTCGAAGCACGTGGAAGGAAGACACAACCAAAACAAGACTGCGAAACTGAGATCAGATGCGTCAGAAAAAACTTGGTCAGTGAAGATGGACGGTTTGAAATTCACCGACGGGTGGGAAGATTTTGCAGTCGCACATGATCTCAGAATTGGTGACATCATCATTTTCAGACATGAAGGAGATATGGTGTTTCATGTCACAGCTTTGGGACCAAGTTGCTGCGAGATTCAATATACATCATCAACATCTAACGAAACCGATGGTAATGGTGATGATCAGACCAACCATATTGGTTAAATTTTGTACTCAAATTCTGTATACAAATATGTAAAAATTAATATTGTTTTTAATTGTTTCTTAGTTACAGGAAACAGAACAAGAGTGAAGAGAAAGAGAGTGAAGAAGAATCGAAGAAAGAAAGCAGAATCTTCTTCATCAGACCATTCTCATTTTGAGGCAAAAGTCTCAGCCTCGAGCCTAGAAATGGATCGACTGGTTAGATTATACTTTTCAAATATTTTAAGCAAAAATCTGTTAGTTCAAGAAACATAATTAATCGGAACTCTGTGACGGTATTTGCAGTATCTACCACGGATTTTTGCGAGGTCAAACGGTCTGGACAAAATGAGCGGTGAGAAGATCCTTCTTCTTAACGAAGAAGGAAGATCATGGAATTTGAACTTGAAATACAATGAAGCAGGCATGCATACTTTTATCAGACCTGGTTGGAGAAGATTCTGCGCTCAAAATGGAATGAAACAAGGTCACTATACATTCAAACTGGTCCAAAAATCTGGCCCACCTGTCATCCGTTTGTGCCGTGCATTACATCGAGCAAAAACAGATCAAGAATCTTCATTACACCATTCTTGTTATGTGGGATCTGTCACTGCTTCTAGAGCTTCATCTTCATATAGTCAAGACCAATTTGTGACGTTAACTCTTACACCGTCCGTTGTTAATAGCTATAAACTGGTAAGTTCACTAAAAACCCCTTATGTCCCAAGATTGCCCCTTGGTCTACTATTTTTTTGTTGTCTAAAAATCGAATCTTTGCGCAGTATCTTCCGCAGGGTTTCACACGGCTGAATGGCATCAACAAGCCAGGGAAGATAACTCTGTTGGGTGAAGATGGAGTAAAAAAGGTTGTGGATCTTTTGCAGAACAAGAGAACCGGAACAATGCGAATTGGAAAAGGCTGGAGAGAATTCTGTGATGCTCATGGCGTAAAGATAGGAGAGTCCTTTGTGTTGGAACTCATTTGGGAGGAAAAAGCAAGTCCGGTGCTTAAGTTCTGCACCAAAGTAAACTCTGTCTGAGACTATGTCTAGACATGAATCCTATGGTGTCTCTACACATTATGGGAACAGTCACGCTACTTGCTCTGCAATATTTATCCCTATCTGTCAAGTTTCTTTTAGCTGCTACTATTCCTTAGATTTGCAACAGTTTGTTGACTGCAAGTCTCTTGTTGATTCTGACTAGATGTCTACTTATCGGAGGCTTGTTAAGAATTCCAGAAAATTTTAGAACTTAACTACAACAAGTTTTTTAGAACTTATCTCTATTGTGTGGAGACTGGAAAAAGGCAGTAATCCTCTGTTGTTGGTTGTGAACCTTTGTAAATTTGAAATGTCATCACTTTGTGCTTCATAATCTCGTTAAAGACATTCTTCTCCTGCAGGCGACAAAAGAAGCAAGTCTCCTGGTTTGTTCTCTTGGGGAGATTTCTTCTACCGAGAAGAGAACATAAAAACAGAGCAATTAACTGGTGATTAACTCAGAGAGAATTTGTTAACTATAATTCCATGCATTGGATCAAGTTTTCCGAGGACACTAATAAGAGTGTTGAAAAGTAACAGTGAATCTCTTTTTTTGTTTGCCTCACAGTTCAACTCATCTTTTTGCTTAATCTGCTTCAATTAAGCATTTAGGTTCTTAACCCTTTTTACAATGCTGCTCTTATCCAGAAATACAATATAATGAGTGCGTGCCTAAATCTATGTCACGTTTCCCAAGTTTAATCTAAAAAAGTATTCTTGTATTTCTTTCTGTTGCCAGAAACTGCAAAAAGAGCAACGCTTTCACATTCATTTAAATTTCCAGGTCTCAAGAGTACATGCTCAAACCAAATATCTAAATGTACAAAACCCAGGGAATAGAAGATTCCATGAGTTGGGAAAAAGAAAGAGTGGGATTGTACTTGTTCCATCTAACCATCTTAGATAACTTTCTTCTTCTCCAAAAACGTCTTCAAATGCACAAACTGCATTCCGGCGACTCCTAAGCATACGAAAAGAGAGAGGAAACTCAACCACGCCATTTTCGAGTTTGTGGCCCTGTTCAAATTTTGCATCTCTTCCTCCCTGAGGAAAAAACAAAAACAAACAAAAAAGCACTCATCACGTTATCACCAGGTTCAACAACATTACATGATTCAGTGAAAAAGGGGTTGGATATTGGATTCTATAGAACAACCCGGAAGCACAAAGAGTTAAGTTAGAAAGACAAAACTTTCTTTACCTGTCTCTTAGATAAAACATCTCTTCATGAATCGAGATTACGGTTTCAATAAGTTTCTTTACTTCAAATTCCATGACCTTGTTCACAAACAAACGCAACACAGAAGCATCAGAATCTATAACTTCATCGTCAAAGAGGCTTGAAGATGAGAACAAACATCAACATTACTCAATCCCCCCAAATCTTTCCATATTCATTAGGCTCTACAATTTAATCTCTTGTCAAACAGATCCCAAATAAAAGCATTTCCAATTCCGGAACAATTTATCTATGTAAGTGATCAACAACCAAATCAACATACCAAATGAATCCAAATGAAAGAAAAAAAAAAGCATTGTAACTCACTTCGACTTGGCTCTTCTTGGCGACACTACTCCAGCTCTTAGAGTGAACACCTGTCCTCCAATCCAAATCAACATTCAATGTCACCTCAGGTTTATGATCGATGGCAGTGAAACAAGCCATGTAATCTCCCGCTTCCACCGCCGTGAACGCGAATTGTCCCGATTCCACATCTTCCGCGTGGTGATACGTGTTCCCGTAGCTCGATGTCACCTGTGTATACATATATATATACAACGTTGAATCGAGAGAAACAAAAACAAGAATTTTAAAATTCAGAAATCGGAAAGAACGGATTTTTCGAGTACCCTAATGGAGATCTTGTGAGACGGAGGAGAAGGGTGAGCTTCGTTGTGGTTAACGACGCTGTATTTCCCGACGGTCATGGAGTTGCTTTTGATGTCCTCCGATATACATTTTGTTCGACCCGATTGCAATTCGAAGTGGAGAGATTGGGATACGCGCGATAGAGTCCCAAGGAACAAGAGGACCGTACAGAGTTTAATCGATCGGAGAACCATGGCGAGAAATTCAAAGAGAGATCTTTTTGTTTTGCTCCTCAATCGTTGCAGAGTTGGTGCGAGAAGGAAAATGGAAGACGGAAAAGAGGTCTTGACACGTGTATATTTCTTATTGGCGAAGACACGTCGAAGAGGATTCCGAACCTTCTCTTTCGTCTAGAGTTTCGTCTTTTGTAAAGGCTGACTTTTGACTTGTTTTTGGGTAAGAAAACTTTCTAATTTTAAACTGGATAATCTTAATTAGGCCCATCAGATTTGGTGTACTTGTGTGAGGATTTGGTGAACGATAATAAAAAAAACAGTTTATGATTTTTTTATAAAACATTTAATGATTACTCGAGGGACCAAAAAACATTTAATGATTACAACTTGTGAATCTCCGATTGTTGGAGATAGATTGGTGCGTTTTGAGAGGTTGAGAGATTGAGAATTGAGTTGATTGTCAAATTGGATTCTAACTTTGTGGAAGTTATTTTTGAGATAATTCTACAAGTGTGTTTGAATTAAAACAATTTTAAAGATGTATTATTTAGGCAAAACTAAAAAAAAGTTTAATATGTATTTACTGAGAACAGATTCACATTATCATGCAACTATGCAAGTGAGAAGAAATCAGTGGAAAATTGTTGTACTGACTTTGCATGTACAATAATATTTAACACACTAAGTAAAATTTAACTTCCATGTGAAAAAATACCCTACTAGTTTGTATTAAATTCATTTTTGGTTTCTGATTAATAGTTTGTGTGTGTTAACCAATCCGGCAATCATTTTTGGTTTTAAATACAAACGATTGATTTTTTCTTTTCACATGCAAAGCCAAATTCTACTTACGTGCGTGTCTGACTGGTTTTAAATACAAACGATTGACTTGTTACATTGGCCTAATTAAACATATTTTTAAGTCTAGTTGGCTTTATTAAACAGCCTAGATGGATGGTTAACTTTTATCTTTCACATGCCCCGATTTATTTGCTCTATAAGGATTGGCTAACAATATCACGGACTATATATAATCAGTGCATACTATATCCGGGCATTTGCTTGAATTTTTCCTTTTCTTAATGGGAATTGTCACATGTACAATCATCGTATTGTCGCCATCTAACATGTAATGTTTCTCAGACTAATTTTATGATAAAATTAATGCAGCAAATTATAAAAGTGTGAAATTTTTAGAAGTATCTATCTTTTACAATATGGTAGGACGAACGCAAAGAGATATACGAGATTGAAAGGTGGCCGACATGTTAATATAAAAGCAGTTAAAAAATCGTACAAGTAATTCGACCAATATAACTATATATAGGGCCGGTCCAAAAGTGATTTCCTAAAACGTATCGTAAAAATATGTTTTAATTGAAAAAAAAACAATGTTTACAACATATTTTTAAATATATTAAAATAATATAAGCTTAAGATCGATTTTTTAAGTTTAAGATCGATTTTTTAAACTTAAATTAATTTTTTAAGCTTAAGATCGATTTTTTAAGTTCATAATCAATTTTTTGAAGCCTATAATCGATTTTTTAAAGCTAAAATCGTTTTTTTGAAGCCCAAAGTCGATTTTTATAAGACAAAACTGATTTTTTGAAGCTCAAAATCGATTTTTATAAGTCATGATCGATTTTTTAAAAAATATTTGATAGAAATAATGACTCTTATTTATATGCAATTTTTTCTTTCTATTTTTTCTACTTGATTGATGTGGAATAAAAGTATTTATACACATTTATAAAAACAAATTTGAGCTTTTTGGGCTGTTCCAAAAATTAGTATATTTTGGGCCGTCCTAAAACCATTGCTTCATAGGTCTTAGTTGTGGGTCGGCTCTGACTAAATATATACATATATTGATAACTTGAACCAATTAATATATTAATCAAACTTTGGAAAATACTATAGTTGTTTCGAAATTTAGAAAATAAAGGAACAAAACAATAGCTCTGTTCATTATTTTGTCTGTATCTTACCCATCAACTTAAAAACGCTAAAATAATTACATAAAAAAATTGTTACAAAATTACATAATGAATACGGTTTTGATGGATTTTCTTTCGTCGTTTTACTAACAAAAATTTGTGCTTTATTATCAAAAAAAAAAAAGAATGTGATCTAACCAGAGTCCTATCAAACAGTACAAAAGTACACAATGGCTTCCTTCGGCTCCTTATTGACTTGTCGGGATTGACTTTTAATAATAATGCGAAATTTACTCCATAATGCTCTGATTTGTATTTTTTTTTCCGTTTATCAAATTATGCATGATAAGTCAATCCAACCAGATTATCATTGTTGATCACCTAGTGGCCACGTATAGTTCTTCATACAATCCCATGAGTCCATGACATTATCATATGCATCTCTGATGTCCATATAACATTATCTATGATTAGCCAGAAGTTATTAACAGAGAAATAAATAAACGTGGTGGTGATCCGGTTTATAACGTCTAAAAACCAATTTGATAGACATATAGTTTTTGCTCCACCGAATTCTTAGTTTCTTACTATAATCTTTAACCAAAAAAAGAAGAATTATTACTCTAATCGAGTTCAATGATTTCTCTCTCTTTTGTTTTAATTTGCTCTACAGCAAACGAGTTCCGCTTAGTGAATAAACCCTAAAACAAACGACTGCATAGTTCATTTGATCATATTATTACTACTATTTTCTTCAAATCGTTTGCTTTAAATCGTTTCCAACTCCTCAATTATTTAATGGTTGTTCTGTCTTTCGACCCCTTGCTTTAAAAAATGTAGGAATTACGGGAATCAAGATCCACACATGCTTTATTGAGTTGGGTAGTTTCCAATTAGATTCCTCAAGATCCTATAACTGTGCTGTCAATCCACAATTTCTTTTCTTTTTAATTAATTTAACCAAATCTTCATTATTGGCTAATTTATTGGGTTTACAATCTCTTAATTTTGAGAGTAGAACGAAATGATACAGCTACTAACTTACTATAAATATTAACAATTTTAAATCACATTATAAAATGTTCGTTTTTCTATATCAAAGTTTTTAGCCTTTCACAGTTTCACTAAAACTGGGCTATTTTAACCCTTCCCTTCTGTCTTTTATGTGCCGTTTCTTCACCACACTTTTCAACTTTTTATTCTTTGCAAACAAGACTCGCGTTCTCTGTTCTCGTAAGTAAGTTTCTTGCAATGTTTTATACTTCCCGTTAAGCATTAACTCTTTATAAGATAATTTATAATAAATACAAGATTTTGATCTATCTGGATTTTCCAATTTAAACTTCTTGCACGAGAAGAATATTGTGAAGATTCACTTGGAAAATTCAAGACAAAGGAAAGGAGGAAAAATGAGAGAAGAAAATGATTATGAAGCAGAACCAAGAGGGAGAACGTTGGGTTTAACACCAACTTGGTCCGTAGCTACAGTTTTGACTGTCTTTGTGGTTGTTTCTTTGATCGTTGAGCGTTCCATTCATCGGCTTAGTAAAGTAAGTAGCTTGAACTATATATAACTTTTTTTTAATAAATTTATGTATTTCTTTTTTCATCATTTCTTTAGCTAGCTAGAATGTTTGCCTACAGACTTATTGAATCGATAAAACCAAAATAAACTATGGGAATTTTAAAATACTTAGCCTTGATTAAGAATTTTTCGAATATTAAAATGTCATTTGGGAATTCCCATAACTTATCTAAAATAATAATGGGATTTTTAAAAGTATGGTAGATTTCCCTTTTGTAAATCCCCAGGAGTCCAATGTTAAAGGTTTGAAACTTTTCCTTTGATACTCTTCTACTTTTCGTTTTATTTATATTTTTTTAGTTTGTTTTTGTCCATAGTGGTTGCAGAAAACAAAGAGAAAACCTTTGTTTGCTGCATTGGAGAAAATGAAAGAAGGTTGGTAGATCAATTATGTTAACAAAATTAATGATATGTTTAGCACTAATAGTTGTCCTAAGTATTCATTGGTTTTTGAAATGGATTTTTTTTCAGAGCTGATGCTGCTCGGATTCATATCTCTTCTTCTTACAGCTATCTCTAGCACAATAGCTAACATATGCGTTTCTTCAAGTTTCTACGACAATAGATTTGTCCCATGTTCCCGCTCTGAGATCAATGAGGAACATGATAGTACTATTTCATCTGTCAAACGGACTCGGTTAACGAGATCTCTCTTTTTCCACATCTTGAGGAGAAGATTAGTTGGCATAAGCGAGACTACTTGCAGCGAGGTTCTCTATTCAACTCATTTTATGATCATCTCCAACATGACTGATAACAAAATAAACCAAAATCTCTTTATTGTAATAAAAAATAACAGATTAATATCTACTTGATAGGGATATGAGCCATTTGTTTCATATGAAGGCATGGAACAACTGCATCGCTTTATATTTATAATGGCAGTCACACATGTAACTTACAGCTGCTTGACTATGCTCCTTGCAATCGTGAAGGTAGTATTATCAAACATTTCGTTTTTTTTTTCTACCGAAATTCCCATGTATAATATTTATGAATTTCTTGCTTCTCTTTATATACTTCTTAGACAAATTTTATTTACTATGTACTATTTGATTTTGATAGTCAATTTGACTATCATTTTTTCTTTTCTTTTCCAGATTCATAGTTGGAGGATCTGGGAAGACGAGGCTCAGATGGATCGAGATGATTGCTTAACTGGTGAGCGTTATCTTCTCCTTTCATATTAGACACAAGATTCCATATGTCAATTAAACTAAAGAGCATTCATTAATTAATGACACTGTAGTTATTCACATTTTACCAAGGAAAAAAACTCATTATTTAGGAAAAAAAAATCAGTGTGAACAAGTTTAGTTCATCATATAGTTCAGATTAAGGCATATACTTACGAATGCCTGCTGGTAGTTAGCAGTTAGTATATTGTGGTCCAAGGGTTTGATTTCTTCAGAGGTCGTAATTAAAAATGTTCAATAATTTTCATTTCTTAAATGAAGATTTTTTTATACTTGATTATTGGCAGTGGTCGCACGTGAAAAGATATTACGAAGGCAAACAACATTTGTCCAATATCATACCTCTGCTCCTCTGGTCAAGAATAGATTACTTATATGGGTGGTAAGTTTTTACTTCCTTTAGAATTTTTTTTTTTGTTTGATAAACACTTCCTTTAGAAATTTGAATTGTTAACATAAATATTCTTTATATTTTATGATTGAAACTAACCTCAAGATGGCTAATTCATTCAGAACTTAATTTGTTGTAACGAAAAATGACAATTGAAGAGTCAAAGCTTGTTCTTGCAGATATGTTTCTTCCGACAATTTGGACACTCTGTTGTTCGTCCTGACTATCTTACACTCCGCAAGGGATTCATCATGGTGCGTAATAGTCTTATGTAATTTTAAGACTATTTCCATTCATACAGCTTTTTTTCTTTTTGTTTTGGTTAAGACCTTCATATACCTAATGTACATACGTTTTAAGACCATTTCCATTCATATAGTTTTCTTGGGGGTTAAAACCTTCATAGACATAATGTCTTTCAAGAAACGTATGTATATTACGTTATCATAATTATTTGTATTTTCCTTTAAACAGAACCATCACCTAACATTGACATACGATTTTCATAGCTATATGATCCGCTCTATGGAGGAAGAGTTCCAAAAGATTGTTGGTGTCAGGTACTAGGTTACATTTTTCCAAAATTAGTGTGGTACATACTCTTAACTTTATAGTAATCGAATTTTATAACTTCTTCTCCCCTATGTCAGCCTTGTACTTGCTTTATGTCAAACTTGTAGTCATTGTTTATTTGATATATGAGCTAATTTTATACCATTATTATTAATGTTTAGTAGAGGATAAATGATTCATTATTTTGACTAAATAATATTCTCTTGCAGTTGGCCACTTTGGGGTTTTGTAGTTGCGTTCATGCTTTTTAACATAAAAGGTATGCATAGATCGAATAACATCCTACTGAAAATACTTGTTTTTCTTTGTTTTCATTCTTTTTTTTGCGTTAGAGAATCTGAATTCATAAATGGTCATGCTTGCATGCATGATGATCATCTATCGTTCTTGTGAATGTTTTTCTAATAATGCATGTTGTTCGTTGCTGTTTTTCTCTTATATAGTACTAATTGTGAGTAATCTTCTACATGCAATTGAACAAAGGATTTATACTCTTCTTGTGTGGTTGAAGAGTTTATATGGATTATGCTAATGCAGGATCCAATCTTTATTTTTGGATAGCGATCATCCCGATAACTGTAAGAACTATTTTTCCATTGTATATTTCTCTTTTCTCTCTGGATATTGAGTCTCATATCATTTATCAGTTGCGCTATGGTTTGCATCTTCTACTTCTTTTTTTAACAGCTTGTTCTTCTCGTTGGTGCAAAGTTGCAACATGTAATCGCAACTTTAGCATTGGAGAACGCTGGGATAACAGAATATGCGTCTGATGTAAAATTGAGACCTCGTGATGAACTTTTCTGGTTCAAGAAACCAGAATTACTCTTATCCCTTATCCACTTCATTCAGTTTCAGGTGTGCAAAAATATATAGGCCACAGATGATTTTTTTTTTCTTTTAGTAGATATATAACATATTTGCATTATTTTTCCTACAGAATGCTTTTGAAATGGCTTCGTTCTTCTGGTTTTGGGTAAGTTTTTGTCTACCTATCATCTTATTATATCATCTATCTATGCATGACAAATAAACATAGTAGTATATTCTTACATTGACATCGTCTATTCTTGTCTCTTCAGTGGCAATTTGGATACAACTCTTGCTTCCTTAGGAATCGTTTACTTGTGTACTTGCGACTATTTCTAGGGTAACCGAGTTTTATCGATTAATCCATCATCATGAGACTGTATATTTTCTTATAGACTGAGATGGTTCATTGCATGTTTTTTTTGTAGGTTTTCTGGACAATTTTTATGCAGCTACAGCACACTGCCACTCTATGCACTTGTCACTCAGGTAACAATATATGCCTTTGGAGCTTCTCCAATTCTGATAGTTTTCTCAAAACTCACAAACTAAAGGATGATATTGGATTTCACTTGTTAATTTTAGATGGGAACGAATTACAAGGCAGCATTGTTACCTCAGAGGGTAAGAGATACAATTCACGGTTGGGGAAAAGCAACCAGAAGAAAAAGAAGACATGGTTTATATGGAGATGATTCGACTATTCGAACAGAAACAAGCACAATCGCATCTGTTGAAGAATACGATCATCAGGTACTCGATGTTCCTGAAACCTCTACACCTCAAGGTATTATTGAGCATGAGCTGCAGCTTATTCAACATTGGGGAGATTCTATCTCAGCAGCTAATGAAAATTCTAGTAGAGTTGGAACACCGCTCTTGCAACCTTGTGCCTCATTATCTTCAACAACTTTCTCAAAGTTACTCACAGAAACAACAGAATCACTCTCAAGGTCATCCTCATTGCCAGTGAAAAGAGATTAATAATCTAAAAATATGGTTAGCGAAAAGAAAACCGAGTTCTTTGGTTTTCCATCTTTCTTTCTCAACCAAAGAAGTCGGTTTTTCTTTTTGTTAACATCATGCATACTATCCAGTTTGAACCCATAACAAGTTTAAGTATATGATTATTTTTACTAAAAATCATTGGTTTTGTTTAGCTTTGAGATGTCGGTGAACACGTTGCAGCAGAGTAAATAGATGTAAGAAAGGATTGAAAAAAATTTATTTCTCATTCTTCAGTCTTGCATACATTTTTTTATTAATGGATATTCTAGGATATTCTATTGGAAAGCATGCGAAATATTTTTTTAAAAAATAATAGAATCCCAACCCTAGCTATATATGTCTAACTTGTTTTTCACAAAGAGCAAAATATAAAAAAATGTAAGCCCATATAGTTAAAAAAGAATTTGAACCAGATAGTTAAACATGAACTAGAACTGGAACCAAACTTGCAGCACCTACATATTTTGCAAGGTGTTTTTGTAAAGATCGCTACTTATTTTGTTTATACTCGTTGGTTTCAAACAACTTATTTGTCTCTAGAACCATAACTAAAGTACTTTTACCCACTTGATCAGTTCATCATCAAATGCTTTATAAATAGTAACCTCAATCTTTAAGAAAGTGACAAGGGCTTCAATATTCGGTTCTTGGGGCTGGTACTTTCTGGCTGTATTCCAGCTCTATACCGTCATTTCCAGGGGAAAGACCAAACTCATGAGTCTTCGTTGGAGTAATGACAATGCCTTGAATCTTATCTTCATTGAGCTTATTTATGGTGGCCACCGTTTTAGAATCTGTATTTGGAGCAGGAATTTTGATGATAGGAAATGAGAATGTGATGGAAACGGTACCCCTTACAACTTTCGTTGGCTTGGAGTTTATATCGTCTTGTTTCTCTCGGAGACTCGAATCTGGACCAGTTCCTATGTGAATGTGATGCATCTCTTGACTTCCAACCTCTCCCAAAGCAATATTACTTGAAATGTCTTTGGCTCCGAAATTTGTAACCTGAGCGGTTGCTTCGACATGTTTGGGTGTAATTTGAGTGTCACCGTGTTTCTCTTGTAGGTTTTTGCGACCAAAGCCAATGCTGAAACATAGTAAGAACGTGAATCCTATACATGAAAGATTATATGTTGGTGATGTCATTTTTTTGCACCTTCAAATTGACTTTTCTGTAATATATAAGACGAAACCAATGAGTTAAAGAGGAGAAGAGAAAGAAGTGCGCATTTGATGGTTAAAAACAAAAGAGCTAGAAAAGGATTGCGAATCCATTCGATTTGCAAAATTCTCATGTTACTGAATTCATGCAATGAATTTAGGCACATATCATTTGGATGGGTTGAGATTTATACGCCTTCGTGTTTTGTGAAATATTTTCTTCGGGGAATAGAAAAATAATAAAGACTACTTTTGAAAAATAAGATAAAAACATCTATAAAAGGAATTTATAGGACAATGCTCAAGTTTTTTTTTTAAGGAAGGGAAAAATAATTTTCTTTTATTTACTCCTCGTTTGTTTTCCCTTACAGAGATATCATTTTTAGAGTTTTACAAATAGAGGATATCAAAATGAGACTAAGGAGAACATAAATGAGAGCATAAATGGAGCAACACACAATCAGACCCCAAAAAAACGCTCATGAAAAATCTTCAACGTCTTTTAAGGAGAGAGGTGAAAATAATTATTTTTATATATCATTCGTAAATCCAATTACTTAAAAACGTAAATAACACACAAAACAATAATAATATAAATCATTACCACTTGAAACATTCTACTCATTATGGTCCTTATCCATTTATAAGTACGTAATCAACGTAGAAGATGATGCTTAGAAGCTTTGATTTTATGAGAAATAACGAAATAATATTGACGCGTACGTGGAGAAGTCAGCCATGTACGTTGCTATTAGTTATTACAAACCCATCAAAAAAAAGGAGGGTCAAAGATTAGAATTTTAGGTTAAAGTCGGTAGTATCCACAGAGATGCTGTACTCTAGCTGTAATTTAATTAAACATAGGGAGCATATAATGATGAAAATTACACCTATAGGCTATAGTCCATTGTTTGTCAAAAGAAAACAAAAGGCATAAAGCTAAACGCGTCCGACTCCATCCTTTTTAGGTGGCATTTAACTAATTCTTATAGCACTAATTATGACAATTAGGAGAGAATCTGCGCGTATGCGTAGATCTTATTTTAATTTATATATTTTAAATATTTTTTATTGAATTTTATGTTTGCTTATTAATATATTTTTTTCTAAAATATTTATATTTTCTTCGATTTCTTTTTGACGATACATTATATGTAATTTTTTTTACACCAGTTGTATTAAATAGTCTCATTTTTTCTTCGATCTTTATATTCTTTTTATTCTTATAAATTACTAATATAATACTTGTTAATTTCTTAATTTATCATTTAATTTTTTTTGGTTATATATATTTTATTGATTTCATCTTTTTTATTATTTAAAAAAAAATCATAAATGACATTTTTATGTGGATACCTTTCTTTTTACTATTACTTTTTTAATAACTTTTATCTTTTTAATCATTTATTAAATATGATTTGTGTTTTATAATTTTATTAGTTGAATTTTTATATAATATTATTTGAGTTATTTAGTTTCATAATTTGTTTTCACTTGCATTAAAAATTAATTAATTTTTTTAGTTTATAAATAAATTTTAAAACATTTTAAAAAAATAGAGTTGTGCATTTAAAAAGTCTTGTATTATATAATATTTATACGTTTGTATATATTTAAATTAAATTTAAATTTCATTCTAATATAAATATATATTAATATTTATTAATGTGCTTTAATGTGTTTTAATGTAATTTAAAATGTTTTAATATTTTTAATGTGTTTTAATTTGTTTGTTTTAAATATAATTAATTATTTATTTTATTAATGTTTGAAGATTATAGGTGGCGCTCTCTCCAGCGCTGATGTGTCACTCAACTGGAGAGAGTTGGCCAAGTTTTATATATAAGATTATGAAAGGTTAATACACGTGCCTACAAAAATAGTATATTGAGTAGATACCAATAATTGACTGTCAAAGCTAGAGGTTGATATACCATTCATATATAACAAATTAATTTGTTGGGAAATTCGCCTTATTAATTTCTTTGGAGAATACAGTGAACATTTGTTAAACTATATAATCAATTAAATCTCTTTGATACTACGTAATAAATTAGAAAAAGACAACACCATTATGTGGTATGATAAACAAAAGAAAGAGTTACAAGCCTAAAAGTTGTTGGATCTATTTCTTTTTGTTTTTTTTACTGATATTTGAGATATGAGTAGACACACAATACCGACAATTTACTGTCGAACAAAATAATAAACAACGCGTTTTGAGTTTATTAGTATTTTTGTTCTAATATATTCTCTTTGTTTCATAATATTAGTTGTTTTTGCTAAAAACCTAAAGGCATAAATTTTCAGAAACTTTTTTTCTCAAAAAATATCATTTAATATATAAACTAAAAATAACTTAGCCAATCATAAAAACAACTACAGAATATAATTGGTCACATAATATTTAATAAAGATAAAAACTGCATTAAAATGTGAAACAACTTAAAACAAAAAAACCTCTAAAATAACTTAAATCACAAAACAGAGAAAGTAGTATTTTAATGATATATTATTACTGACCAACCACTTTATATTAGAGGAATACTTTTGGTCCATGCGTAATCAAAAAACAATTATTGATTTTTGTCGTCAAACAAATCATAAGATCTTCTTTAGTCAAACAATCTGTCCAGCAAAGAGCCCACCACACCAAACGTCTATTACAAATTTCAAGTTCAATATTTCTGAATTTTCTTTCTTGGAATTAAATCCACTTGCAAGGCTGTATATGACTCAATATCCATTTGTTCCTATAGATGTCAATATATATAATATAATATATTGTCTGTGGATGTATGTAATAAATTCCGAGTTTTGCATGGTTGGCTAATTCCTTTTTTCCTTTTTACGAAGGTTCCTACTTTCTCTGCTCCTACAAGTTTTTTTGGGTTTTATAAAAAAAAAAAAAATTGGTTTTAAGCTCCTACAAGTTTTTCATTAGCCTTCCTTTTCTTTTATTATTTGTATTCTCTTGTAATTCTTCAAAATCTGTTCTTTCATTTTTCCTTTTATTGTTTGTCTTCTCTGTAAGTGTTCATAATCTGTTCGTTTCTCAGCAGCCAACTTTTTTAGTGAAGTACAGAGAGAGATTAATCTCAAGTCTCAACTAAAAGAGGGTTTTTAATTGAAGCTGGATTCTTGAGTTTTACAGAGAAATCCAGAGAGATTAAGAAGAACATAAATTAAGATGAAGTTTGGGAAAGAGTATGTGGGGCAGATGATTCCAGAATGGCAACAAGCTTACATGGATTATGCTAGTCTCAAATCCATTCTTCAAGAGATCCAAAATTCCCGGAAAAGATCAGATAAATCAAGTACCTTAAAACGCAAGCAAGCTGTCCACCACAACTTTAGCGGTCTGACAAAGCGTTACAGCCGCGCCGCTTCTTCATTAGAACTCGAAAACCAGGATATTCTGGTGAGTAAAGCGATTGGGGATGATGGGTTTGAGAGATACGAGACGACTATCATGAAAGTTGCAGAAGAAGGGAGAGAGTCAGAGTTTGTCTTCTTTAAAACCCTAGATCTCGAGTTCGATAAAGTGAACCATTTTTACCGGTCTAAAGTGGAGGAAATGGTGAAGGAGGCAGTGGTTTTGAACAAACAAATGGATGCTCTGATTGCTTTCAGAATCAAAGTCGATCAACCTTCTTCTTCTTGGAGCTGCACTGAAACAGTATCAGTCGATATGAATGCATTAAATCCTAAGAAACAGAGTAAGTTCTCAGAGATTGTTTGTTTCATAAGTGGGTTTAGTATGAAAGGACAAAAAGTTTAAAATCTTGTGTGTGTTTGATTATGAAGGGAAGACATTAGGTGATGAGATGGGAATCGAAGTAGAGGAAAATGGATCCAACGGTGGGGATTCGACGAAAGAAAGTGTACCAGAGGTTTTAAGTGTTCTTGATCGTATCAGATTAAACAAAACTCAAGAAACTCCTCTGTCCACAATTAGAAACGTCCTCAAGCTCTCAAACCAGGAAGAGCTCAAATTCACAAGAGAAAATCTCAAGAAAATTGAAGAACGGCTTAAGAATGTCTTCATCGAGTTTTATCGCAAGCTTCGACATCTCAAGAATTACAGGTATGTGTGTTGCTTCTTAAGCATTCTTAAGAAAGACAAATAAAATAAAAGAAAAACTCATAAAGATTGTTTGATTGAATCCATGCTTTGTTCATGATTAATTCAGCTTCTTGAACACCTTAGCGATTTCAAAAATCATGAAGAAGTATGATAAGGTAACACTTGATTTAATTAGATATTTGTTTAAGTTTCTTGATATTGATTAATATTTCTTCTCGACCAGATTGCTTCAAGAAGTGCAGCAAAACAATACATGGAGATGGTAGATAAGTCCTACCTCACTAGCTCTGATGAGGTTAATACAATATCTCAACATAAAACTTATTATTTTGTTTCAATATTACAAGAAAATTTACACCAGAGTTTTATTTAACTTTAACAGATCAACAAACTTATGGTGAGAGTTGAGTCTATTTTCGTCGAACATTTCGCCAGTTCGAATAGAAGCAAAGGAATGAATCTCTTAAGACCAAAAGTGAAGAAAGAAAAACATCGGATAACGTTTTCCACTGGTAACTAAAACTATTTTCCCAAATCGAAAACACGTTTTGTTTTACAATTAGTTCATGACAAATTAATCAAAATCTCTCCTAACTGGTCTTATTTCTCAGGCTTTTTTGTTGGCTGCTCAGTCTCTCTAGTGATTGCTCTTGGTTTGTTCATCCATGCTCGTAATATAATGGACGCAGTCGGACAAAAACTCTACATGGAGACAATGTTCCCGCTTTACAGGTTCAAACCAAAACATCTACAAAATTCTCTAATTAAACCACTGTTTTTTTTTGCTGATAATAATGCTTCTTGAACCATATTTTTTAGTTTGTTTGGATTTGTGGTTGTGCACATGATCATGTATGCTTCAAACATATACTTTTGGAAGCGATATCGAGTGAATTACCCGTTCATATTCGGATTCAAAGAAGGAACAGAGCTTGGTTATAGACAGGTTCTGCTACTAAGCTTTGGTCTCGGCACGCTTGCCTTAGCTGCTGTTCTAATAAACCTGGACATGGAGATGGATCCTAATACTAATGACTACAAGACAATCACTGAACTTCTTCCCCTTTTTATTGTTGGTGTAAGTTATTCACTATCTTAACCACAAGAATCTCAAAATCATTCTGTAATTAATATGTTTAACACATTTTCTTTCTGTATAAAATTTTCCAGCTAGTGATAGCTATTTCTATCTGTCCCTTCAACATTTTCTATCGGTCAAGCCGCTTCTTTTTCCTTATGGTTGTATTCCGCTGCATTGCTGCACCGCTCTACAAGGTCTCAAACACATCCTCTGTTTTGTTTTGTTGAAGTAAAAATATCAGAAAACTCTCTTAATTTGTTCTCATCTAATTTTCAGGTTAGTCTTCCGGACTTTTTCTTGGCGGACCAATTAACAAGCCAGGTTTGTGAGTTCATAACATTCTTGTAACTCTCATTATTATGTTTTCAAAATGTTTCAGTTTATTAACCTTAAATTTCTTCAGGTTCAAGCACTAAGGAGTCTGGAGTTTTACATTTGTTACTATGGTTGGGGAGACTTCAGGCTCAGACAGAACACCTGCAGATCAAGCGATGTATACAGCACATTCTACTTCATTGTCGCTGTGATTCCTTACTGGTCACGTTTCCTTCAGTGTGTTCGAAGATTAATAGAAGAGAAAGATTCAAGCCAAGGCTACAATGCTCTCAAGTATTTATTGACCATTGTCGCTGTGTGTTTGAGAACAGCTTATAGCCTTCACAGAGGAAACGTCTGGAAAATCGCTGCATGGGTTTTCTCGGCCTTGGCAACTTTTTACGGCACATATTGGGACATTGTGTTTGACTGGGGATTGCTTCACAATCCATCTAAAAACTGGTTGAGAGAGAAGCTTCTTGTTCCTCACAAGGCCGTCTACTATATTGCAATGGTGAGAACTAAGAAATAAAGAGAAGGGTAGATTCATGGTTTAGGGTTTCTTTTTTAATTTTGTTTATGTACTTCTCTTCTTTGTAGGTCGTAAACGTTGTGTTGAGATTGGCGTGGTTGCAGACTGTTCTGGATTTCAATTTCTCGTTCTTGCATAGAGAAACAATGGTTGCTCTTCTTGCTATTCTGGAGATCATACGCCGTGGTATCTGGAATTTCTTTAGGTACCGTCTTGACCAAGAAACAATCGATTAATGCTCCTCAAAATCATTTCTAAGACTGTGGCTTTGTTGGGTTATGAACACAGGTTAGAGAACGAGCATTTGAACAACGTGGGGAAGTTCAGAGCATTCAAATCAGTTCCATTACCATTCAACTACGAGGAAGAGGAAGACTCTAGATGATTAGCTATTTAGATTTGGTCTACTAGATTTTCCAGTGTAAAAGTTTCAATTTTGTTATTGGGTTATCGTTGTGCTCTCTGTTGTGACATTTGAGGAAACCAAAAGCAACTAAAAATGCCATGGTTCCAGTCACAATGTGCCCATATCAGATTCGAAACCAAGATTAGTCCATAGACATACCGGATAAATAAAACAAGAATCAGAGAATTTTGATCATATTATGACAGAAGGGCTTCTAAAACTTGCAATGATGGTTTCAGGGGAAAAATTTTCTTTATTTAAAATAGATGTAGCTGTTGATTCTAAGTCTAAGAGCACATAAATGTAGCTGACTTAAACTTTGCAACAAGCAATGACAATAACTTAATTTGTCAAAAGCACCATGAGCATATAGATCTTGCAGCAGAAACCCAAATAATTTGCCAAAAAAGAGTCAACTAAGTCTATCGTATCACTCGAGTCTACGACTAAGAAAGCCAAGATTTCTCCCTCTAGATATCCAAAAAGGAGTAATCATATAAGAAATCTTCATCACTTGCTCTAATTACCTTGCTCACTAGGGTTTACCCGCTCACCGCTGCAACAGTAGAAATGTGGCAGCTTGACTCGCCCGCAACTCCTGTAACACATGAGAGTGTGCACTTAAAAACCGGGGTTATATATAAACTTCTGATACCCACAGTGAGATCGTAAAGAACGAAAAAAGTGTTAAATCAAACATATTTAAGGCCAAACTTGTCGACTCCTGTTTTACAGTGCAATGAACACACCAAGTACTTCCATCAAACTCGTTAAAGAATCACAGTTCTAGTCTTCTAGTTAGCTGAATGCAGCTTCTAGTAAGTGATAGTCAGGACACAGGACATTATAATCAGAAAGCATATACGTTTATTCTTCAGCTATCGCTGCAGTCAACCTAGAGAAACTAATATAACAAATTTCTTCACAACCTAAAACCAGATCTCATACCATACTCAAACTGATAAAGCAACAAGAGAAGCCAATCTCGTACCTGCAACGGATGATCACAGGAATAGGCTTAAGAGCCTTTGGTCCATTTCTTATCCCTCTCTTGTGTTTAGAAACCTGCATTTTTCACACAAAGAACAGCTTCGATAAATACAATCATTCTCCAAGAGGGAAAGGCCATTAAAAAGACCACATTTTCATTTTCAAAATTGTTAACTGCTAACTACACAGGGAATACTAACGATATGTGAAGCTGAAGGAACCAAATCAAATTAGAATGTACGCTTAAACCCAAAGGTACACAAGCAAATGGAAAAGATGGACACTCAAAAACAGCAAAGAAAGACAACATTTCTGAGAAGAGCTAAAGGATTTTTGCATCGGTTCTATTGAAGGTCCAATCTAGCACTTGCTAATCTCGATCTCAAACTTTTACCAGAAACAAAGCCAATAGTGAACCTCCCTAAAACCCTAGAGAAAACCTGAATCCGTCAAAAACAAAAAAAATAGCTAAACCCAAATGTCACAATAATTAAAAAAACCTAAGAAATTTTAATACTTTAGCAGTGGAAAACGAAGGGAGTAAGACAATTCAGAGACTGGAGGAGTTCCCAAACCTTCTTCTTAGGCACAGCCATAAGCTCCATGGATCCAGTGAATGCAAAATTAGGACCAAATCCGAAGCTCTTCTCATCGATCGAACCCGGTTGATTCTGATCGAACTCAGGTGAAATCAGCGGCGGCATAGCGACGGGTCGATCCATGGTGCTGTTAAAAGGCGGAGGCATTGCCGCGAGGTGGCTGAAGCTTCGGGTTTCCAAGATGCGGCATGACTCAACCGCGGCGCGTTTTAGCGATGTCAGTCTCAACGCCATTGATGCACTTCTCTAGAGCTAATAGCTGACGGAAGTGGAGACTCGAGGAGAAGCCGAAAGAGGGATCAAGGTAAATAATCTCGAAAACGATGTCGTCTGCGTGGTTATTTGGTTAATTAAACCAAAACGACCCGACTCAAACCGTTTGAGTTCGCTCTTTCTATCTAGAGAACCGACTCTAGACCAAAATTATTATGTACCCGGTTTGATGCATAACCATAAGGTCTTAACCGATACGAGCCATTTCTAAACCCTTGTCGTGGCTCGTGTATTCGTCGTCGGGTAAAACATTTACAGCTCAAGTGAAGAAAGCTCTGGTGAGCAACCATGTCGTGGATGAAAGGAGATTTGCTTTCTAAATCCAGGAGGCTTGTTGGTGGCTTAGCTACACGAGAGCCTGTTTGGCTTAAAGCCATGGAAGCGTAACTCTCTCTCTCTCTCACACTCTCCATTTGTATTTTTCCAATTTTCTCGAGAAAATGATTCGGCTTTGATCGATCTGTTTTCCCAATCAGATACTTCTGTATTGATTTATCGCGTTATAGTGTTTCAATTTCGATTTCAATTGAATCCTAGTTGCATTGAAAAAGTTAAGATTTTTGCGTTTGGAAATAGTTGGATTTATGATTTTTAGGTTTCAGTTTCTTATTGTTGTTGGTTTAATGGCAGATCACCTCCTCCTGTCTTTCCTCGCTCTAATGGGAAAATCAAGAAGATTGTTCTCCCTGAGGATTCCTACGTTCGTAAATTCGCCTGTAAGCATCCTGAAGCAAAAATCGTCGACCCCATCAAGTAAAGTCTCAATTTTTATACATTTGCATTTCTATTTATTCTTCTTGTTCTTGATAAGCTTATTCTTCTTGTTCTTGATAAGCTTATTCTTCTTGTTCTTGATAAGCTTATTCTTCTTATTCTGTTGTAAACTACTCTGGAGAAAAGTTCGATTACAAACAATTATGGTTTAATCTCTTGTGTCTTGAACTAGTACTGCCCATGTGACTCTCCTAGATTCTGATTCTATGGGAGTGGTTCCTGTATCCTTCACTTTTCTTTCTGGATGTATCTCTAACATTATTGGTTTATATAATGCTTTATCATCTTCAATCCCATAGGGTTTCGGCGTTTATTCCTGATCCAGCACGCGTATATGGTTGTCGAGTCCTTGAACTAACGCAGCATGGCATCAGCGAGGATGACGCCATGTCTGTAGCTAATGTACGTATTTTCTTCTTACAGTCTATGATTAGCTCTAAAGTTTCTCTTGAATAGACAGAATCGTAATTCTGCTGCTGGTGATGCTGTTCCTTAAACACCAGAGATGTTTTCTTCGTCTTTCTGATATGTCTTTTGATATTTTCAGATGGAATATCTTTCAGAGAGAAAGGAAAAGAAGAAAGCATACAAACGCCTAAAGGAGCTTGCGGTACTGCAAGACAAGGTTCCTCCTCCTAAACCGTATCTTAGTTCCAAAAAAGAGATGCAAATTCAAGAGAGGAAATCTCCTACGGATCGATTCCAGACTCCTAGCGTCCGCAGGCTAGTTAACCAGTTGAAACAGCAGAAAGAAGTGTTGCTGCAGGACAAACCTGGAGGAAGTGCTAATCAGGATCATTGGATCGACGAGTAAATTCTCCAGTTTACCTCAATGTCTTTCTCTTCATTTGCTCTTGGTAGAACCATCATTTTCATATATTAAAATTTTTTACAAGTCTACAAATGATTTCAACAAACAAGTGTTCTTTTCCATTTGACTGTCTTTGAAATAAAATATCATTGGATGATTTCTTCCATGAGGCAAGGAATTACAGGAAAGCAAAATGGTTCTCTCGTCTCTCTCTAATGACCCTACAAACAATTAGCTCCAACAGTTTACATGGAAAATACTTAAGGTTATTATTCTAGGCCAAGAAGAGTTTTCATTGCCTTCCTTTTCGATACCACTTTGCCATAAAAACCCTTTCCTAGCTTCAAGATTTTCTCCATCTCCGTAATGTTACTGCAACCTCCATTCTTTTTCTTCACATCTTCCACCAGCAACTTCATTAATCTCTCATCACTTCCAGTGACATCAGAGACACTGTCCACCACAACTTCCATTGTTGGAATCTTCCTTCCCCATCTCCTCATAAGTCTCTCTGAGCTATAAATCTCATCATAGACTCCCCAATAAGATGCTCTCAGCAAACCTTTATCTTTCCCTTTCACCTTCCATCTCTTCATCCCTTCCTCTACCATATAAACCGCGTTTCCTGCATCTACGCCTCTCTCTAAACCCATTTCGAGCTCTCTAATCTCTTGGTTGGTAACATACAAAAGACTCTCAAACTTACATCGACTGCATCCGCAACAAAATCCCCATGACTCAGCCATCTCTTTCCGTTTTTCTAGTGGAGAAGAAAGCACGTCGAAGTAAGCAGAAGTGATCTCTTCCCCGGCTTTGATGTCTCTTGAGGCATGAACAATGGCGTATTCTCCAACGTGAAGTCGTCTTGCGTTTGGTAAACACGAGTGGTTGATGAACGAAGCTAGAGTCCATAGCCCCACACCGTAATACTCTTTGTTCTTCCCCATAACTTTAGCTGAAACCGCATCTTCCACCAGAGAATTCACATCCAAAATGCTTAGCAGCTTCTCCGTATCTAAACTCTGCTTCGAGTTACCGCAGGTTTCAAATGCTTCATCAGGCCTAAAGATAGATATATCTGGAATCTCCAGGTTGTCTTCGTCATGTCCAGTGGATAAAATGGAGACAAGTCGATGTGTTCTATTACATTTCTTCACGGATTCAGTAACCTCTTCGATGAAATTCTTCCACATTATCAGCTGAGCCTTTTCACCTCCAGTTCCCAAAATCCCTCTCTCAGTTGCAACTGCCTTCGTGACTAAGATCAAAGTTCCTGCAACAATGTTCTTCGTGGCAAACAATCCACGTCCACTAGTTTCAGATTTCTTAATTTCGATTGACCCAATAAATTCAGCTAGTTCAGGAGATCTCCCACGAAACCCACTCAGGATCCAATCAGATAGATCGAAAGCTCCCGTCTTCGCCTGAAGCTCGAGCCTTTTGCATTTCTCCATGTACCCAGTAACAGTCTCCAAGTTATCACTAGCTTGCGGGTCGAGCAGAGCCGTCTTGAAGCATTCCAAGGCCGATGCGTATTTGCTCAATCCGAGCAAGACTTTACCTTTACAAAGAAGAGTCTTGAAATGGGTGCTTTCGATCTCAAGTGCTTGATCACAATCCATCATCGCTTCCACAAAATCACGGAGCTTGGCTCGCGCCTCAGCCCGATTGCACAGAGCCAAGCAGAGCGATTTCCGGAGCTTATGAATCAAATCCGGGTCCGGGTCTGGGTCGGATCCACCAAGCTTTGAGATTTGGCTCCGGGAGAGATCGATGAACTTGGTGTAAACCTGTATAGACTCTTCCCATTCTTCCCGGAGAAGAAGCTCCGTCGCTTTGGATCTTAAGCTCTGCAACAGCTCCAATGGTCCTTCACGATCGTCATGTTGCTCAAATTGCTCCCCTCCCATTTTCTTGATTTCCTGAAAATTGATCGATTAAATAAATAAATTTAAGTGTTGGATTTGCCTTTTGATTTACGGATTCGTGTTGGTTCCTCCAGACACCTTTAAATGTTAGGGTTTGTAACGGTCGGATTCCCATTTTTACACCATTGTTCTGTCCCCACTGTAACGGTCATGAAACTACTTAAAAATTACATCACATTTCTTTACTCTTCTTAATCTGTACAAAATTCATAATCCTTAATTTCAGCTGATTTATACAAGTCTAACAATTTACTAACTGTGAATTTAGTAAGTTAGTCATATCCATTTAGTAAGAACTCTTCAATACCAAAACGCATCATTACCAATTACATAAGCAAAAGAGATTTGATCAATCTCACAAGTGAATCCCTGACTGTTTTGTAAACTTAGTGATCTCATTTCCATCAGACGAAGCCAGACCAATCCCTGTTCTTCCTCCATTGCCAACACCTTTATAATACAATCTCCATTGATGATCAGAGTCTCCATCCATCTCAATCAAACACGGACACCCAACTCCTTCGTTATCCCAAGCACCGCCTTCACCAACGTCGAGCACTGCTTCCTCGTCCTGAACACGTTTCCAATCCTTAATCCCATCGTTCGAAACCGCCAAGCCAATGCTGGTCTTCCCGTTTCTATCTACACCTTCATAGGCCATCACATAACTCCCATCTCTCTTGTTCCTTGTAACGCAAGGATATCTTCCACCAAGCTCATCGAAGAAACCGGGTCCATCGTTTTCAGATTTTCTTCCTCCTATGATCTTGCCAAATTTCACCCACTTGATCCCTTCCCTAGATCTTGCCATCCCAATGCAGAATTCGCCGGTTCTCGCATCGAACGAATGGTAATACATCCTAAGGTCCCCACTTCCATGGAAAACTACATGTGGTGATGCAATATAGAGAAAGTCCCAATCTTTTTCAGACCCAACATCAAACAACGCCCCACTATGATGCTCACCTTCAATTCTAGCCCAATGCCTACCATCTTGGCTGATTGCTAGCCCAGGAAGTGACCTATAAACTCTAGATTTCCCCTCCTTATCATCACAAAGGTGAGACCTTTCTGGAAATCCCAACCCAAAGTTGAAACCTTGGGACTGAAACTCAACAGTCTCAGTAGTGTAGCCAGTGTAATACATCCAGTAAACAGAGCTATTAGCTCTGACTTTGGAGCTAGACATTATCACTACTTCAACGGGTCGTACACTCGCCTTATCAAACGCCCACCAATCTTCACAAGAGCTCATGACCAAACCCACATCGTCGGGCGACTCAACTTTCCCTTTCCCTCTTTCCCAGTGAATCCCATTGTTCGAAACCGCTAATCCGATAGAATCGGAAACTGGGGTTTGCTTGGAGCTTCCGTGGTACCACATGTACCATCTCTCTTCGTTATCGCTTAGAAACCTCTTCACAACAGGAGATCCAATCTCCTCGCTGTCCCACGAGTCGTTGGAAAGGCCCAGATCGAGAATAAGCCCTCTCTTCGAAGATGGCAATGAAGAGGTCGATAAGGAATCGGATTGTGATGATTGAAAGGTCGAATCTTGATCCGTTTCGCTACTTTTGGTGGTGGAACCCGAACATCTTGTGGTTGTGAGCGAGAAAGGAAAAAAGCGTTTGTTCCGGCATTGAAACGAGAGAACTGATGATCGGACTGTTCTCAATGCGGTGAAAATGGAGGGCTTTCCATGGAATTTGACGGCATTAGCTTCCATTGCTCGAAGAGAATCGGAAAGCAAGTTACTCACTCTGATTGAAGTGAAATGCAACGGGCCACAGATTTTGTTTGGATCACTTGCCAGTGGCTACTTCAAATTTTGATACGTGTCCGATGTTCAATGGTGAGTTCAATCGAAAAAAAAAAATCTGTGTCTGGACAGATTGGGTGAATTAAGAAATTCGTATTAGGCTTACGAAATCGGCCCAACTGAAACCCAAGGATAAACGGATAAATAATCCGAAAATTTAATCCTCATTACTCGAAAAAGTGATCTGATTTGTTTTATCATCGTTTTATTTTATTTTTTGATAAAAGTAATACGAAAAATGTAGATTTAACATCATATCTTTAAATTTTAAACGAACTAAAAATATTAGAAATATTACGAAAAACAGATCTCCAATTTATTGACTATGCGTAATTGAACATCAACGTTCAACAATTTTATTTGCATTGGGTTTTTTTCTATAAAAAATTCTCCAATAAACTCATCAGCTAGTTGTCGCCATATAAATCAATCATTGGATTTTTGCTACAATTCAGAATTAATTATTAGTGATAAAACTACAGTAATATATGACTGTGTGTCTGTGTCAGTCAGGATCAGTTTCGTAAAACATATATGATTAATAGTTTTTTTGGGTAGCTAACCAATTCCCAACTAAGTTCACCAACCTACAACACAATCCAATCCGTTAATTCTTCTTATAAAATATTGACTTTTTAGTTTCTCGCCTATGTAAAATTATCTTTCAGTTTGTAGTCGTTTAATTTTTAGAAACAAAAAGACATAAACATTAATGTCATAAGTTTTGAAGTTTATAAAAAGTTTTGATTGTTTATGTGAGTCGTTAGGTACCTATACTTCTAAATAAGCGCCTAAGCATCTACACGGCCAACTTTTAAATCAATGAAAAAACTCATTTGTTCTAGGCTTCTAGCTAACCACATATGAAAAAAGAAGATAATCTAAGAACATGATCCTTCCCAATTAATTTTTAAGTTTAACTTGCAAATTAGACAATAAGAGATAAGGAAGTAACACATATCAATTTACAATAAATGGCACGATGGAGGAGGTTGTCTTCCAAATGGAAAGATGTGGACTGCTATGTTTATCTTGTCCGGCTATATAGGAAATTTAGAGGATAAGCTATTTTCCTTGTCGATATACATTTTAGTTGCAATAGTTGAAAAACAAATATATATACATTTTAGTTGCAAGAGAAAAAAATCGACTTTTTATCAAACCGTGAGCTCGACATCTAGTTCGTTTGTCAGCAAATAACATATTTGGTATCATCTACATGTGTTATTTCTATTGATCAAATTTAACTAATAACAGCACGGAAATGTGGGTGATATTGGTTTAGTAGTTAGTAAAGTTGACAAAGAGAAGATGTGAAAGCTTTTCTTATTTCTCCTATATGAGAACATGTCAATCTACCTTTGGAAGATACAATTGGGTAACCGGAACAGCCTTCTTCAATGTTCTTTCCTTATTTTCCCAAAATAAAGTATTTACATGTTGCCAAAATAAAAAATGGGAGTACAATTGTAACGTAACATTTGGGATAATTAATTAAGGGAATTGGTTACATTAATAATAATTACTAACTTAATTAGAAAAACAAGAGTCGTAACCAAATGATGTGAATATGAAATTAAGAACGTGATGTGGACTTTGAACTTGACACATATGGAGATCCTTTCGTATGAATCATCAATACGTCACCCACGTTATGAAAGATAAACTATTTAACACTGATGTCAAGTAGAACCAAAAAAAATTAGAAGTGCCGTTATAGATAGCATTTAGATTGCAGAAGATGCAAGTTCTTATACTTTACATATCTACCTATATGGCTAGAAACTGATTCACATATATGATTACAAGTATTTTATTTTATAGAGCACTAATCTAGACTATAGAGCATTAGAAACACGAAAAATACCAAAGAAATGGTTGATGGGTCGTTTCTTATCTTAAAAAGACGAAACCAAAATCGAAGACGCAAGAGACATCTCTTGCTTGAATTTCAGTCAGACAACGATTGTGCCATCAAATTTGTTGTTGTTGTCCTCTTTTGTCTTCATGTATCTATTGCCTCTTGTTTTTTTGATAACCATCTATTGCTTTTGTTCAAACCATTTCTAGTGTGTAAATGCATTTTTTGTGTGTAATAACATTTTTATGAGTTACGGTCAGAAACTCTCATTGATAGTTCAAAATATGTTTCGGTTATGTATATTGCTAATAATTTGGCGTAGTTTTCTATGACAAATATTAAAACATGACATGTCTACGTTTTTGGGGGTTTAAAGCGAGTTAAAAAAAAAGATAAAAAACCAGTTTTAAAAAGAAATTATAAATACAGTAAAAATTCATAGTAAATAAGAATAATTTTAAGTTTCTGATTTTAAGTGTTTAAAAACAAAATTTCAAAATTTTTATTTAAAATCATGTCATGCACTTGTCTATTTTAAAGGAATTTTCATTATTTTTTAAATACACATATAAATTTATAATAATTTATACTCATTACCAGAGGTGGAGGTAGTAAAGAGATAGGGAGCACATGACCTCAGTAAAATTTTCTAAATTTTATTTTACTAGAATTTTATCACTTTGGCCCACTCAAAATTATAACTCTATAACCCTATTCTATCATAAATTTTACTTACTTTTTCCTTTAAATTTCAAATCAGAATTTCGTTCTCTTCATTCTAAGTATTTATATTTATATCTCTGTATAACTTTTTTATTTTTATTGTTAAGCGATTATAAATTTTCAATTGTTTCAAAACTTGGATTATTATTGTAGTGTTATACATTATATTATTATGACCCCAATAATTTTTTTTTCTAGCTCCGCCACTAGATTTTCTTTTTAGCTCCGCCATTGCTTACTACTCTAACTATATTGTGTAGTGTAAATTACGTAAAACAATTTCTGATAGTATGAACTAAATTTTAAAGTAGTGAGATCAGAATATGATGTAGAAAATGGTAAAATTTGAGACCGCAAAACTGACAAAAGTTAAGAAAAATATTTATTTGGACAAACAAAATCAAATATAAAAATATCCCGTGAAGACATGACTCGGCGCTCTATTGATTGGAAAAATGGGAGCCTGATCTTTTTTGCGTGCTCTTTTGATATCTATAAATCCGGATCTGTGCTCACAGTCTAGCACTCAGGATGATTCCATTATCTATCGTTAATTTGATCTGTTTAGCCCATCAATTAAGCCTACTGATTCTATTTGTAACGGTTTTTCCTCTTCGTAAAATCGCTATATTGTATGTAAATGAAATCATTTTTTGGGTGAAAGTATGTAAATGAAATCAAACACATGAAAATTATATGGCAACAAACTTTTTTAAAGAGCCGACAAAAAGCTAGTGTGCCGTCGTTGGAATGTCACGAACCCATTTAACCTTATAGTTAACCAGGCCACTTAATGCGTTTTTATTTCATTTATAAAACTTATTCTAAACAAAAGTAGTCTTTATTTATTTTATTTTTTCGTACGACCATCTTTTACTGTTAAATAAAGTTTACTTATCTAGTTATCTTATTCTTAACCGTATGATTTTCTTGAGTGCTAAAACAACTTTATCTCTCTAAACTTTTACGACAAGTATAAAACCCATGAAGTGATATTCGATAAAACTCACTTTCTGTTCTGTTGCTGACAATTCTCTGTTAAAATGGAGAAAAAGGTTAAAAAGAAAAGGGGAAAAAGTTCTGAGTGTCCGCCGCGAAGATATATGCTATTCCATTGCTGACGTTTGACGCTAACTTCGTAGACAAGTACTCGTAACATAATCCATCTTAACTCTAACATACGACTCAGTCAGCACATGTCCCTTATTCACTTTTTTTTTTTTTTTGAACATTACATGTCCCTTATTCACTTGGTCTATGCATTAAAATACATGGAACATATCTCGTAGTTTAATGATAATTTTCAATTGAACTATTTTGTAAAAATTAATTGAATTGCTTGCAGTACTGCATGCAGTAGCTTAATGAAAATATTAATGTCATCGTATCATAACCTGAATATAGCTTATCGAATTAACCAGTGACAGATTCTAACAATGATTTGGAGATTTTCTTGTATTTTGTAATTCAAATTTTAGAAGAAAAAAAAAAGTAAAATTGTTTATCTAGGGAAATTAAGGGGAACAAAAGAAATATACTTTGTTGTCCGAAAAAAGAGAAGTACATACTAAAGTTTATGTGACTAAGAAAAAGGACCAAAAAGAAACAAGTGGTTCACCAGAGAATTGTCAGCAACAGAACAGAAAGTGAGGATAGGATAATAAAGGGAGTCGAAGCCACTGAATCTTTGTTTCTCGAGATGGACAATCTAAGTGGAATGCCAATCTATTTGTTTGAACCCCGGAAAACAATTTCCAGATATCTAAACGGATGGTGGAGATTAGATACTTGAGCTTGAAAATAATTCTCGAGAATAATAATGGCTTCAGAATCAGAGTGACATATTCGGTTAATGGTCGTTAAAATCGGCTATGACATATGCTTCTGGCGTCAGTTGCTTTTACCTTTTTTATACCAATTTGCACCTTTACGCCTACTTACGGTATTGGTTATTATTACGTAAAAATAGTAATATACAAACATGCATACAAACATGCATGCTGGTTGGGAAAGTGGTTGTCTGATTTGCATATTACGAGGAGATAGTCACATGACTCGTAACATTGGTAATATATAGTGGTTAGTCTATTATTAGTTATAAAGAAAATTGTATTTTGTATATTAGTGAGGATATTCGTGGTAACTAGCACCTACTTGGGTGTAATATATGTTCAGTTTAACCAGGAAAAGAAGAGTGCTAAGATTATCTGTTTTCTACAGAAGGAACTTTTAATGAATAATCTAATCTAAATTAATTAATTAATGAATGTGCAATTACTTACAAACAAACAAAAAGAGGGGGAGAAGCGAAAATAAAATTGAACGAGAGAAAACGGTGAGAAAGACAAGACAGCCATGTGCATGTATTGGCTATATATTCTCAAGTTTATTAAAAAAATTAAAACTAGTTAAAAAGAAGACTCTTAAAACACATCATTTTAACCCAACAAAAAGGTGTAAAAAAAAAAGAAAAAATTAAAAGTGTAAAACCCTTGTCCCTTGGCATCGCATTCAATTTCAACTCCTACTCTGCCAATAAACCTATTGAAGAATAGAAGAAAAATATTATATTTGTTTGTCTTTTTTCAAATCCGCGATTAATTTATTTTGGCGTTTTTTGTGGAATCCTATGATATTGTTTCTATGCTAAGATTTTGAGTATCGCCGACGATTGTTAACCGTTGAGTTCTTTTGTGTTTACATGCATGCTGGATATATATTATAGTTTTATTTATGTGTTGTCAGCATTTTATTACGTACCGGCCATCAAACAAACAAAAGGCAGCTACATTATAAAGAGTAGATGCGGGTAATACCAGCTCGGTAAATCTACAAATACTTTTTATGTATTGCATATATATATTCGGACATGAGTTATAAGAAGATGATCAATGTTATAAGAAAAATAAAAAGTTATAAGAAGATGATCAATGATCTTTTGGCTTAAATCTAATCATTTGTTGTAGTTACAATAGTTAAAATTAATAAACAATTCAGACGAGCAAATTTTTCTTCTTTTGCTCTTTCATCATCATTAAAACGTTAGCCAAAACGGTATTTTTCTTCTTTTACTCTTTTTCTTCTGTTCCTGCGTTGTTTTGGTTCACTTTTTTATTATTTTCTATTATAATTTATTAAGTTCTTAAATTAGATATTTATGTTTCTCTCGAAAAAGATAAAAGGAGTAACGTAAGCGACTTTGTATTGTTTTTGACTTTTTGTTAAATCGCCAAAATGAATTGAGAAATAAAAATAGTAGCGGGGGCCCATGTTTTTAGCTGAGATTACGGGAGGCTGGGCGTAGATTTCTGCCGATGCAGTTCTTGAGCTTATTAAATTCAATAGCTACAAATACTTTCTTGTTGCCGATTTCCAAAAAGAAGTTAATAATTCTGAACTAAATATAAAATGGTTACAACAAAATATAGGTTGAATTGCACAGGTGAGGAACAGAGTTATAGGCTTCGTGATACGTTTAACTCAAAACAGACCATATAGACCCACTTAGATTTCAGCTTGATTTTTCTGTCACTTTCTTCACTATTTGATCACCCTGTTACGGAGTATATAATAAATTAGTAACCCACAAAACATATATTTGTATAGCAACACAACACGTTATATTTTTATTAAAGGTCATCAGTTATTCTTCAATAGCAATGAATTAATTTTATTATAAAAGTGCCAAATCTCGTGACTCGGTGGTTAACTAGGATATAAAGTTTAAATCTAAAAGTATCCACACCTTAAATATAATATGAGTTAACAGTTTATCGTTATTTTGTATTTCAGGACCATATTGGAATCGAAAAAAGAAAATTGAACTTGCAGCCTCATCAACAATATATACAACATTTTTAAGACCACATTTGTACTCTATTGGTTAGTGCCATTGGATGATAGTTTAGTTAATAACTTAATATATGGCGAATTCGACTCTTAAAAACTCATAATTAAAAGATAATCGTTTTAACTCTATTACAAAATCCCAAAAATTCTGTTAAATATAAACCTCTTCTAATGATCTAAGTCTAACAAATGAAAATGAATAAAATGTACATTTATTATAACATATCTTTTTGTCAACTTATAATTTTATCTTTTAACAGAAAAAAATATTTACACATTGTAAAGACGCCTGTTGAAAGAAAAAAAGTAACTAGAGGCTGTGAGGACGCAGGACCCGTTTTGTAGCACACATGTGCATTTGTCTCTTTGCTTTTTCGGTTTTTCATATCCAATATTAATGCCTTATCGGTTCTTTGTCCCAATGTAAAGACAATCTAAAACTCCGATTATATATCGTAAAATATTGAAATATACTCTCTCTGTTCCATAATAGATGATGTTTTAGAAATTTCACTCTTATTAAGAAACAATAAATATGTATTACTTTCAGTTATTTTTTTGCCTTTTCACTTTCTAAATTTTTTTTTCACACACTTATTAAATGCTCTATAATCATTATGAATGAACTTTAGCTCCATCACTTGATATTATTGGTTTGGTTACATATAAACATTTATTACTTCAAAATAATTAAATAAAATATGCTATTAAATCATTCTTGTAAAATGTAATAGCATTAAATACTTCCAAAACATCATCTATTTTGGAACAAAAAAAAATCTTAAAACATCATCTATTCTAGAACAGAGGGAGTAATTCGCTAACACAACATTAAAAATATAAAAGCAATCAACAAAAATGTTTGTTGAACAAAAAAAAGGATTTAGTTATCTTGCCCCTTGTTTATTAAAGAAGTCCAACTTTGTTGCCACCAACAGTGGCAGAACGGTAAATTAATACTAACGTCCTCTCACTAAACTTTTCTATAAATTCAACCACTCGCTTCCCAGTCTAAAATTCAACAACAGGTTCTCAAAGCTCTCTTCCTCTTCGTATCTCTTGAAGGAAAGAAGAAGAAAGAATACCTTTAAGTCTCAACTCCCAAGTAACTACTTTCTCTATCTACATTCAATATTATCTTCTCATTTTCTCTAACACACATTCAATTGAGCTAAAAGCCATCGACTTTATCACTCCTGTGCAGGTTAATACAAGAACTAAAACATGGGTCCTGTCGGGTTCTTAGTTACGGTTTTGATAGGAGTAATGGCTTCTTCTGTGAGCGGCTATGGTGGCGGTTGGATCAACGCTCACGCCACTTTCTACGGTGGTGGCGATGCTTCCGGCACAATGGGTAATTTGCTCAAAACAATATACAAAACCATTTTTTTTTTTTGGTTAATGTTAACCAAGGACTTCTCCATCCCATTTCTTACCAAATTATCAAGTTTTACTGATCCTAAATCTACTTCTATTAGGTGGTGCTTGTGGATACGGCAATCTATATAGCCAAGGTTATGGGACGAACACGGCGGCTTTGAGCACGGCTCTGTTCAATAACGGACTTAGCTGCGGTTCTTGCTTTGAGATAAGATGTGAAAACGATGGTAAATGGTGTCTACCTGGCTCAATCGTTGTAACCGCTACTAACTTTTGCCCGCCAAACAACGCTTTACCTAACAACAATGGCGGTTGGTGTAATCCTCCTCTTCAACACTTTGATCTCGCTCAGCCTGTTTTTCAACGCATTGCTCAATACAGAGCTGGAATCGTCCCTGTTGCATACAGGAGGTAACAAAAATTGTAGCTTTCTCTGTTTTGAAGCTTTTTACATCTGCTCTGTTTTTCTTATAATACATAGTATATCGTAATAAATCAGAACTATTTTCTTGGATTCATTGATCAAAACAGAATAATTCGATTGAATTTCATGATTGAAGGATAAATTATGCTCCAAGTTTCAATATTTAGATATCTGTTCAAATTTTTTCGGTTGCTCTGTTTTGTTTTAGTTTCTTAGGTTGCTCTGTTTTTTACCAAAGCAGAGTAATACGTAACTTTCCAATACTTTATCCGTTTTGTTTGATGAACATGAATTGTGGTGTTTTTTGCAGGGTTCCGTGTAGGAGAAGGGGAGGAATAAGATTTACGATAAATGGTCACTCATATTTTAACCTCGTTCTGATCACAAACGTCGGAGGCGCCGGAGACGTACACTCGGCGGCGATCAAGGGTTCAAGAACAGGTTGGCAAGCGATGTCAAGGAACTGGGGGCAAAATTGGCAAAGCAACTCTTACCTTAACGGTCAAGCACTTTCCTTTAAAGTCACCACCAGCGACGGTCGCACCGTCGTCTCCTTCAACGCCGCTCCTTCCGGCTGGTCCTTCGGCCAGACCTTCGCCGGTGGACAGTTCCGCTAAAAGGGACAATTTGGTCATTTTCTACTCTACTTTTATAGCTAAAAGTAATAGTAAAATTGTTTGTGTGGTGTGTAGAGGGCATATTGGTAAATTGGGTTCTTGCGAACTCTCGGTTCTTGTTGAGAGAGTGATGCGTCGAGGGCTCGGTTTTGCAGAAGACCTTGATGACGTCTATCTTTTTTGGACCTCTTTTATTTGTTTACGTTCTTACAAAAATAGTTTTTTACTAAGAGTGGGAAAAAAAGAAGAAGAGAAAAGCATGGTAGTTATTGTATTACTAATGCAGAGGTGGAGTTTTAACTACCACCCGCTAGTAGTAATGAGTAACCCATTTTACCCTTTAAGGCGTGAGAGATGGGATTATGAGGGTTTTTCAATTGTATTTTTGTGATGTTGTTTGTTATGAGATCAAGAGAACACTATCAATTTTACAGTATATCAATAAAAAGATGCAACTTCTTTCCGAGAAGAGGGATCAATCCAGGGTGGAAGCAAAGGTGGACACTAATGACTAAACCACTTCTGAAATGATGCAAAACAAGGTAACTGGAAAGAGAACAAATATATATAATATATCTTCAATAAAAAGAAACACAGTAATTCATTAAAAAATAAATAAACACAGTAAAAAAAATGTATCAATAATGTATATCAATTTTCGTATACTTCGTAATTACCGGCAGAGCAAAATCCATTGAAGTAAAGATTGCATAACATCAAGCCACATCGTACCTTACTCTTAGCCCTACACTTTAATTGGATAATTACAAGTCAAACCTTTAAATTTTAAATTAGAGAAAGGTATCCTTTTAGCAGTTATGACGGGTATTGAAAAACATCACATATATATATTTTTTTTATTTGACGAGATTATCTAAGTGGAGCTCGATAAATATAAAAGATGACGTACAAAGTGATCAACAGCAACCAAAACCCCATGTGGTGGCTAGCAACTAAAGTAAATATGGATGATCCCACTCTTGATGAATTTGGCTTCAACGTGACTCTCATGTGAAGCGACATATTCAGCACCGGCTCTTTTTATATTTTTAGAAGAAGATATATGAGCCAATTTAAAGCCCATCATAAATTGTGAGTTGTTGACATTATTATTATTTCAATGGTTGGCTAAATAAACATTTTCGAGATTGGCTATATCTCCAAAGCGAAACACTACACCTTCAAGTGCAGATTAGATGCATTTAACACCAAAGAAACTCCGACACGTTGACGATCTGGTAGGCAACCGAATCAGAAATTTCTCATAAAATCTAAACATTTAGGGCACATTTAAAACATTCAAACCTTTTTTTCAAAAAAAAAAAAAGCTTTTAGATTGCATTCACTAGTCTTTCCTCTAACAACGCTGTTTAAAGAGAACACATATCAGTTCTTCCGCTAAACTGATATCAAGTGGAAATTAGCAACTAGATTAATTCTAAACATAATTTACTATATATTTCTTTAAAACACTATCTTATTAAAGAAAATGGGCGAATTGTTTATTTGAACGTCCAGGATTACCTTGAGAGACATTATATCACGTTCCTGGAGATTAGTTAACCATGCAAGCATGTTTCGCTGTTATTTTGGAAAACTGTTTTCATCACATTTTTCAAGTGTTGTACTTGCAAATGTTTGATTACCGAAATAGATATATATATATATATATATATTCGAAATAACTAAATTTACTCCCACTAAAAATAAGAAACAGATTGAATAATGTTCTGACGTAGTCCTTCGACATTACCAGTATGGTTTAGCAATTCGACTTTTAGGATTTCGATTTAGTTTTAGCCTTTAGGTGTAATAGAATTTTTTTATGTGATTGCTTGTACTGTTGGGTTTGTTTCGGTAAAAAGTCAAACGTAAACCTAGATTTGATTTCAGTTTGGGTTGGTTCAGTTTGGTTTGGTTTTGTTCGGTTAGGAAAGATCCATCACGAGTCACAGTTTTGGAAACCCGTAATTGAGCGAAGACCCAAGACTTAGTTGGGCCAAAGCTCAATGATAAGAAGATACAACACAACAACAATACATTGTCCCTGGACCTCCTTTCTTCGTCTTTTTTTTTCGTTACATTTATCATCTTCAATAGTCATATTCAGTGCCTTCCAGAAATTAAGGTTGTATGTTTAGAATACAACATGTGATTTTTCTTCGTAGATAGAAAGATTTGGTTTGATTCATAATTTATCTCATGTTTAAAGAATACATGTGCTTATGTATATTGGCTGGTTGAACTAGGTACACGGTATAATTGATTAAGAAAATCATTTTATAACAAGTAAAATGATGAATCAATATTGATAACGAGATCAAGAGGTTAAAAGCTTGGAGTGGGATATCTAGATTTTCTCAATAGAGGAGTTATTATGTAAGTGTTTGCCATGAACAGTTACGAATAGTCTTTTGATTGTGCAGCTTCCCGATACAATGAAACCATATATTTTTTAAAAAATAATATAAATGAGTTGATATAATATAGAAGTCACGAATAGTGTAGTACAGTATGCACCATAAGCGAATAGTTTTGTGATTGTTTTTTTTCTGTATCCAATAAAAAACCTAATAGTGTTGTGAAAACAATGAAAATTTCCTGAAGGGATGAATGTCTCAGACATGTACGTCAAAATCATTGTTCTTACATTTTTGTGTATAATACAAAAAATGCTGAGAGTTTGTTTTTGAATTTGTGAATCGAATATTCACATTGTTAAGTCCATGTCTAGATTATGAATATTCAAAATTTGCATTATTGCTTTTTTTCTTATAATAGTTTTTTTTTCATGGATATTGCCAATATCATATTGGGATCTAATGAAGATGATCATCAATTAAACCCTATCAATAATAATAGTTTACCAAACTCGTCACATCTAGTCGCTTTTACCACTTGGACATATCTGAGTATGACTTTGACTTCGAATTTTGAACATTACTTCTGTCTTGTTTATTTATACCTATTTAAATAGGTTATTTAGTCTTGTTTATTTATATCTATTTAAATAGTATGTTATTTAGGTCCATCATGAGCATTGGTGCATTAATTATTGGATTTTGCGAAAAGGGGCATTGAATTAGTCTTGATTCCATGACTAAGATCTGATGGGATTTACTGTTTGAAACTCTTATGTCATAGATGCTGTAGCATCACCTGTCCTTCAAATATACTGAATCAATCCATACCCTCTGGATCCATCAGAAAGTCAGGTTAGCTACACCTAGACCTCTCCTTTGCCTATATTGCCTCTCGATTTGGATCTGCAAATTTAGCTGCTAAGTTTCAGCTTGCTTATTGCGAGCGTTATACTTGCTGAGCTGTAACTCACATCACCAAGTTACTACTAGTCTACTACTCTCTCTCCGCAACTATTGTTTTGTCTCCATTTCTTTCACTTTTTTAGATTCTTACTTAAAGTGACCTCCTCCAATTGCTTTGTTTCTTATTTTGGTTTTTAGAGTAAATATCTCATATGTATGCACTTTTACATGTTTGTTATGGACTTTATATCATGGTGGGGCCCCGTACGTAGTAGGGGAAAAACGCATACAACAAGCTTCGCACTTAAACGTGAAACGTTCAAACAATGTTGTTGCCGGTAGATTTATTGTTCAGAGTGAAATAAAGCAATGCGTGATCACTTATCATTACATACAGAGATATCTTTGGTTAAAGACCACAAATGAATGTTTACGTATATATTTGGAGAACCATACACATCGTATTTGTGGCTCTATATTAATTAATCAAGATTTGACTAAAACAAAAAGACTCAGAATGGCACAAACGCTCTCACTTGTGCAAAAATTCACTAATCAAACTAAAAAAGTCGTTAGACAATTTGACCCTACATAATGTTATGGTTCCAAATCCAATTTTTCTTTGATTGGACGCAAGGGCTGCTTTGCGCATATGTATGTATTATAGTATTGTTTGTTGGTTAGATTAGATTGGTATGGACGTTGAGTTATTTATTACAGGCATATAATAATGTGAGCGTTAGCCAAGTCGTGTTAGATTATGTTTCCTTCCGTTGAACAGATATGGAAGGAAGAAGGGAGCATTAAAACATGTGAGGGTGGGGGCAGGTAAGTGTCCTTGAAACAATAAGAAGTGGGTCTTTGCATTAGGTTTCTGACATCTTACCCATACTTATACCCATATTACTTTCCAAAGAATTAACAAATATTATCATGTAAAGAGTATTTTTTTTGTCCTTTTCGTAATTCCTTTCATTGCGACACTCTTAACGGACTTCGGTTAAGACGCAGCCTTAATCCCCCATACGGCATCACCAATTGACCATCACTATTATGTATGCAAAAATATGAGACTTGTCTGTAAGATATTTGTAGGCCTTTTCAAATCCTCCCTGCCTCTGCCACCTGCCAAAACGAAAGAGATCTTACGTGCTAGATTGCATTGTGATTTGTGTAACCATGTTCAAGGGTTTAATGGTTTAGTAAAGATTGTTTAGCGGTTAGAAATAATAGTCCGTTCGATTAATAGCCAATAAAATGGTTAAGCCTTCAACCGCCTGATTGTGTTACCATTATCTATATATAAAATGTTAGAGGCGTAAAGAGACAAATAAGATATTAGAGTATTGCATGAGATAGAGTTTTAATTACAACACCTAATGAATATTAATTATAATGAATTAATCATATAGTAAATCAAAGTAGTGAACATTAGTCTATATATTTTTGTTTTTCTTGTTAGGTACCATTAGTCTATATTGTTTATAACTATATTTTGGAGTCCAAAATAGAATGTCATTAGAGAATATTTCTTCTAAACTGGTGGTTGCCCTGTAGAGAAGTAGATGGATGTGGGCTGGAAAACAACATTTTTTTCATGCAATTAACTGATCTAGTCATCGATCGAGTACAAGACATATACATTTAGATGAACCCATGAGCTGGTTGTCGTATGTAATTGACTAATTGGTAGGGTTATGATTTTTAGATCAAAGAAAGGATTCAAAATATGGTTCTGTCAAGGGGACACACCTAACAGAATCTCATGGATTAGCCTTTGTCTTCTGCTGCTCCCTTACGCCCCACTACTTGTCACATTTCTTCGTTTTTTATATTTTACTAATATACATAAATTATTATTTTATTAAACCTCAATTCTTCCTTCATTATTGTCCTTCCATATAATTTTTTATATATATAGACAGTAAATTTTCGTACCAAGTTCAACAGAGCCTTATTTTATAGGCATGAGCTCAGGTCGGGTCGTACCCCACCGTCATATAAAATTGTTTAAAACCGACTGTTGACCAAAATATTTAATAGTCACAGCTTCTGTTTTTCTTACAACATGTAAAACACAAGCTAAAGTCGGACGATATTTTTGTGATAAGAGTAACCAAATATTTGGTTGGGGAAATCATATATATATATATATAGAAAGCATAATACATTAATACCACATCAAATCCCCTTCCCCTGACTAGTTGAAAGGAGCGGTTGAGTTAAGATTTATGTAGAACTAAGTCCGGTTATGGAAACAAAGAAGTAGTGTGCTTGTAACCAAAAATACGAATGATGTTAAGAAAGAGGGTAGAATTTAAGATAAGCTTTATTGGTGGATGTGAAAATAGGTTGATATAGAGAGATCATAGGGGCAAAGGGGCTATGAGATTAGATGGGTCATGGGTCATTGATTCATTCATCTTTGAAAATTGAGAGAGATAGACTTTACTGTTTGGTTACCTTTCACGTCATCTCTTTTTGGAAACTCCAAAAACAGTATGAGTTTGTGTGTGTCTTCGTGATCTGTTCCCACCATTTATCCTCTCTGTCTCTCCACTTCCTTTCATTACTCTCACTTTCTTGTTTATATATGTTTCCTCACTGTTGTTCAAAAAAAAATATATATATATATATACTCCCTCCATTTTTTATTAGTTGTCGTTTTAGAGAATTTTGTTTGTTTTAAATTAATTGTCGTTTTCAGTTTTTAATGTAACATTTATTAGTTTTTTAATTTTTATAATTATTTTTATTATGCAATTTGTTTTATTATTAGTTAAATTGTGTTTAAATAAATAATTAATGATGTTTTTATATTGAAAAACTAATACAATTAATATTTTCTTAATCTGTGTGCATAACCTTAAAACGACAACTAAATAAATCTAGAGGGAATATATGTTTCCTCACAAGTTTCTCCTCCTTTAATTACCAAATCCACGCCATGTTGCATTAATTACCAAACTCTCCCTACACCCAAACCAAACCAGACCTAATTTAACAGAATTGATGAACATATTTTTTTTTGGTCAAACTCCGAATTGATGAACATAAATTTTGTTAATTACTATAACTTAAAATTTCGCTTTACCGTACATAAGGGAAGATAATTGTCTTTATTTTCAGTTACATTAATTTTATTAAAAATAATATTTGATAGTTTTGAGTTATATAATAGGACTCACGTCTCCAACTTAAACATAAAAAAGAGCCCAAATTAGTTCAATTTTTTCTGGTCTATAGTCTTCTCTTTTTCTCCTTTTGCTCTAAACCGAAACCAAAGCAAGCATATTCCCAAAGTATTTGGGATTGTTCGGTAAAATTATTGTGGTCGTGCGTGTGTATTGTACAACAAGGAGAATACACGTGATGTTTATGCGACATCACACGCCAAAATCGGGCCATGGGGACGCATCACAGTTGAAGAGAAAGGACTTCTCCTTTGAATTGAATTGGATCCTATGTTACTCTTAATGTGCACGTGTTCACCATTTCCACCTTTCATTAGCCATTCACCAATATATTTATTTTAGGCCAACGCTACTAGCAATACTTCTTTAAATTGAAACGGAATTTAATTTTCAGTCTGCTGTTTAATTGCATTGACTGCTATAATTCGAGTGCAAATGTATGTTAGCATTTGATACTTTCCGATGACGTGTAGTTTACAAGATCTCATGTATATATTTTTGATGGCTTTAGATTGCTAGTAATGGAAGGAGATGGCAAAAAAACTATATTGCAAAAATAATGAAGGTCTTTTTTTGTTTTTTTTTAAATAAATAAATATAATGAAGGTCTTAAACTATGGACGAACATATTCTCGGGGATCATTTTCAAATAAATCTCTTTGGAGAGTTAATGAAGTTGCTGGTTCACTAGATAAAACAAGCCATAGTCAAGTGCCAACAGTTGCAAAAAAGAGAGTCAAGCGGTAACATCAAATCGTTCTTTATCCTCCAAGTTATCTTAACATTTTTGAAAGATTATGTAACATTTGACCCAAAAAAGTTTATATTTGACATATTTATGTAAGAGTCCATAAACGTTCAAATTTTTTTAAATGATTTTCTAATTTGAAATTGACACGAATGAATCAAAAATCTAGCCATATATTGTAAACAAGGTAACAAAGATGGATTCGCACAAAACAAAAGAAGAAGCAACTCCGGAAGTCTCCACACTGGCTAGTGGCTCTTGTCAGTTGTATCCAAAAAGTCTTTTTACCCAAAAAAAAAAACATCTAAGTGTGGTTCCCATATTTTATTACACAATATAATTTTTAAATAAATAAATGGTAAAGAACAAAAAATAAACTTCCAACTTTATAGAGAAATTGGCAAGGATAACATCATTGGTGATGCAAATTAAGAATCTAACAAAGCTGTTATTCAACTAATTCACCCATATTAATAAGTGCTGGTTCTGCCAAATATATATTAAATAAAGCTGCATAACTTCGGTTTCAGAAAATTGAATATTTCATATATACAATACAAACAAGTATTTCAAAGTGATTGACCGATTTTTTCTTTTTTTTTTTTTAAAAAAAAAAGAGAGAAGAGAGTACAAAGTGCGTTCGGTTAATCTTTGGGCAGAGGATCGTACTGCTCTGCTACCCTTTTGAATCTGATACTAATATTTAATGGTTACGTCTGCCAATTGTGGTTTCTAGTCAAATTTGAAAATGTCTTAACAGATTCTTCATTTACTTTTTACACTGTTCATGCTCATTGCAAATAGTGTGGGATATTTCTAGGGTTGAGAGTTCCTTTTGATTTAATTTTGGTTATAAGTTATAAATTATAACTTATAACTTATAATCTAGGGTTGAGAGTTTCTACAATAAGCTTAAACTCTATTAAAATAAACTTTATTACGCTTTCACAATCTTATCTTCCCTGCTTTTAGGATTTAGCTAGACTGTTAGTTAGTACTATGATCAGATTTAGGGAAGAACCCCATACCACTGTATTTAAAACCAATTAAATCTATATATTTGTAGTGTATCTGGTTAATTTAATGAGACTGCTAAAACAAATACAATAGAAAAAAAAAATTATATGAGTAATCAGGATTATATGGTACACCTGACATGGAGAAAAGAGGCATATTTAAGCGATAAGTTAGAAAAAAAATATACAAACTGAACAAAAAGATGGAGGTTTTGTAAGAGAAAGAGAGGGCCTCACAGGAAAAAAATGGTAGTAAAAAAAAGGAAAGAGAGACAAATGGAGAGATTAAGAGAGAAAAGGGTAGCGTTTAAGGAAAATGAAATGAAGAATAAGTGTCCGAGAATTGGTTGTGTTTAGAAGAGACACGACTCATACCCCAATGTTAAACTCTCTCTTCTGCCTTCATCCTTTTTTGGGTAGTTCGTTCTGCTTCAGCTTTTTTTTCTTTCATATCATTAGCTTTTTTTGTTTGTCCTTTTTCATTTTGCACCTATAAACATGCATTGATTGATAGATGATTAAGTTGACTTAATAACGGTATGATCGTTTGGATTTAGTCTACATTTTGTTGTGGTCGATCGATAATCACCGCATTCGTTTCATATTATAATACATAAGTATTTTTAAAGATTGATTTTTTTTTTTGGGTAAAGACAATCACCAGATTGGTTTCATATTTTATAAATACCATATAGATATACACTAATTTGTCTCTTCTTCATATACCCTTAATAATATATAAAATTTTGAACAGATAAATTACAAGTACATCTTAATTATTGTAGATATATGGCCGTGACGCGGTGTAATACAATTTAATTGTTACAGTTTTTAATTATGTGAAACTTATATATTGATTTGTTATAGAAAACTTTGGACCTTCTATAAGTGTAGGTACACCTGAACAAATTTGTATAACAGTCCACAGCAAAAACGAATGTCGATAATACATATGTACAGACTTATTACAGTAGTATCACATATATATATAATGTATAAATGCAAATAACTATGGCTTTTGAATCAGTCCGTGACAACGGTCCATAACCCTTTTTAACAGTCGTCAGAAAACACGGTCGCGACATGTACATACACGCACATACCTAAAGCCATACGTAACACACACCATATTATATCTTATATAAAGAGATATTTTATTTTATATATTTTTTAAAAATTAATATTTATGACACACTTTTACGTACGTGTATATATAATACGCAAATGCGCATAGTCTTTCTCCTCCTCTGAATCTGATGGGTAAAGTCTAAAAAGCTGACGTGACATCTCTCTCAAATCTTAAATACACTTCTCTTCTCCCTTCTTCATCTTTCGAACAGACGAAACTCAATGTTTATGTCGGAAAATCAACGGTGGATGGATGAGATCGCCGCCGCGAGGAGAGAAGCTTCTTCTTGGGACTTCCCTTTCACCGACATTAACATTCAGCATCGTCGTCACTGCAATATAAGTCATGATTTTGAAATCTTGAAGAGTCCCCCTGGAGATAACGAAGAAGAGAGCAATAATCATAACCCTAATTATAGTAACAGCGAGAGTGGTAAGAAGGAGACAACAGACAGTGGACAGTCTTGGTCTTCGTCGTCTTCAAAACCGTCGAGCTTGGGGAGAGGACACTGGAGACCAGCTGAAGATGTTAAACTCAAAGAGCTTGTCGCCATTTACGGTCCACAAAACTGGAACCTCATAGCTGAAAAGCTCCAAGGAAGATCCGGTAATTATTAAATCAAATCTTTTTTTTTTAATGGATTTTCAAAATTTTATTAAAACCACTGTGTTTTTTTATCCATATCTAGTCCAGTCAAAGATGTGAGATTTATTAAGATCTGGTGATAAAATCAAATATTTTTAAAGATTTTCTTTTTATGGGTCTTCTAGGTCCAATCTGGTTAATAAAGAGGAAGTCAAAGATGTGATCTTTTACTAACTGAGTTGATTTGATTTTTGGATTAAAGGGAAGAGCTGTAGACTACGGTGGTTTAACCAATTGGACCCGAGGATAAATAGAAGAGCTTTCACGGAGGAAGAAGAAGAGAGGTTAATGCAAGCACATAGGCTTTATGGTAACAAATGGGCAATGATTGCGAGGCTTTTTCCTGGTAGGACTGATAATTCTGTCAAGAACCATTGGCATGTTATCATGGCTCGTAAGTATAGAGAACACTCCTCTGCTTACCGCAGGAGGAAGCTTATGATTAATAATCCACTTAAACCCCATCTTCCTAATCATCCTAACCCTAACCCTAATTACCACTCTTTTATCTCCACTAATCATTTCTTCACTCAGCCTTTCCACGAGTTAAATCTGACTCATCACCTGGTTAATAATGCGTCTATCACGACTGACCATAACCAGCTTGTGTTGCCTTTCCATTGCTTTCAAGGTGCTCTATTGCTCTTCTTTTCTCCCATTTGTTTATTCCATTTTTTTTCTCCCTTTGCATATTTTGACCCTTTTTGTGGTTTTTGTTTTTGATGTATCGACATCGTTCAGGTTATGAGAGCAATGAGACTCCGATGGTTGTGAGAATGTTTGGCAACCAAATGATGGTCGGCGATAATGTTGGTGCCACGTCAGAAGAGTTATACAATTTTCCGTACATTGACTCTTCGAGCCAAGAAACACGAATGCCAAATGAGCCAATGAGTTGGATCGGAATGGAAGTGGTAGACGAGGAGGTGGTTGAGAAGGCTAAACAGCAACCACATTTTTTTGATTTTCTTGGCTTGGGTACGACATGAGTCTTGAACAAAATTTGTGTTATAATGAGTTAATGACAGTGATTAATATGGTTACAAAACAATAGCAAGAAGTTAGCTTTACTAGCTAGAAAGCAAACAATCCAAGATCCAAGTCCTTGCCCTTGTGTTTGCGTTAATTAGTAAATTCTAGACTGTTGTTGTTGGCTGTTTAGTGTAAAATTTGATAAACTCTCGGTATTAGTAACTCTTTGATAAAATTTTCAACTGATTAAGGAGATTGGTTTAACAAAAGGTAATTTGTTTTTGGGACGAAGAGACGTGAAATATGCTAAAGATGTGATGTGATGAGAAAAACAACGGGTTAGAGATGTGAAATTAAACTAAAAGAGTGTAGTTGTAATGGGTTTGGAGAAACAGAAGAAGATGCGTAAATAAGAGATGAGGAAGTGCCAAAGATTGAGGCAGAGATTGTGCAACAGAAAGGCCAAACATGAAACATGCTCACCAAATCTCACACACACATTGCATTTGTTTCTTCCCTTCAAACCGTTTTTCCTACTCTTCAACCTTCTTACCTTTGTGTCTCTCTCATGTCACGCGGACCCACATGCCCCTTTTCTTATTCTTATATAATTTTTTTTCATGTTGTAGATAAACAAAAAAAAAAAAGAATACTTGCAGTTTTTTGGAGTAAAATTAGTTTTGGTTTTGAATATTGATTATTTTATCATATCAGTAAATGTAGTTCTTTTGTTTTGTTTTTAAATGTCAAAAACTCATATTTTCTTTTTGATTTTAATGGGGGATAGCTTATTAGTAAACTAAAGGAAGAAAAAGGCATGCATATATACCAAAGTGTTTCCTCATAAAAATTGACAGATTTTTTTCTCTTTGATAACGAAAGGTGGAATGTTTGCATGGACTGAAAGTTAGGAAAGTATATAATGGAGAAAAGAAAATGATTTATAAAGTGTATTTTCTTTATCTTTTAGAAGAAGGAGACTTAATGCTCCTCCTTTAGCTTTTTTTGTGACAACTAGATGGATTCTATAACCAAGGACTGAAAGTTAAGTTCCTCTGCTTTTTTCGTTAACATAACAATCCTTACTCATCTTTTCTTTTTTCCTTCTTCAGAAGAATCTATACACTACTCAAAATTAAATAATTGAATAAACAATATCTTAGAGCCACATTTACTAAAGAAGAGACATCATAACTTCAACACATTCATCCGTTAGAATAATGCACAAACTGGTGATTGTTGCAAATAAATAAGATAGATCTTAGAAAAATCTTTCTGCAGCTTCACCACTCAACAAAAATATCTACAATGTTTTTTTTTTATCTCTTCTACAAGGTAACAATCAATACACTAAATATCGATCCATAAATAAACACACGTACAACTATTCTATATGAGTATATGTATAACATTACATGCTCTCCCTAAAGTTCATAGATCTTGCCATGGCTGCAGGGTTTGCTTGCAGGTTAAGATACGTTTGAGGGACGAATTTCTTGTTGACGCTCTTTGTTTGATCAGATCCATCAATGAAAAATCTGAATTGTTCTGTCTTCTCTCGTTTCATCGGTACTGGACACCAGACATGATTCTTCGTAGCTACACTTGCTTCATTATTGATGCTTTGAGACTGTGAATCCAATCTTGCTCTTATAGAAGCATCTTTGCTCTCTCTAACTGTTTCGAATGACGTTTCGTCCCTTGTCCTTTTCCCTAGACATGTGGAAGTCTCTAGAGTAGAACAGAATGGTACCGCGCAGCCCCAGTAGACGGGGATTTGGTAGAAGCTAGGGTTAGGAGAATATTGGTAAGGCCAAGGAGGCGAAACAGGGGATGTTACTTGCGGAGGAAGAAATCCTTGGAAGTTGTTGAAATCTTTAGAAACAGAATCGGCGGTTACCTTCGCATGGCTTGATTGATGGTTAGAGTTCTCAGTAACAAAAGGTTCTGAAGACTCGAAGCTGAGAATCTTCGTTGAGGAGCTATTGTAATTGTTAGTATAGTCATTACTAGCATTCTCGGAGATGATGTTCATGTACTGTTCTGTAGAAACCCATCCTTTGTTCTTGCGGCGGCCTGAGCCAACAGGAACGATCCTCATGGATCCACCGGAAGTCCAATACCTCTGGCAGTTTCTGCAAAAGTGACGCGGCTGATTAACGTTGTAGTTGTTGTAGTAGCAGAATTTGGTGTCTTTGCTGTTGCATCTCGGACATGGAAGGATCTTGTCTGGTTTCTTCAAGTCAATTGTTTTCTCTTCCGATGTAGTACTTGTTGTGATTTCGCTGTGTTGGTCATCGCTGTTCTCGGATGTTTCTTTTGCTTCCTTGTTAAGATCAGATGTTATCTGAACACTTGAATAGTCTTGTTCGGTGTTACTAGTTTCAGATTGGTTGTTCATCTGAGAATTTGAAGAAACTTGGCTTAGAATATAATATCATGAAAAAGTTTCAAACCGATAATGACTAGATAAAAAGATTCAGTACTTAGCATTTTGCTGTGAATTCTAATGAATTTTTGGATGCTTTTTTTAAAGCGATAAACAAAGAAGAACAAATTGAGACGAATACCCTTTTGTATAGGTTGTCTGAATGAACAAACGCAAAAACCCTACAGGAATCTTTAACAGTACATTTTCTTAGCATATAAAAGATGATGAAAAAACGTATTTGCTGTTCAACTCGGAAACATACCATGTGTAGTCGAAGCGACGGAGAAGAAGAAGAAGAGGACGAGGAAGAATTCTCCTTGCCGTGATCGAAAGAATCGGGAAGAACAGAGGACGAAGAAGATGTAATTGTCCACCCAAACAATTTTACCGGTGTATCTCTAAGTTCAGACATGACAATCTTTGGAAGTACCCGCGGACAGAAGAAAGAAGAAAGTGAAGGAGAAAATACTAGATTTTGATGTTGTGTTTTATTCTTAAACCTACGAAGTGAGACAAGAGTATGTATAATAAGAGTCTGGGGCTGAAATTAATGGATTGCACAGAGCCACACAGAGAGAGAAAGTGGGGAAGATGACACATAAGCATGAGAAAGGGACTTGTAGAGATGAGAGAGCCACATGTTGTTCCAATAAAAGTGGCCTTTTGCAATCTTTTTTCACGACTTTTTTTTTTATTTCTCTTTCAGTGGCACTAAAACTATTTCCTTCCTTTGTTTATTTTGCCACGTCAAAATTTGTGGTTATTAAAAATGAAGTATGCTTGGTTCTCAAGGAGTATCCCAAAACAATGCATTCATTAATTTTACAAAAAAGTGCAACTAGACTCGTAAAATATTAAATATTAATATCTCGTCACTAAAGTATATGAAGTTAGAAGACGCCAGATATTTATTTTATTATAATAATTAAAGGTATTCAATTAGATTACAAAAATTCTATAGGTGTGACAAAATAGATTCAATAAAAATATGTAAAGAAAAAGAAAATACTATGTTAGACGAAATCCTACATGATTAATGAAAGAACGTTAAAGAGATATGTTATTTTTGTATGCTAGTAATTACTAATGGACATGTTTACTTCTAGTTACATCTTTATAAGTTATAACCTACAGATTTAATATCCTCCCCACCTCCTAGAATAAAAAAGGCTAATCAAAGGATAGTAATTATGTTTTTAATTTATAAATACTACTAGCTTCCATTAAAAACAAAATTATATTACAAAACAGCAAATACACATCCATGGTTTCCTCAACAAAGCACCACTTCTTTTTCGTGCTAATAACATTTATAATTCTCCTCAGAACTTCGTTATCAGTCGGGCACATTTCTTCTGCCGATGGAGAATTACCGTTCTCACCTAAACATGTTGTGATCATCAACAAGTTGACCTCACGTGCAGGATTGGTCTTGCACTGTACGAACAAAAAGAAAGATTTGGGGTTTAAAGCGATCCTTGTTGATGAAAGTTTCGATTTCACATTTCGTGTCAATCTACGCAAAACAACGCAATATACTTGCACTTTCTCGTGGGCCGAATATGTTAAGACGTTCGACATCTTTAGGGCAGATAGAGACGATAGTACAAAAAGTAAGATTGGAATATGCAGAGAATGTGTTTGGCATATTTCTGAGACAGGTCCATGTCGTGTTAGAAGCGATGGAGGCGCTCCGTTCTGTTTTCCATGGGCTTCTTAATCATATCAAAATTTATTGTATCTTTCTGATCATATTGTTGTTTTAGAATATAAATAAATAAACATATTTGCTTATGTGAAATCGTTTCTTTTTTAACTGTTTGAATTTGTTGTTACATTTTTGTCACTTTTCTCTTCTATATAATAGTTCTTATATTGTTTTCTTATAACCATGAAATTTCATATTGTTTGTTCATGTTTTCTCTAAATAACAAACTTTGATAATGTTTGTAGTGGATCTACAAAGTCCCTGTATAATTTCCAACTGAATATTTCGTATTTTGTAGACACATTTCTATATGATTTTTTTCTATCATGAAAAGTGCTGGTTAATTACTAAATTTTGATGGACAAACTGCAGTCATTTCCATTGATTTCGACTGCTAACACATGCAATAAAATTTTGATGTAATAATAGATATCAGTTATATATATATATATATATATATCTAGTAATTATTAGGCTTTTGGAACAAACTCACTAATTTTTTTCTTTTATTTCATATATTCATCATCTCATTTCTAACGCAAAAAAAAAATTCGAAAACATACAGCACAAAGTGCCCAAATCACCTTGGAGATAATTCGCAAAGTGAATAAAACTTTAGCAGTGTGTTTGGGTATCTCTTTTCATGTCATTGGATCATCGTTGTGGTCATTTATAGACCATGCATATATTTTAAATTTTTTTTTTTTTGTAAATGGATTTCATAAGACTAAAGTTCTTTTACTTTAACAGTTGTATGGTATAAGATCGGTTCACTTTATTTGCGTGGCCTTGGACGGCTTTATAAAAAATAAGGTGAGGGTGTTTCTTCTTTCTAAAGTTTATCAATAATACTATAAAAAAGGGTAAACAACAATAAAAAATAAAAAGCAGTTAATTCCTGCCGGAACTGATTCATACTTTATCAACAAAATTAAAATCTTTAAGATGTCAGCATATAATTGGAAATTGAATTGATTAAACTGTAAACGTTTTCTTTTTCCTGTTCAAATTCCTTAAGTTAAACTTCCAAAGTACAAGTAGAGGGAACTGTAAACGTTGTTAAGATAAGAATTTAATGGTAAATTTTAACTTTAAAAATAAATTAAAACTCCATGTGAGATCCATATATATTGTAGCTCATTCTCACATGGTATTCACATAAACAATATTGAGCTGAGAGATGGCTGTAAGAAGTGTGATACACGATAAATTTCCATTAGGATAAGACTATAACCCAATAATCGTATAACCTTTACGATTTGATGTCGCTCCATCATAGATTCTGTCTAACCACTTCAAGTCAAAGAAGAACAAGTTACACAAATTAATATTCCAACAAAAAGTAAACAAAATAAATATAAATAAATAAAAAGCGTTGTGAAATCCGGAGGTATTCAAGGAAATGGAAACAAATAGTCAAATACTCTTACGTAAACTGTAAAATAATAAAAAATAAAAATAAAAGGAAAGAGGAAATAGGAAAGGGGCAACGCCAAAGAGTAAGAATCATTCTTGGTCAGCACCTCTTCACTTCCTCTCTCTTCTTTCGGTTGTCTTTCTTTTAGTCATTTCTTAGGAATCAATTGCTTGTGGAGACGAATCCTTCTCTTGTATCTAGTCAATTAGATCTTGACTCAATGTCCAAAATACAAATTAACTAAGAAAGTTAATTACTTGCTTCCCACTTTAATTTAAAATTTAAAACCTTTTTCTTCTACGGCACAGATTTTTCTTAATGTCCCGTATTCAATTTCAAATATATAAATATATAATCCAACAAGAAGAAGATCTTTTATGGCAGTTTCTCTCCTAAATTAATTGTCTATTTAACAAATTGTAAGAAATTGGAAGACAGCAGATCATGAACTTTAATAAAAGATAATCATTTCTAACTAAAAACTATTAAATGACAAGAAACATAGTTAGTTATAGACGATTTTTTTTTTTCTTGGTGTGTAAAGTTATTATAGACGAAATTTTAATATATTTAAAAGAAGATTTGAAAGATCTTACCAATTTACTTTTAAAACAATCATTAATTAATGAATATTAAAGCTAGATTTTTATAGTATACAGTAATTAACCAAGAATATATATATATATATATCAATATAAAAAATGTTATACATCTAGAAATATAACTTTCGAAATAAAGAAGAAATTATCATTGCAAAAACTCTTTAATCCCAATATCAATGGCCTCCTCAACAAACAACTATTTCACCAAATCAGTGCTATTCTCATATTTATTTATACTCAAACCATCGTCATCTTTTGGAAATCATTCGTCGACCGATGGACTATTACCGTTCGCACCTAAACATGTCGTGATTATTAACAAATTAACCACAAATGCAACGTTGGTCGCGCATTGCACGAACAAAGAGAAAGATCTGGGGGTAAAAGAGATCGCACCTGGAGCTAGCTTTGATTTCAAGTTTCATGTCAACCTCCGTAAAACGACGACGTACACTTGCAGTTTCGAGTGGCCCGGAAACAAGGTAACGTTTGATATTTTCAGGTGCGATAAGACGACAGTGTACAAAGTGAATTTGGAGTATGCAGAGAATGTATTTGGTACATTTATGAACCAGCCCCTTGTCGTGCTAAACGTGATGGAGGCGCTTCTATATGTTTTGATTGGAATTCTTGAGATATTGCATCTTTTTCTCGTTTCCTTAGAAAATAAGCAGATTGAGTGGCTATTATTGTGTTATTTATATATCTGCTACTTATGTAGTGAAAATAGATTATGTTTTTCTTCTAACCATGAAATTTCGAATCTTTTGATTACGTTTGTTTGTTGGTGTTCTATTACATGCTGAAATCAAGTCTAGGGAAAATTACATATAAATGCCTAGATTTTAAATAATATATAGATAAACACCCCCACTATTAGCCCATTGAAAAAAGAAAAAAATTATGAAAAATTCCAACAAAGAGACTGGTATAGTCGAACCCGATCTATAAGCAGTTTGGTGTAATCCGTATCCCATTTTCACATCGTATCCATATATTATTTGGTTGAGACCTTGAGATGATTGTAAGAAGTGTTAGACACGATAACTAAGCGTCCATTAGGATAGATATCGTTTAAAAAGACCAAAACCTAATAAGTACACAAACGTTTATTATCTGATCTCGTTGCATCATAGATTCTGTCTAACCACTTCAAGTCAAAGAAGAAAAAGTTACACAAAAATTCCAAAAACTATATATAAAAAGGCGGTGTGAAATCCGGAGGTAATCGAGGAAAGGCAAACAAATAGTCAAATACTAAAACATAAAATGCGAAAAAAGGTAAACAAATAAAAGAAAAAGAAAGAGGAAAAGGTCAAGAGAGCATATATTCCCTTCTCCAACAGAACCCCACTCATGTTTCCAGATATGGTGTGAGAAGAAGATTTATAAAGAATTTGAAGGAAAGAAAAGACTCCACATGTAAGAAAGAATCTCCATATCTGTGCCAACAAACTCAATAATCTTGTAAACAAAACCCTTTCTTGTTTTTTTTTTTTTTTGGTTTTTTCTTGAACCATTCTTGATTGTTATTAATTACAGAACATGGGTAATGATCACAAGGCAAGGGACACTAAGCCGAGATTGAGATGGAGTTGTGAGCTTCATCACAGATTCATCGACGCCGTTAATCAACTCGGCGGACCAAACAGTTCTGTTTCAACTCTCTTTGTCCTTTTGAATCCTTATCAAGGAAACAAGTTTGTGTGGTTAGGTCTTTAATCATTTCTTTATTGATTTTTCATTTTTGTTTTGTTCTGTGTGGTTTTAGAGGCGACGCCTAAGGGTTTGATGGGGATTATGGAGATTCCTGAGCTTACTTTGTACCATTTCAAGAGTCATTTACAGGTCCTTTGACAAACTTCTTTTTTTTTGGGTCAAATGACAAACTTCTTCGAATTCCAATTATTATTATTTATTTTGGTTTACAAACACTCAATTTCTTGCAATTTACAAACTCTAAATTGGCTAATTCTTGTTGTATTTCTTTTTACACTTACAGAAATATCGGCTCGGGATAAGCGACAGATTCGTTGGTAAGAAGCAAGATGGTTAGAAATTCTTCGATTACTGATGATGTTTTATTTGTTAATATGTAGATTTATAAATGTTGTTCAAAGATTAGAGACTCTGAAAAATTAATCTTTGATCTGGTTAGTAGGTTTAATCTTATCTGATCCTTGGTTGTTGATTATGTTAGTTTCTTCAGCTGCAAAATCCCAAGAATGTCAGAGTCAAAAAGATTTTGGGGATCAAATAGACATTATTGTCACCGAAGAAAAAGATGACCAACCTAGCAAGTAACGATCATCATAAAAGAAAAATACTATTATGTTTTCATAGCTAGATTTCAGCCTTCTCGAAATCATTTTCCTCGTTTTCATAACATCAGAAACTTGCAAATCAAGGAGGCGATAGAAATACAATTGGAAGTCCAGAAGAAGCTTCACGAACAATTCGAAGTAATAACATTATGCCTATAAATGAATCACATTGTGCACGATGAGAGCTTTCTTGATTTAGAAACTTGAAATTTTCCGCTTTTGTTTTAGGTGCAGAGGCAGTTACAAGTGAGGATTGAGACACACAGGAAATATTTACAATCAGTGTTTATGAAAGCGCAAGAAACTCTCTCCGGTTACAAATCTTTGAATCTCGTTATAGACGACCTTTATGGAGAAGCATCAATGGAGAATAGAAGCTGTGTCAGTTCTTGTTTTTCCGGACTGACGCAAGCAGATGAGGAAGGAGGAGAGATAGAGGAAGAAGAACGTTTCTTGAGGTCCAAGAAATCAGAAAACAGAGGAATTGAACCGAGTAGAAGTTCAGTTGACAGATCATTGACGTCATCTGAGAGCTCAAATATCAAGAATGAATTCGATTTTCAGAGCGTTACTAGGAGATCGAACGAGCTTCAACTGATGGAGATCAAACCAGTGGAAGTGATAGAGCGGAAGAAGAGAAGGTGGAACGATGTCTTTTGTGGGGAACAACCTCTTCGAAAGAGAGCCTCTGGAAGTGAAGACGGTGAGGACTTGGGACTGAGTTTGAATAGTTTCAAGGACGTGGAAACGTATTCCAAGTCCAACTAATAGGAAGAGGGTTTATGAAACCTTTTCTTTTAATAAGAAGATGTTTAAATGCATATCGTGGGTAGATTATCCGTTCATGTATACAAATATGTAGAGTTTATGGGTGAGAATGCGAATATAAGATGTTTCCACCGTAATGGTGAATTGGTGATGGTAACATTGTTTGATCTGGTGGCACAAGACCTGTTGTTGAATCCCAGAATTAGGGTTACAGAAGAAGAATTTTGTAAAACCGTGTGCCTCTTTATCCATTTTTGGTTCCTTTTTCTTCTTGTTTTGGGGAAAGTTTCGAGTTTTTTTTGTTCTCTCTCTTTTCCCATGAAAAGTTTGGGTTTTTGGTCTGTCCCGTTTTTCTAATCTCTGTTTTGTTTCTTGAATTCATGTATTATAAAAGTTTCGAGTAATGGTTAGAATTTCATGGGATTTGTCCGGAAAGAAGAAATATTGCAGTAAGGAAAAAAAAAGTTCTTGAAAATCCCCAACTTTATAATACATGAATTCAAGAAACGAAATAGATAAAAGACGAAGAAAAAAAAGAAGGAAAGACTAAAAACCCAAACTTTTCATGGGAAAAGAAAAAAAAGAGCTCATAACTTTCCCCAGAACAAGAACAACAAAAAAAAAGAGCACAAGTTACTACAAAACCCTTCTTCTTGAACCCTAATCCTCAGACTCAACAACAGTTCTTGCGCCATCAGATCCAACAATGTTACCATCACCATCACTGTTTACACCGTCATGACCAGAAGAATCTCTAACTCTCCGACCACCGTCGAAACTAAACCTAACCCAAATCTCTCTGCCATCACTACTCTTCTTCCCAACCTCATCTCCATCAACAGGCATCTCGTACCTACAAACAGGACACGAACCATGAAACCCTAACCATTTCTCTATGCATCCTCCATGAAACCGATGCTTACACGGCATCTCCTTCACCGTCTCCTCCGTCTTCCATTCCTCTAAACAGATCACACACTCTCCTTCGCAGCCGTCGATATCATCAACGATCGGCATCGCTTCGATGGAAGCCTTGGACGCTGGAGGTTGACCTTCTTCACGTGTTTCAAGTAAGTCTCGAAGCAGAGGATTCAATCCCGACGACTCCTCGAGCACGATCATTCCTTGAGTAAAAGGGTTGACCAGAATGATTCTCTCACGAGACGAAACAGCAGCATCGTCTCCGTCTGATGATTCTTGATCAGAGAAGCCTAAGAGAAAAGGCAAGAAAAGGAATAAATCTCTGTTTCTCATAAATCTTCCCGAAACAGAGGAAGTCTCTGTTTCAACTTCAGCTTCTTGTTCTGTCGCCATCGGAAACGAAAGAATAGTTCCTAATCGATCGAGTAAGATGGCTTTTAACGATTTTAAGAGCTGCTAATGAAAAGTTGTGGAAAGATCTAGAAATTGTTAACCGGGCATTCTTGTTTTTCTCAAAATAATTGATTAATGGGACCTAGATAATTTAAGTTGGAACTTGTAAGACAATGATTGATCTTATCGAGATGTTTATCCATTAGCAGATACCTATGTCACATTTTCCTCTTGACTTTTTGCTTAGACCCGAACGTTATGATTTGTCTCAATTCTCCTTATACCGGAAAGTATACTTAAAGCCAGCGAAGGGTCATTTTCGGTAGTTGGAATTCAAGGCTGCTGCACATATTTATATGCACGGTGGATAAGAGCAGACAAAAGGCTCCACTGATTTCGAATCTTTACTTGATGTTACACATGTCACTTTGAATGGGGTACACGTCACATGTGTGAAGACTAAGCAATAACAGTTGAATTATAGTATTATACTATGTAGTTATTAAAATATACAGTATAATATGCTCCTATGGCTCTAAACTACATACCTAATCTACTTTATACTAACAAACCAAATCAGATGAATTACGACAAAGAATTAACAGATAAAACCACATTCTCTTTCTGTACCTGTGGACGCAGACGTGAACCAAAACGCAAGGTGGAAAAAAAGTGCGTTTAACGTTTTTGAGTTTTACCAACCGCGGCAGCAAAGAGACCGTTTGGTTTCTTGGTATTTACGCCATAGGCAGGTCATTTCGGCAGGACTTTGGTAATGAGCAACCACATAACCGTCTTTGCATCCATCACTTATGATCCTTCCATCATTCTCGTAATGAGGCTCGAGTCCTGAATGTTTCTTCAGGTCAGCGATCCATATCCCCATCGCCACGTCTTCTAGCTTAAACATCTATTTACAGTTTCAACATTATTTCACAATCCATTCCTATGTGAATCCGGAAATGCGATTAAATGTACTTAACACAAGAGTGGTACCTTTAGGTTTCCTTCTTTGAAAAGCTTACCAACCGATTCTGCTATGTCCCGGGACACAATGTAGCCTGGACCATGCGCCCATGGAGGATATTTCTCTTCTGGCCATTCCTGTTTTATGGCAGAAACTTCGTTAAATAAGTCCAGAAATAATGGATTTACATGGCCATGTCAGGTTGTGTTGTACCTCATAACTGATGTACCATTTGCTTTCAGGGTTTCGAATTGGCTGAGAGTCGGAATTGATCAGACCATATATCAACCCGCGAGTGTTGTTGATCATTGATAAAGAAAGTAGTACTTCATCAACACGAACAAAGGCATCATCATCCGTTTTCATGACGAACTTGGCTGAGTCAACCTCTGTCTGTTCAAGAGTTGTCGTTAGTGAGGGAAGACAGTATAGACTACTCAATGTTGTTGATAGAAAAGACATGACGAAGACAATAAATACCCCAAAGATGCAGATTGCCAGTGTTTTCCAACTGATGAGACTGTAGTAATCAACAAAGGGCATTAGCTGAACATCACCATAAGTCCGAGCCTCGTTCCAGAGTTCCAGGTTAACAATAGGACTTTTGTGCTGCATCACCCAGAAAGAAAATCATGATTAAGATTTAAGAAATCTCAACATATAGCTGATATTTTCAGAGAGAGTGAAAGCTTACAAGGCCAACAAAAAAGCGTACTGCAACTCTTCCAGAACGCACATCATCATATTGCATCCATGTTCTTCTGACAGCCATCCGTCTTTTAAAGTTGTTTGCTGTGGAGAAAACGCCAATAACAAGATCTAGTGGCCTCAATGGTGAAAGCGGAGCTGCCTTCAGTGCCTCTAGATCAACAACATGCTCTGATTCTTCTGATGTCGGTAAACCGCTAGCAAGAATGGATATTAACTTCAAATCACCCGTAATCCGTACTTCACTAACAAGCCATGGCTCCAGTGTCTGAACGAAAGATGAAGAAACCCACATAAGTATCTAAACATTTGATGGAAGAAAATGCTACGAGAAGAGTGATGACAATACATCGCGGAAAGCGAAGGAGGTTATATGTTTCCCATCAACTGACATCTGCATTCCTTCTGTTCCCACCCTAAGTGTGGCAACGGACAAGAAGCCCTGCTTAAAAGGAAAATATCTTTCATGTTTAGATACTTCCTTGGACACTGGAATCCCCCTTGAGGTGTTGGACTGCAAGCTAGTGGAAAAAGTTCGGTTTACTTCTCTACCCACCACCTTGTCGCATTGATCCAAGTCATCCACTTTCTTATTCAAATCAGGATCAACGTTTGGACAGCGTTCCTCAGCGCCCCAATCACGAGAAGCCGTCCAGCTGTTTTGGACAATGACAGGATCCTCAGTCGACTTGTCGCCAAGAAGCCTAACATTGTAATGTACAATAATGGGCGGATCAGGCTCCCCTGGAAGCGGTTGTCCTGTTAGATCAATCCGGAAGCTACCAACAAGACCATCTGGGATGCCAATAACTGTGATGGAGGAACCCTGAGTTAGCCCGCAAGGAATTTTCAACTTCACACTACTTCCATCAGATTCAGTAGCATTCATTTTGCTAAGAAACTGAGGACAAAGCTCCTCTTTCCCTTTCCTCGTTTGGTTTTCATTAGCATCAGCTATCTTCTGCGCTTCAACAGCTGACACAAGGCTCTCCCAGACGATGCTAGCTTCCGTTATCGCGTCCACTCCATTAGCTAAGTTCTGTGCATTATCAACCAGGCTTTCAAGACGGTTCCAGGTAAGCAGAGGCACTCTCTCTTCTTTGGAGACATTCTGATCAACAAACAGACCCGAGACAACGGAGAGATCATCACCTGATATAGCTTCTTGAGTGTTCCTCGCTTCTTTCATGAAGTCAGGGAGTGTGATTCGAAGCCATTCCAGAGGAAGAGTGGTGTTGGTGGTGTTAGGAGTGAAAACAGAAGCAGCGATGTAAGGCTTTTCAATGGGAGTTTTCAAGTCGACGTATCTGTACACCGTCAAGAACATACACATTGATGCAACAAGAAGCCCTCCACAAAATCTCTTCATTTTCAGCCCAAAAATCAAGTAGCAGTAGTAAGAAATATACAAACTCCAAGGCTCGGTGACGAGATCATTAGGAGATAATGTTGCTAATGCTCAACTTCAATCAATCCCTGAAACACACGGAAAAAAAAAACGGTTTTTTGAAACTTATGATGATTATGGCCAAGGAATAGAAATTTCGCAGGACCAGGCGATTCAATTTCAAAATCTTTGAAGTTAACTAAATAATCAACAGATCCAGGATACAAAATACTAACAAGATCCGACCCGCCTAGAAAACAGGAGAAGAAAATGCGGGAAAATCTAAGAGCCAACATCGAACTTAACTATCAAAAGCCGAGAAAGTCCGAGAAAACAAATCAGATTTCCACAGTCAGCGTTTTTTGCTTACTGGGAAAATTGAAACTCGACGGAAGCATTTTGAAATCAGCAGAGACCATCAAATCAATAGTGCCCAGAAGTATCTCACTTCATAGAAGAACTTACAGAATCGACTCCAACAATCAGAGAATCAAACTCAAAGCAAAAAATGAATCTGCTTACAGGTAAACGGGAAGCAATGCCACTTCCAGAATCAGAATCCGGTACACCGAAAAGCCGCGAAGTAGTGACGGAGAGATTGATTTTCCGAGTAAAAACGATGCTCAGATCTCTGAGGCTTTTCTAGTATGCTCTTTGTCGTATTATCGAAGCACATTCCACCAGCAAGAGAAAGCGAAGCTGTTTCTCTTCAAGCTCTTGATTCTTTTATTTTGTTTTTAAATTGTTTTATTTTCTTTTTTAAACTTGTAAAACATAAAAGAAAATGGTGAAAATTAATTAAAGGAGAAAAACTGCAGAAGACACGAGAAAAGTAAAAGAAAGGCAGTTACCGACTTACCGGATAGTTACTGGGCCCTATTTCACCAGGTAAGAAAAAAGCCAGTTACATTTACTGATTTACATTTAGTAGAAAGAAACCTGTATTAAAAACCTTTTTTGCCATTTTGGTTTAGTGCTATTAGTGTATGACTAATTTAGTAATTTACTAAACACATACTAGTACAAAATTACATTCTATAAAACAAAATTACATTTTATTACAAAAGGAAAAAAAAAAAAAAAGATGTCAAAGAAAAGGTTAAGAGAGTTACTAAGTCGTGATAGCGTGTGATATGAGGGTGCTTCCCATTTGTAACGTACCACCATACAAACCAGTCATAATATCTTATAAGTAATAGTTTGCCACTTTTTGCTTTAGAGTGTTTGCTTTTCAGGGTTGGAAGAATAAAATAAATAATATGAGATTGGACTCTTTACGTTGGTTTTTTTGTTTCATTCACATTATGTTTGAAAGCAACACTCATGATGACTTTGTAATCACACAATCTTAGTTTTCCTTAAAGATTACTCATCATGTCCAAAAAAAATGTTTTAGCCTAATTGTTTGCGGACCATTTAACTTTCTTAAAATGTTTAAATGGATATTTCAAAAATTTAAAATTAAAGTATTAAATATTCTGTAAGAGATTAACCTTTACGGTCCACTTTGTTTGGGCAACCATTTTTAACAAGATTTTTTTAGAGCATGATATTCAAAGACAGTATCGTGTTTAAACTAATAAAGATACTCAGCGGAAACAACCTTAAGTTTTAAAAGACTAGAAACAAAATAAAATAATTGTACAATATTTGGTCATGATATTTTGATCATTTGTTTAGTTTTACTAAATTATATAAAATAAAAAGTATATAACAATATTGACCTATGCATAGGCCTTCTCAGACCTCGCAAACTAGAGACTATACCTTCAAGAATCTCATTCTCAGAGATAGATTCTTTGTTTATCTGCAGTATATCAGAAACGTTATTGTTTTTAGCTTAAGATTATATATATATATATATATATATATATAATATGAGTGAGGGAAATGAGGATATATGTGAGACAAAACTCACAATTATCATATTTACACTCATATGTATATGCAATGATAATGTTTATATATGTATATAAAAACAAACATTAAAATTCTTGGTCGGATGTTTCCTAGAATTCCTCCGAGCACTTCTATGATGATTACCCACTGAAGTGTTTGGAGAAACTCACGAACTCATTCAACGATTTTCAACCTGTCAAGACAAGATTTAGTATATTTTCGTTTTAATTCTATTTTACTTTTTTTTTTATATTGATGTTTCTTTTTTCTTTTTCTATTTTCTAATGGCTTATATAGGACCATGCATATGTGAACACTTTTCTAAATATTTTTATAGACAAATTGAAAAAAATACTTCTCTCTTTTGTTTCAAAAGTTAATAGATGCATTAGACAGAAAAAATAGACATGCATGCATGTTATATCAATTTTTTTTCTTAATTTTAAGAATGTTATATCAGTTAATGCTTTACATGCATGATATAGTAATGTACGACTATGTACGACTATGTACAGCCACATCAGCACCGACATTGACTTGCGAAGAAGAATAAACGATCAGACTAGACGAAAATATACACAAAAAACAATCTCAAAAGATAAATGAAACAGTTCAATAGTAACTTGTCAAGCAAAAGAATTTTCATTTCAAATAAAACTAAAAAACAACCATACATGAATTTGTGTTAAATTTAGGGCTTAGGTACATAAGTTGTGCATTCATAATATTAAGCTTTTCTTAAAGATCAATAATAAATATATGACTAAATCAACTTGAATGAAAATCTGCAGCACCTTCCAAATGGAAAAAGTGTAAAAATCAGTTTTTTAGTATATACTAGATTGAACTCCACGAAAGAACTGCACCACAAGAAAGCTAGCTTGCTGCTTTAAAAGAAGAAGAAAAATGAAAGAAACGGTCACTTCAAGAAACCCAACAATTATCTAATCTGTTTTAAATGCCAAGGATGTTATTGATCATCTCAAAAACATACACTACCAAGGATTAACAAATTAACAAGCACATTCCTGCCACTTTAAATCAAGCTAAGAAAACCTTACATGTTCAACACAAGCTTTTCAAATTTTACACGACTAACAAAACATTTAGTCAATGTAAATTGATTGCTCTACAAACTAGCTGCCCCGAAAGTACTGAAACAATTCCTCACGTCTTTTCGATTCTTGCTCATTACTTAGTTTCAATGATCTTTGATTCTTTGGCATGGGGGCCGAATTCATAAGGTTAAACATTGGTCTATTTATAGTTATACGTACGTGGCAAAAGAGTTAACAAAAATCTATTATTAATTTTTTAAAAACCAAATTAGATCCTACATACGACTGGTGTTAGAAAAACATTATATATTATGACTAAACATTTTTTTTTTTGAGTTGATACGACGGCACTAATAATTACCACTCATATAGATGATTTATTTGGTTGCCTTTTTTGCTTTGAAGTGTTTTTTTTTTCTCTTTTTCATGGTTGGAGGAAAAGAAATCAGACGTCCAAAAATAGTTGATAAACCAAAATCACAAAAGGATTTAACTAGTTATAATTTAAAATGGCAAGGCATTCAAATTCCACTACAGACAGGAAAAGAAGAATTTAAACTCAATTTCAGAATGCAAGAAAAAGTAATTAAAAACAATGTAAAAGTAACATTTAAGCATAAATATATATTACCTTTAAGATGTAACGTTGTAACTAAGGTAATGAGGTCAAATGAGTAATATACAAGTAAACTAAACTACATATCTAATCTACTTTATACTAACAAACCAAATCAGATGAATTACGACAAAGAATTAACAGATAAAACCATATTCTCTTTCGGTAGTTGGAGATCAACATTCAAGGCTGCTGCACATATTTATATGCACGGTGGATAAGAGCAGAACAAAAGGCTCCACTGGTTTCGAATGGGGTACACGTCACATGTGTGAAGACTAAGCAATAACAATTGAATTATAGTATTATACTATGTAGTTATTAAAATATACAGTATAATATGCTCCTATGGCTCTAAACTACATACCTAATCTACTTTATACTAACAAACCAAATCAGATGAATTACGACAAAGAATTAACAGATAAAACCACATTCTCTTTCTGTACCTGTGGACGCAGACGTGAACCAAAACGCAAGGTGGAAAAAAAGTGCGTTTAACGTTTTTGAGTTTTACCAACCGCGGCAGCAAAGAGACCGTTTGGTTTCTTGGTATTTACGCCAGAGGCAGGTCATTTCGGCAGGGCTTTGGTAGTGAGCAACCACATAACCGTCTTTGCATCCATCAATTATGATCCTTCCATCATTTTCATAATGAGGCTCGAGTCCATGTTTCTTCAGGTCAGCGATCCATATCCCCATCGCCACGTCTTCTAGCTTAAACATCTATTTACAGTTTCAACATTATTCCACAATCCATTTCTATGTGATTCCGGAAATGCGATTAAATGGAGTTAACACAAGAGTAGTACCTTTAGGTTTCCTTCTTTGAAAAGCTTACCAACCGATTCAGCTATGTCCCGGGACACAATGTAGCCTGGACCATGCGCCCATGGAGGATATTTCTCTTCTGGCCATTCCTGTTTTTTGAGTAAAAACTTCGTTAAATAAGTCAAGCAATCATGGATTTACATGGCCATGTCAGGTTGTGTTGTACCTCATAACTAATGTACCATTTGCTTTCAGGGTTTCGAATTGGCTGAGAATCGGAACTGATCAGTCCATATATCAACCCGTGAGTCTTGTTCATCATTGATAAAGAAAGTAGTACTTCATCAACACGAACAAAGGCATCATCATCCGTTTTCATGACGAACTTGGCCGAGTCAACCTCTGTCTGTTCAAGAGTTGTCGTTAGTGAGGCAAGACAATAAAGACTACTCAACGTTGTTGATAGAAAAGACATGACAAAGACAATAAATACCCCAAAGATGCAGATTGTCTAGTTGTTCATCATGTCCCAAGAAAAGTGTTTTAGTCTAATTGTTTGTGGACCATTTAACTTTCTTAAAATGTCTAAATGGACATTTCGAATTCAAAATTAAAAAGTATTAACCTTCTGTACTTTGTAAGTGGAGTTAAAATTGACCACTTGAGAGTCCATGTTGAAAAATAAAATCTATTGAAATGATAAATTATCATAGGAAATGAAATTGTCTCAAGATCTTTTTTTTTTCTCTGGAAAGTTGGTAACCCAAAAATTGACATGTTTTAAGAACACTAGATCAGTTGATGAATTCATAACCTAATAATTAACTGAATGAAATCATTAAATGATATAGCTTGATTGGTTAAACATATAGAGATTAGTAACAATATCAAGAACTAGCTAGTTGTTCCGTTAAACCTCAGTTTCATTTCAGCGGGGAACAGCAGCCGAGATGAGGTTGAAATCCTAGGCATAGATTCTATCTCCTTTCGTCTCTCTTCAAGATTTCATGCTTTTATGAAGGAGATCTCCACCGTCTTTAAACACTTTGAGTTAGCGAGAATGTATGTCACTAGTTGTTTCTCATCTTCTCTACCTCCATAGCCTCTCCACCCAAATATCTCTAGCTGAGACGACAAGCATCCCGGAATAGAACTCGGCTGATTCCAGGATGATGGGAAAACCCTGGTGTTCTGAGATCAATACATTTATTTTAGCAGTTAAGTTCATCAAAACACTAGATTGAGCTTGTTTTAAGGGAGGAAGGTACTTACCGTGTCGATCGTAAGAGATTTTAGTTTAGGAGAAGACTGAAGCAAAAACATAAGTGGTTCTAACCAATCTACTGAAGTTTCTGGACAAAAGTAAAACTCTATGAGCCGAGAGAACTTAACTATGTTACAGCATGGAACCTGTGATTGAAAAAAAAAAAAAAAAAACATTAGTTGACTAAGCAACAAGGAACAAAGGAGAATGGCCGAGGATATGTAATCGCTACCATTGATTGGGTCAAAGATAAGCACAGATGTATGACAGATGAAAGAGATGTCAGAAACTTGTCACAGCTGGGATTATCAACCAAGGTGATGTCTGCCACCTCAAGGCAAGGCATATTCTCTATCAAGAAATAGCCTCCCCAATAGTCGAGTAAACACAACTCTGTTAGCGCAGGGGAATCTATTACCAACGATCCATTGAGATCATCATCATCCTCTACCTCTTCATTCTCTACCTCATATTGCTCTACCTCAAAATCATCTCCGTCATTGCCCTCTACCTCATCATCCTCTTCGTCATTGTCCTCTACCTCATCATCCTTTACCTCACTCGTGCGCAAATAACGTAATCTTTCTAAGGAAGGCACTTTCACGGCAAAGTTTTTCAAGTTGTCATCCTCACTTCGTTCCACACTCAGCCCCTTAAGAACAGGGGAACTTGACAAAAGCTGGACAAGAGAGTCTTCTTCTTTGTACACCACGTCATTAAGTTCCAGGTATAAGAGAGATGGTAGACGAGCCCAGGAAGAAACATCCACGAGAATCTTGTTTGAAAGAGTTAAATCAACGAGCGTGTTGCATGTGTAAAGGCTCTTCGGAAAGCTTGTGGGATCTGCGTTCCAGAGGAGGTTGAAGTCTAACACTCTCACACCGCGATTAACAGCGTTCTCAACCAACTTCCCCACATCTACGTCACCGGAACAGCTTGGACCGAGTTCTGCAATCAACCTCAATAGTTTTGGTGCCTTATGGAGTTGCAATGACTTCTCCATAAACCTTCCAAGGCTCTCGCTGCCTTCGTCTTTGAAGACGAGTCCAGGCAACATCGTCCAGACCGGACGCCATCGTTTAGACAAGATTGAAGTGGCGACTGCGTCTTTTGTCGGGACAAAGTGCAAGATCCGCACGAGCAAATCGTCAGGCAAATAACACAGCCTATTTTCCATTCTGTGTAAAAATAAAGAAACGGCCACAGACGAATCTGTCTAAAAAAAAATTGGAAACAAAAAAATGCCAGGAACAAAGAAGAAGAAAGAGAGAATAGTGAAATTAGGGTAGAATCGAAAGACATTAAAGGGTATAAAGGTAAATATATCAAATAGAGGAGAAACATTTGACATGCTTTTTTTTTGTTGAGAAAATTGGAAATATAAGACAAAAAATGGAGAACCTTGTTCCCTTAATACTTTTTTGGAAAAAATTGTCCTCTTAATACTTATGCTAATTATAATCCTCTTTTACCCCTGAAAAACGAATTATTTGATATTAATTTATTGTTTTAACTATAATTAAGATATTGAATTTGATTAAAATTATAAAAAAACAAAAACAACTTAAAAAGAAATAAAAGACCCCGACACATTCTTGTTCTCATCGTCTTCTCCATCATCGACTTCTTCTCAATGTCACCCATGCAAATCAAAGCTTCTCCCTTGTATTTCTGAAAGCACAGTAATTCCTGAAAGTTTCGTTCAAGTCTGTATCCAATTATCTGCTTCTTCAATCTATTCAGCTGATTTTGGTTATTAGGGTTTGAAAACCCCAAATTAAATCTGGGTATTTTTTATACAGCCTGAGCAATTACCGGCGATAAAAAGAGAGATCTCTACCAGATAAGCCTATGAAGCCACACATAGCTCTGTCTCCATAGCTCTCAGTACTAGAGTAGTCTCCATTCGCTGTGAATCATCGGTTGTTGTTCTTGTTGCTGAAGACTACGAGAAGCTCTACAACTCTTTGACCGGTCACAGTCGACAATTCCAACACCATAGCTGTTAACTCCGCCAGAGTCGTACTAGATTCCAAAGTTACTAATCGACTTCTTTTTTCTTATAATCGACTTCAAAAACCCAATTCTTATTGAGAATCGATCTCCATATACCAAAGATAACATAGATATGCACCATAATTGAATAACCAGAACAGAAACACAGAAAACTGTAATTAGGGTGGAAATCTTGTGAAAATGTCGTCAAAGAGAAGAAGAAAAGAAAAAAAATCTTCAAAAATATGTTAAAAACGTGAAAAAAAAGGAAAATAAAATATTTTCAAATATTTAATTTTTGTTGGATAACACCTGATCCTAGATTTTTTCAGATTTTATTAACCGTTTAGTAGAATACGGATTCTATATTCACTAGAACGAAGACAAATAAGTAAAAGTCTAATTCTAGAAAACATAGAATACATAACGATTTCTAGAATGCATATTCTAGAATGTGTAGAATATATTACGAATTCTAGATAACGTATTCTACACGATGTTATAGAAAACAAAACAAATAGTAGAATATATATTCTATACTCGGTGGATCTTATACCATATACTAGAAATCAAATTCTATAAAACTCTAGAAATGTAGAAAACGTTTTCTAGAACATATTAATAAATATATTTTAAATATATGTATTTCCTTAAACGATGTTTTAGAATAATATTCTTTCCTTTTTTGGAATTTTCGAAATTTAAATGTATATATAAATATTTATTTCGAAATATAAAAATATTTAATAAGGTTATTTTTGTCCAAAATTGCCAAAACTCAAAAAAATACTAAGGGGACAAAACTCTCTATTTTTTGTCCTATATTTCCAATTTTCCCTTTTTTTTTAACATATGACATGTTACTAGTTACTACTAGTATTTTTATAATTTTTGTTTTTATGTTATTAGAGAATAATTTAACTATAAAAAAACTGGTATTTTGCGAAAAACATTTTCGTATATTTAAACATATTTTTTCTATAAATAAAACGCATTATAAAAACTATTCAACCTCGAAGAGTTATGAATGTGAAGTTCTATGCATCCTACACTTCCACATTTAATAATGTTCATATCTAAGCACGATTCAAACTAAACTACTAAATTCCGTGACCCGTGTACATGCAGTTAAAATCATTAGAAAACTCATACTCCTTCCGTTTCACAAAGAGTGTCATTCTGACATTTTTCACACTTATTAAGAAAACTATTAAAAATACTACTTTGTCATTCATTAATACATTAAATAACTTTTTTTCTTTAATTAATACATTAAATCAATAAGGTCAAAACTGGAATATTGTTTAAAATTCTGCATTGAAAATATAAACGACACTCTTTGTGAAACAAAAACAAAACCTTAAAACGACACTCTTTGTGAAACAGATGAAATATATTTCATACAATGGAAAACAAAATTAACATTTTAAACTTTAAAAACTTACGTTACTTCATTTAATCATAACTAACACCCTCATTATATTTCATTACCACTTTTTGCTTTTAGTGTTTTTTTTTTCATTGTTGGATCGGAGGGGGAAAAAAAAACATAATCGGTTTGAAATCTTCACGTTTGTCTTTTGGTTTAATACACATTATGATCCTAAGAAACACTCATGATGACTTTGTAAGCACACAATCTTAGTTTTCCTTAAAAATTACTCATGATGAAAATCATATACCAAGAAAAAAGTGTTTTAGTCTCATTGTGTGTTGACTGTTTTTAAGTTTCTTAAAATCTCTAAATGAACATTTCGAATTAAAAATTGAAGTATTAAACTTATGTACTCTGTAGTGGAGTAAAAATTGAGGACTTACTTGAGAGTCCATGTTAAAAAATAAAATTTATTGAAATAATAAATTTAGGAAATGAAACTGTCTCTAGATCTTATTTCTCTCGAGAATTGGTAACTTATGAATTAACTGAGTGAAATAATTAAATGATATAGCTTGATTAGTTAAACATATAGCCGTTAAATCTCTTTTTCATTTGAGTGGGGAATAGAAGCCGAGATGAGGTTGAAATCCTAGGCATAGATTCTATCTCCTTTTGTCTCTTTTCAAGATGGCAGACTTCTATGAAGGAGATCTCCACTGTCTTTAAATACTTTGAGTTAGCGAGAATGTAAGTCAGTAGTTGTTTCTCAACTTCTCTTCCTCCATAGTCTCTCCACCTAAAGATCTCTAGATGAGACCACAAGCATCCGGGAATACAACTCGGCTGGTTCCAGGATGGTGGGAGAACCTCGGTGTTCTGATATCAATACATTTATTTTAGTACTATTAAGTTCGTCAAAACACTAGATTGAGCTTTTTTTTAAGGGAGGAGGGTACTTACGTTTTCGATCGTAAGAGATTTTAGTTTAGGAGAGTTTTGGAGCAAAAACATAAGTGGATCCAACCATTCTACAGAATTTGCTGGAGAAAAGTTAAGTTCAATGAGCCGAGAGTACTTGATGGCGTTACAGCACGCAGCCTGTGATTGCAAGAAAAAGACAACAACATTAGTTGACTAAGCAGCAAGGAACAAAGGAGAGTGGCCGGGGATATGTAATCGCTACCATTGGTTTGGTCAAAAACAAGTCCAGATGTATGACAGAAGAAAGAGATCTCATAAACTTGTCACATCATGAGATTAAGATCTAAGCTGATGAATGCCACATCAAGGCAAGGCATATTCTCAATCAAGCAATTATATCCCCTGTCGTCCAATATATTCAAATATGATAGCGCAGGGGTATCTATAACCAACAATCCATTGAGAGCATCATCATCCTCTACCTCTTCATTTTCTACCTCATATTCCTCTACCTCAAAATCCTCTTCGGCATTGTCCTCTACCTCATTATCCTCTACCTCATCATCCTTTCCACTAATAGTCGTATAAAATCATTTTTCTAAGGAAGGCACTTTCACGGCAAAGTTTTTCAAGTTGTCATCCTCACGTCGTCGTTCCACACTCAGCCACTTAAGAACAGGGGAACTTGACAAAAGCTGGACAAGAGAGTCTTCTTCTTTGTACACCACGTCATTAAGTTCCAGGTATAAGAGAGATGGTAGACGAGCCCAGGAAGAAACATCCACGAGAATCTTGTTGGACAGAGTTAAATAAACAAGCGTGTCACATGTGTAAAGGCTCTTTGGAAAGCTTGTGGGATCTGCGTTCCAGAGGAGCTTGAAATCTAACTCTTCCACACCGCGATTAACTGCGTTCTCAACCAACTTCCCTACATCTACATCAACAGGAGAACGTGGACCGAGTTCTACAATCAAGCTCTGTAATTTCGGTGACTTATGGAGTTGCAATGACTTCTCAATGAAACACCCAACGCTCTCGTTGCCTGCGTCTTTGAAGGCCAGTTTAGGCAGTATCCTCCAGACATGACGCCATCGTTTAGACAAGATTGAGGTGGCGACTGCGTCTTTTGTTGGGACAAAGAGCAAGATCCGCGTGAGCAAATCGTCGGGCAAATCACAGAACCAATTTTCCATTCCGTAATTACTTCTTTCTCGTCGCTTTGTGACACGGAGAAAACCCTAATTTATTTTACGCAAAAGTCTGTGAGACTTGACTAATACATACGTATCTCTAGCTATAAATTATAAATATCTGTTAGTGCATATAAAAGAAAAATTAAATTTTCCAAATTTTAATAAGTAAACCTGCGAGAAAATACAAAATACACCGATCGATTCCTATGCTTCTATTTTTGTTATATATTTTTTTCCCCTTTAGAAAATCTATCATCAAACCAAACAATATTGTAAACAACAACAAAAAAACCCAAACTTGGCGAAGCCACATAGTGTGAAACGGGTCATTCGCCTCCATGATTTCTTAAAATTAGTGTAATTTTTTTTATATGAAAAAATTGATGTAATTTATTAAAACTTAATATCAATGTCTCCATTCCTAAAATTATATATACTCTTATTTATCTCTAATAAAAAAAATTTGTGGCCCTCTTCTAGGCCTACTCGATCCTTGTAATTCTATTTTTAATTTACGTTTGCTTTATTTTTCTATTTTCAATATATTTGATTATGTTATGAATTATTTATATGAAAACTTATTATAAAGCTCAAATTAAAAGAAATTTAGAATATTCTAAAAAAAAATTAGAATATTCTTTATTTTTTATTCTCTAGATTTTAGTTTTCTTCCTAAATATTTGTAATTCTATATATACCTTTCATTATTTATGAAATAAAACACACAACATTTTTTTTCTCTTCTCTCTCTTATTCACAACATGTTACCACTTGCTATTTTAGTATTTTTGTTTTTCATAGTTGGATAAAAGGAAAAAAAAAACAAAATCAGACTGGACTCTTTACGGTTGTCTTTTGGTCTAATTCACATTATGATCCAAAGCAACACTCATGATGACTTTGTTATCACACAATCTTAGTTTTCCTTAAAATTACTCATGATGAAAATCATGTACCAAGAAAAAAGTGTTTTAGTCTCATTGTGTGCTGACCGGTTTTAACTTTCTTAAAATGTCTAAATGAACATTTCGAAAATTGAAGTATCAAACTTATGTTCTCTGTAGTGGAGTAAAATTTGAGAACTTGAGAGTTGAGAGTCCATGTTAAAAAAAAAAAAAAAATCTATTGAAATACTAAATTATTATAGGAAATGAAATTGTCCCTAGATCTTTTTTTTCTCTCGAAAGTTGGTAACCCAAAAATTGAGATGTTTTAAAAGCAGTATATACATTTATATATACTAGATCTAATATTGGTGAATTCATATCCTAATAATTAATTGAATGAAATCATTAAAATGATATAGCTTGATTAGTCAAACATATAGATTAGTAACAATATCCAAGACCAAGTTAATCCGTTAAACCTCCATTTCATTTGAGTGGGGTACAGAAGCCGAGATGATGTTGAAATCCTAGTCATAGATTCCAACAGACAAATAAACAATGATCATCCTAAAACTATCATTCAACATCGCATCAAAGTTATCCCCCTAAATCCAAGCAAATTCTTATGCATTCTGAATCAAACAAAACAAAATTATACGGAGACTAAACATTGCAGCAGGTGCCTTCTCGGATTTAGCAAACAGTGAGAGAGGCAATAGGACATTTTTGTTCGCAGAGGAAAAGCTAGAAGAAAACAAAATTTGCAAAGTGAATGAGAAAATTCAGATTTTCTGGAGCATTTACCTTCTAATAGAAGATATATAGGCCGAACAGTTTAAAATCACCTCGTAGACCCAACAGTTGGAAATCATCTCTGGACCCTAACGTGTATAACTTGTTGAGCCGAATGAGTCTCAAAACATGTAAAACCACAGAAAACACAAAAGAATTTTAATTTCAAATAAAAATAACGAAAACCATAAACGAATCTGTGTTAAATTTAGGGTTTGGTACATATTTATCATTGATCTTTAAGAAAACAATGTAAAATGATTGCTCTACAAACTAGCTGCCCCGAAAGTGCTGAGATAACTCCTCACGTCTCTTCGATTCTTACTACGCTCATTACTTAGTCTCATTGATCTTTGGCATGGGGCTCGAATTCATAAGGTTAAACTGACATTGCTCCATTTATAGTTATCGTACGTGGCAAAAAGAGTTCACAAAATCTATTATTAATTTTAAAAAATCCAAAATAGATCATCCATATGACTGGTATTAGAAAAACATTATATACTATGACTAAACATTTTTTTTTTAGTTGAAATGACGGCACTAATATAATAATTACCATTAATATAGATGATTTATTTGGTTGCCATTTTTGTTTTGAAGTGTTTTCTTTTTCTTTTTCATGGTTGGAGACTTGGAGGAAAAGAAATCAGACCTCAGAAAATAGTTGATAAACCAAAATCACAAAAGGACTTATCTAGTTATAATTTAAAATGGCAAGGCATTCAAATTCCACTACAGACAGGAAAAGAATGATTTAAGCTCAATTTCAGAAAACAAGAAAAAGTAAAAACAATGTAAAATAACATTTAAGCATAAATATTTAACCTTTAAGATGTTTTAACTAAGCAAATCAAGAGGATTATGCGATTATATTCTCTAATGTTTATTAATTATTACAATTGAAAGTTGCACGAAAAATAAATAAAAATCATTAAGGATGTTGTTCTGTAGATTAAAATAGAAATAAAAATTAGCCGTAAAATTTAGAACTTGGGAAATTGAACTCGAGAATCACATCGACCATGTGGCATAACAGGACAGTTGATGAAGTTGGAGGCCGAAGTGTCAACACAGAGATAAATCTGATAGAGTTGACTATTATGCGATGAATCTTTGTTACATTCTATCCCCGGAGCAAATCCAATTGCTTCTTTGATCGTTTTCTCAATATCATTTATTTCGTAAAATTTATCATCCGGTTTGATCCCTGCATCATAAACAATAAATAAAAAAGAAATGATTAGAAAAGACCGACCCAATCACACATAAGTAACAGTATGGGAGGGAAAATAACAACAATTGCGATAAATTTGAAGGGCAAAAGAAGTGAATATTGATTGTACCAGCATTGGTGAGGACATGAAGGAGATTAGCTTTCTGTTTGAGTTTGAGACCGGCTTCGAAGTAATCGTGTTGGTCGAGCTCAGACTCGGCGCACGTGCCGTGTTTCTCCCACTCGTGTGTCCAAAACTTCACACCATCATTGCTCGGGCACGATAATGTTGGCCATTCTTTTTGTAGATTGCTCATCAGGTCAGACACCTTCAAAAAAAAAAATATGAAGAAATTGTTTTCACACATTTATTAATCTATAATTTCCTTTTGCGAAATTATATAAACTTATAATGGTCCCAAAATATTATAGATTTCTAATTTACTGGACTACCGTGTATGAGTTAAATATATATATTTTTTAATAACATAGCATAATTAAAAGTTGAAAACAAACCCGTGATTCATCAAATTCGCTATCAGGATTACAGTTCTGTGGCCATCCACCAGTTTTGTAGTTAGGCCAAAGACCGTGAATTCCAAAATCCGCAGCTGGTTTTCCGGTTTTTGGATAGCAACAATGTTGTCTTGAATCACAATACGCTCCAGGCCACTGCATTGCAATACATACATATATATATTGATGATTTTTGCAGATACGCATTATTAGATTTAGATCAATTTTACCTGTAAAACAAAGTAGAAAAAATCGAAATCAAGGGCGACACTTTGCACATAAAGTTGTTGTAACACAAGAATACAAATGAAGAATTTCATTTTTTTTTCTCAAGAAATTGAATGTGGAGAAAGAATTAAATAGTTAATGGGAAACAAATTAGTCCCAAAAAAAAACAATGAAGGCTGGATGAGAGAAGAAAAGGTTAGGTTTGTTTAAATAAGAAAAGTAAATATGTTTTTATATAGTTAGAGAGACGTGACGTTTAATTGGTAAATGCTTAATTGTATTAGGTTAGTATTTCGTGCAAGCATTTTATTTCCAGCTCCAATGCTTGTGAAAGCAGTAACGTAAGACGAACCTTTTTTATCATGCTTCAACTATAAAGAGATAATTTGATGGAATACCTTTATTTTTGTTAGAAATTAGGATTTTTATTTTGGGTTGAAATGTGAAATTTATTAATCAAACAAAAGAAAACATATTTACAAAGAATTTGGAAAATCTAGAATCTTTAAAACAGAAGATGGCTTTAATTAAAAAAGAGCAGAAGACAGAGTTTCAAAATGGTACAAAATCTTAAAGAGTCAGAAGGCGGTTGTCTATGTATGTCAAAAGCTTCTTCACTCTTCAGCGGTTCAGCCTATCATCTGCTAATTCATAAAACATGGAGAAATAACTGAATCACCACCAAAAACTTACAAACTCACCTGTACACAAAATCTAAATAGTCAGCCACAGGAGACATCACTTGTACACATGACTCTGTAATGCTTAGCAAGAAACAAAGATTCCTCTACATCACTGTGTGGTTTATTCTTCCAGTAGAACAGAGTTTGTGACATGACCTCAAAGAAGTACCAAGTACCCTTTGCCACATACTCTGGAGGGGTTTTAATGTTTACTGATCTGAATGTAGCGAGAATTTATCCACGAAACAAGATCACAATCAAGAGCAGCTAAATTTCCCACTCGACAACGTCCAATGAAGGAATTTTCAACGCGAAGAATCTGTGTATTAACATTCCAAAAAAAAGTAAACCAGGAAATTGAGTATAAGCATAACAGTTGACAACTACCCAAACAGTAGCCAACTCAGACTCATCAATTTGAGCTAATCCAATATTTTCTATTATGTTTTGAATTCTTTTTACTGCTTTGTTCCAAGAACTCATGAATTCTCTCGTATTCACTCTCAAAATGTTCCTAACAGCTCAAGTAAGCACACAATCGGCTTAAATGAACTAATATTTTTGTTTGAGATTGATTTTTTTATTTCCTTATACAAGCACTCCCACACAACATTTAATTCTTTTACTCTGTAATCCTTGCATAATCTCTGCAAAGTTGAACTCACACAACTAGCGACTTGGCGAACCAAAGAGAAAACAGAGAACCAAAAAGAATCATGCTGCAGAGGCAAACTAGCGACTTGGCAGTCTCTTTGCAATATTTTTGTTAACAACTAAAACCTTTGACTTGTGAAATTTCAGCTCACACAATTACTAGATTTGCCATACGATTTTCATTATTCAGATTTCAGCCATCAATTAACAACTTGCAGAAAATGAAGAAAAGTGAATAAGAAAAAAATTATACTGGTAAAAACTCAAATATATAATTATATAACCCAATAATAACCACAACATAAACCTATATTAGTGAGCTATATATAGCCGAATAATTAATTAATTAAAACATTAAATGATAGCTTGATTAATCAAACATGTAAATTAGTAACGTTATAAAGACGTAACTGTTTCGTTAGACCTACATTCCATTTCAGTGGGGAATAGAAGCCGACATGAGGTTGAAATCCTAGGCATAGATTCTACCTCCTTTTGTCTCTCTTCAAGATTGGGGTCTTCCATTAAGGAGATCTCCACTGTCTTTAAACACTTTGAGTTCGTCAAAATGTATGTCAGCAGTTGTTTCTCATCTTCTCTTCCGTCATAGTATCTCCACCCAAAGATCTCTAAATGAGACGACAAGCATCCGGGAACTGAATTTGGTTGGTTCCAGGATGGTGGGAGAGGGAGAAAAGTACTTACCGTGTTGATCACAAGAGTTTTCAGATTAGGAGAATTTTGAAGTAAAAACATAAGTGGTTCTAACCAATCTACTGAAGTATCTGGCCAAAAGTAAAGCTCTATGAGCCGAGAGAACTTAATATCGTTACAGCATGCAACCTGTTGATATGAAGGAAAAAAAAAACACAACATTAGCTGACGAAGCAAAAAAAAAGTAACAAGGGAGAGGGCCAGCTGGCCAGGGATATGTAACAGCTACCATTGATTGGGTCAAATAAATGTAACAAGAAAGAGATCTCAGAAACTTATCATCGGGATTATGAACAGAGTGAATGGATGCATCATTAAGGCAAGCCATATTCTCTATCAAGCAGTCTTCCCAAACGTCCATTAAGTCCAACTTTGTTAATGCAGGGGAATCGATTACCAAAGACCCAATGAGATCATCATCATCCTCTTCCTGTTCTTGTTCCTCATCCTCATCCTCATCCTCATCCTCATCCGCCCAAGTATAATATAATGTTTTTAAGGAAGACACTTTGATGGTAAAGTTTGTCAAGTTGTCATCCTTGTGTCTTTCCACCGCCAGATTCTCGAGAGCAGGGGAACTTGATAAAAGTCTAACAAGAGAGTCTTCGTCTTTATACACCACGTAGAAGAGTCTCAGATAAAGGAGAGATGGTAGACGAACCGGGGAAGAAACATCCACTAGAATCTTGTTGGATAGAGTTAAAAAAACCAGCGTGTCGCATGTGTAAAGGCTCTTCGGAAATCTTGTGGGATCTGCGTTCCAGAGGAGCATGAAGTCTAATAATTCCACACCGCGATTAACTGCGTTCTCGATCAACTTCATGACATCTACATCAACATGAGAACGTGGACCGAGTTCTACAATCAACCTCAACAGTTTCGGTGCCTTATGGAGTTGCAATGACTTCTCAATGAAAGACCCAACGCTCTCGCTGCCTTCGTCTTTGAAGACGAGTTCATGCAACATCGTCCAGACATGACGCCATCGTTTAGACAAAACTGCCGTGGCGACTGCTTCTTTTGTCGTCGGGACAAAGAGCAAAATCCGCACGAGCAAATCGTCAGGCAAATCACAGATTCTGTTTTCCATTCTCTGACAAGCTTCAGTTTCTGGAAGAGTTAGATGCCTCATGCCTAATATTGGGTATAATATCCCATTATCTAAGCGCCAGTGGAACTACGTATAAGCAAACCCTAGACCCTCTTTACATCTTTCTCGTAGCTGGGAATCTGGGATGTGACACGTGCAAAACCCTAAATTATTTTTTACATTTCGACATGCTAATGCTAATTACCTAAAATGATTCGGTAATCCAAATCGGTTAGGGCAAAAGTAAGCCATTTAAGTCTCTCACCAAAATAATATTAACATTTTACTTAATTAAGTTTTTAATTATTTTTTTTTTAAAAAGAACTAAATCAATAATAATCAAACATATAGATAGAGAGTCTCTCAATTATTACTTCAAAGTCTTATTCTCTCTCTTCACCTTTTATTATTTATTATTTTTTAATGGTGAGGGACTCAGTGAAAGACTCCCACATATGCTCTGAGGCTGCTTAACTAATAAACTAAAATAATACACACGTATCTCTGGAAGTCTATATACTACTAGTTTGTTTATTAAGTATGAAACAACTATTTATTAGTTTCGACCAAAAAAGACTATTTCTTATTTTAGTGTATATAAAAGTAAAACTGCGATAAAACATGATACCAATCGATTCCTTTATATGCTTCTTAGAGTTTAAAACCGTTGCAATCTGAACTTTACGAAACTAATCGCTTACAGGTTAGGTGTGAATCAAGAACAAAATCAACACAAAACTCAGAACAATTTGGTCACCCTGAGTTCACCGGAATGACTACGTCTCAGGGGAGAGAACGGGATCCCTCAACTGCTTCCACTATCGAGTTTCTGATTACACGATCACACAAAGTCGTAAATCGAATGAATTACAAGATCAAGCACTAATGGATTCAACAACTAACTAGATCGTCAAATCGGAGAAGTCCGACAATCGCTTCAACCACCGTAAGCACCGATCTCTCTTTGTTCGTCGAATCGCTTTCTTGCTTTCTTTCTGTGTAACAACTCTTCACTCTGTCTCTCAGCTCATGAGGAAGACGATGGCTTTATACTTCACTCGTGGGCCTCAACAAACTTCATCCCAGCTGATATATGACTTGTGGGCTTGGCGCAAAGCCCAATAAGGTGTTTGACTGAACCCACTTTATAGCTTCCGGTTTTGTTATTATTCACTTTCAAAATTTTATCATCAAACCAAACAACTTTTCTTATCCCTAATATAATTTATATCTTTATAGAACGGATTATCTCCGTAATGACACGATTCACACAATTTCAGACGACCTCGTCACAATTCCGGAAGCTCAACGACCTTGTCATAAATTCTCATTACTTGCACGTCCAATTGGAACTCATGGAACAATCGATCGCGACAAGCTACAACACTGGAGATGTTTGCCAACAGTGTTCCTTTTATTGATAAGACAAACATTGAATGTTTTGAATTAAAATCTAAGAGAAGTCGACTCGGCGTTTTAAACGCTTGGTTACAGAAAGCTCAGTTTATAAACAGAAAGTTACAAGTAGAGAGAGAGTGTAAAATTCGAGATTCCTAATAAATGATATTCAAGGAATATTTTTAACAGAAGTGAACAAGTAGATCTCTGCGTATTCTAGGGAGACGTGGCAGATCTCCGTGTATTCTGGGGAGACGCGGCAAGTCTCCGCGTATTCTAGAGAAACGTGGCAGGTCGCCGCATCTTCTAGAGAGACGTGGCAGGTCGCTGCGTATTCTAGAAAGGTAGTCATAAGCTCGGCGCTGAGCTACTATGCATGTAAGATACTGTTGGCAAACTGGCTCTCCACGTGTCAACCTCTGTTCGGTTCAGATCAGCGCGCACATATGTCAGACTGGTGGGTTCTAGCTGACTGGGTATATTGACTTCTAGATTGATCTAGTCAAACAGGCTTTAGTATTAAGATTGACCTAACTAATTGAAAGTGTTTTAAGTTCATCTCCAACACTTACTTTTCCGTTCCTGTGTGAAAAAAAATGAGGTAAAATCGATTGAAAATATTTATTTTGGAATTTATAAACGACTAGGGCCCTTAAAGTTATCTGGGTTTATAAAGGATAGTTATGGATTCGTCAAAAAGCTATTTTTGTAGATTTTTTTTTAAAAAAATGTTTTTCGGTCTAGAGAGAGGAATCAAACCCAAGACCGATAATTTAATGGTTTATAAGCAAAATTATTTTATCTTATACTAATAAAAGTTGAAGCTATAGGCTTCTAAAAGTGTTCCCATAAGATTTAAAAGGACAATTTAATTGGTCCACATCAACATTCAAAATTAAGGAAAGTTTTCAACTTTTAATAATATTGTTGAATAAATAAATTAAGAGAGTTTACAAATTCTAATATTATTGCTGAATAAATAAATTATATAAAAAAAATTATTGGTCCATCTCAACATTAAAAACTAAAAAGTTTTCAAATTCTGTTATTGTTTAATTTTTTTATTAAAGATACAGAAACTATATATAAAATTTATATTAATAATAAAAAACTAAAATAAATAATATTAAAATATGAAAAATAATTTGAAGTAGATGTATACACACATATTTAGAGACTTTTATATTACCATCCAAATTTTTGTCACATATAATTTTAAAGTTTTTTTTGAACGTGCAATCATTTCAAATAAAAAAAAACCAAAAAATAAGTTAGGTTTCACTAAAAAAAGAATCATGACAATGTAAAAGAACCAAATTGACTAAACATATTTTTTAAAAAATATTAGTTAAATTATAAAAAATATAATGAAAGAAAATATAAACAAAGTCACTACAAACCGCTTTAATATTGAAAAAGAGACCATACAATTCTCAAAGCTTAGTTATCGAACTTGAGAAAATAATAAATTTGAAGCAATCCGAGAAACATGTCAGGTGATTGACACTCAACACTTTTAAAAAATAAAGACTGAAAATAGATATAAAGGTTCCGTCATTAAGACGAATGAGACTGAGGTATCTGATGAATTGGAAATAATATGGCATTCATCATATGATTTAAAAGTTCAGTTTTATTGGTCCACATCAATATTGAAAATTAAGAAAATTTTAAAATTATATTGTCAACCAAAAATAAATTTATAGTAAAATAAAAGTTAAAAAGTCAATTTTATTATTCCACATCAATAAATAAAATTATAAAAGTTTCTAAAATATAAAATTACATTTTTAATACAAAAAACTATGGGAAAAATTGTTAATTAAAATTATTTTATTATTAGTAACAGTTAAAACTAATTATTTTCAAGGCATCCACATCAGTATTTCAAATTTATTTTTATATATCAAAATTGTAAATTAAAAAATTTCCTAATTCTAATTATATGGTTAAGAAAATAAATTTTAAAAATGAAATCTCTATTAAAAAAATAACATTATATATATGAAAATCTCCATTATCAGTTAAAAATTTAATTTATTATCTATAAAAAATATATGCTACTTATAAAAGTGTAAATTATTTGATTTTAAAGCTTTTCACGTAAATTTTTAAATAAGTAATAATTATGAATATATTCATCTAATTTTTTTTTGTATATGCAGAACATATTTTCACATAATTTCATGTAATATATAATGCTAAAATAATCAAAAAATTATATTTTTTATATTAAACTTGGAATTGCAATAAATTAATTTAAAAGTTGTTAGTTTTGAGTTGTTCAATTTGTTATATATATATTTTTTTTAACGTCTATTTATTATTATCTTGAGCAAATGAAATCGAAATGTAATACATTTGTTATACAGACAGGAACTAAAGAGTAGTAATTAAATATGCCATTTCCTGGTATAGAGCTCTTAGAGAGGATGTCGGCTGGTTTATTTCCTTCTCTTTTTGTCCAAACAAACTTGATGTCTTCAAATCTCCTACTCCATTGTCGAATTTCTTGTATCCAATTAAAGACACCAAAGTTAAGTGTTTCTCCATTGAGGATATTTACTAAGGATTTTGAATCCCCTTCAAAGATTACTCTCTTATATCCCCTTGCCCAACTTGATTGCATTGTCATCAGTAAAGCTTGAAGTTCGCTTTCCAAAGCATTATTTGCTGCTGTATGTTGTGCTTGAGCTGCACCAAGAAAAGTACCCTTCTCATCACGATGCAACCACCCTGCTGATGACTTTCGTTGATTTGTAATGAATGATCCATCATAGTTGCATTTTATCCAGCCTGTGAGTGGTCTTCTCCATAATGTAATTGGACATGTTCTTTGTATGTTTGTTCTTTGCTGGGTTCCACCTTGTTGTCTGCTTATGTAATCTTGTGTATCTTGCCATTCACGTGCATCATCTTGAGCTCTCTTTAAAGTTAGTCGCCATGAGATAGATTTTCTTTGATGAATAAGAATATTTCGGCTTTTCCAAATGCGCCACAATACCCATAAAGCCATTTGATGAACACGAACAGGTAACTGAGAGGGTTGTGTGATGAGCATATCTAATTTAGCCTCCAAAGACTGAGCTGAAGATAAGATAAGCGGATCGAAGCTCTCCATATCATTTGAGCATAGTGGCATTCAAAAAATGTATGAGTGATCGTCTCGTCTGCAGTTTGACACCTGGGGCAAGTAGAGCTTCCTATTATATGTCTTCTTCGTAGACAATCTCCAATTGGTAAAGCTTGAGAGGTCAACTTCCATAAGAAATGTTTCAATTTTGGTGCTGTTTTCCAAATCTTTGTCTTGAGCGCCAAGTCACCCGGTGGAGGTAGTGGTCTCCTTCTTGTACAATTATGCATAGCTAGCCAGTATGCAGACTTGACAGTATACAGTCCTGAGTTGTTATAATGCCAACCTAGATAGTCTCTTTTGTTAAATGCATTTATTCTCATTGACATAATGATATCCGCATCTTCTTCCACCACAAGACTTCTGATATTTTCTTCATTCCATGTTGACTTAGAAGTGATCCAATCTTTAACCAAAAAATGTTCCAGATCGTCAGTTAATGGTCTTGGAGGTCTAGGAGGCGTGACTGGTAACCAAGGATCAATCCATGTACTGATAGTAGTACCATCACCAATTGTAAATC